AAGAGACCTGGGGGCTGTGTTTGGGATCCAACTCCTGCTGAGCAGGAGTTTCCTCGCGCTCAAGAGCCTCTGTTTTGCTAGTTTTCTTTGATTTCTTGGTCTTTTCCGTGGAGGTCCTCTGCTTAGTCTTCTTCTTGAGATCCTTGTCGTTAGGTTCACTTTTGGTGGGTGGTTCAGCTTTGGGCTGCTTTACGGGAGTAGGAACTCTAGCTGGGATCTCCACCGAAACGAACGACTCGTGAACCCTCGGGTTCATTTCATCTGTTAACGTTTCATCTGCTCCCGACCGCTTCCGTGTCTTCGGTAGTTTCTCTATGACAAGCTCCGGCTCTGGCTCGGAGACGTTAGAGCCCCTTGGCCTGCGCATTGATTTCACATGGCTCAGTTTATCCTCTGGCGCTACTTGCCTAGAGATAGGCTCTTCAGGCTCTTCAGGCAATGCTTTGCCTGTCTGGGTCTCTTCCTCATCGGCATGTTCGACCACCTCCTGCGGCTCTGGGGTGGTCTTCTGTTTCTTCTTGGACTTAGACTTCTTTGATGGCTTCTGCACGACCTCCAGACTTTGTTCTTCAAGTTCAGGCTGTTCTAAGTCGGCCATAAGAGCTGCGTCAAGCTCGTTGTCATTAGGCACGCGAGATTGTGAAGCGGTTTTAGACGTAGATGAACCGCTAGAGGCTTTTCGGCTCTTCGACGATGCTTTCTTTTTAGTAGTTGCGCGACCTTTCTTGGGCTCATCCTCTGGGATACTCTCTTCTGGCTGTGTATCCACGTTGACTTCATCGTTTTGATTGCTGTCGCGTTGAGTGCTGTCTCGCGCCTTTGTGGCCCGCTTTTTAGTGGGTGGTTCGGCTTCCTCAAAGTTTTCCGTCTCAATCACATTGGATTCTTCTCTTTCTACTTGGTCACTTGTCCTCTTCTTTCCACGCGTGGCTCGTTTTGTCTTGGGGGGCTCGGGCTGGCTATAGTCGGCAGTATCAATATCCATCTGGCTGTCGGTCTCCGCCGCGTCTTCCTTCTTGGTCTTCACACTCTTTGATTTTGTCTTGGATGACTTTTTGGTTCCTTTTGCCTTGGCAGCTGGCTGGGAGGTCGTGCTCCGGTCCATGGGATCGTCAAGTTCCGAGATAGCTTCTGAAGCAGTTGATTGGGTTGAGAGACGAGATGCCTTGGAGGTACGTGCTTTTTTCGAACGTGAGCCTTTGCCTTTCTTACCAGAGGGTTGAGCAAAGACGAAAAACGAACAGTCCGCGGAACGACGGTAATGTTCATCGCTGGAGAGGTTAGTTATGATACAGAAAGGAAGGAGCGATAGACACTCACAAGGGATCGTCCTTGGGTTCCCACCCATCCAGGGACAATTTGCAGTATGCACAGCTTGCTAGGTCATTGCTCTCTTCAGTGGGGCAAAAATACCACCCTCCGTCGACCATCTGGCACAGGACCGTCGTCAAATTGAGTCCAGAGAAGTTACGGCAAGGCATCATACCTTTTCTGACTGACACACCCAACCGCGTTTCCCATCATGGGGCCATGAAGTGCCAAAGGTGGCCAATCTCGCCTCTCTTATCTTGTCACTTGTGGGATCCTCTATCTCAGCGGGGTTTGAGCTGTGTTGCTGAATATCCATCATAACGGCCCAGCCGCAATCATTCGCATGCTTAAGATGTTCCGTGATTGGATTGTCTTCCTCCTCCCATCCGTCGAGCGCTCTGTGGCACAGAAAGCATGTTGTGTTATCTGGATTTGTTTCGTAGGGATTGTAGTAGAACCCTGCGTGCGCCAACTACAATAACCGGGGGTCAGTTTTCCGATGGGCAAATAATTCAGATAGTCAAAGCTATATACCTCGGCGGGAGATGGCCTGCGGTGAGGCCAAGCAATGGGTTTAACGGCCTTTGCGCTCGATGTTCTTCGTTTCTCTGGGTGCAATACCAGATCAAAGCTGGCAAGGCGGGCAGCGAATGTCTCCATTTCGTCGGCCATTGTCGGGAGATATGCGGACCATCAGGTGTGGTCGCGGGCCCAGGATCACAGTATATATGGGTTAACCTTCGAAAGGTACTCGATTTCACGGGAGAGGACGGACAAAAACTGAGAGTCTCTCTGTTTACTGTCTTGTTTGGGTCGAGCATCGGGAACGCGCCCGCGGAGATACGGCGCCACGTGACGCAGTATGTGGCTTGCTGGTGTGGCGCTGGCGGTCGCTGGGTAATCTCGAAAGGCCGAGAACACCTGCCGAGCGAGCCCCGAGCGAGTACGTCAGACCTTCCGGCTGCCATTGGGTAATCTGCAATGATCCCGCAGGAAAGTATCTGCAGTTCGATCTCATTGTTTCGTCAACTCCGCCCTTACTCTACTTCAACTCCCCTTCAGGAAAACATGGTGTGAATCGGTAACGTTCAATGGTCATTGAGTTATTCAACAATTACAGCCCTCGCTGTGCAAGTCCCTCTTTTCCTTTCGAGGAACCGCGACGATGCGCGAAGTTACTGTAAGACAATATTTGCTTCCAATCTGCACGCATTGGCTAGTGCTAATGGATCTCTTCAAAGGCCCTCCTGTTAAACTCCAGATCGGGTTCATTCATGCGTCTGCGCCCGATCCACCCGTCTCTTCCGCGATGCACTCGTGTCCCTGATTCTCTGCGCTCGTTCTCCCACTATTCTACCTCGGCCCCTGCTCTAAATGGAACATATCCACTTAGAAACCGTACGGTATCTCGTGGGGGTTTCAACTCGCAATCTGCTTCGAGCGAGCATGACCTTCTCCTTCCCTCATCGTCTACAGCATCGTTCTCTACCAGCTCACGACTCTCGGACCCTGGTGACTGGGAAGATAACGCGAACCTGGCAATAGATGCATTCTCGGAGCTCCCTTCCAAAGACTTTGGTGTCAATCAACACATGATCATCAACCAAGAGTTTAAAGAAGCCTTACGGCAAATCCTTTGGCAATTCCGAGCACCAATCCGATATGCATTCGCCTATGGTTCGGGGGTCTTCACCCAGTCCGGCAGTGCTCCTGGCTCCGGCCAGTGTCACCCGTCTGCTCCGGCTGCGATCAAGAACATGCAACAAGGTCAGGGTAAGATGATTGATTTTATCTTCGGAGTGTCGTACTCCCAACATTGGCATTCATTAAACCTCCATCAACATCGGGACCATTACTCTGGATTGGGATCTTTAGGGTCTTACGCTGTCGCTCAAACGCAAGATAGGTTCGGCGCTGGTGTTTACTTCAACCCGTATATCACTGTTAATGGCACGTTGATCAAATATGGCGTTGTCAACCTCGACACGTTATGTCGTGATCTCAGCCAATGGGACACACTATACCTTGCTGGGCGGTTACAGAAGCCGGTTAAGATTCTGCGTGACCATCCCAAGGTTCGGCTAGCAAACCAAATGAACCTGCTGTCTGCCGTCCGAGTGGCATTACTGCTCCTACCGGCTGAGTTCACGGAGTTCCAGCTCTACAGTACCATTGCAGGAATGAGCTACATGGGAGACCTTCGCATGGCATTGCCGGCAGAGGATCCTCGTAAGGTTAACAACATTGTTTCAGGTCAGATGGCCAACTTCCGGCGGCTCTATGCACCGCTCATCGAAACCCTACCTAATGTCACGTTCAACGATAAACGGTGCACCGAAGGCGATTGGATCGATGATCCCAATGCCAATGTGAAGCTAACCCAAGATATGGACCCAGTAAAGCGTGGTAATATGGTCCGCCGTCTTCCGGATGCATTCCGAGCGAAGCTGTACTTCCAGTATCAAACTCGCTTCCAAATACCTCGCGGGGATTTCAACAAAATGATGAAGGAAAGCAGCGATGCTGACCAGGCATTAGTACGGCGGAGGCAAGGCGGTCCCTTCGAGCAGCGTATCGCAAGTGACGATAGTCTGAAGCAGGAAGTTCAAGCTTCGATCACGAAGACCATTCGCTGGCCCAGCACTGTCCAGTCGGCCAAAGGTCTAGTCACCTCCGGAATTGGCAGGACTTGGCGCTACCTACGGGAAAAGCAAAATAAGTACAAGACTTCAGGCAAACATGCCAGCCCTCCGAGCGAGGAGTCGATAGAGAAAGCGCCAAAGCAGGAATAGATAATTATCATTAGTGTCATAGCTATCACTAAAGCATGGCTTGCCAACAGGCGGCCCTAGACATCATACAAGGCATATCAAGGCGTTGTGTTGATTTGACATCTGTGCTTGAGTTTTCCCATCCTTCCCTTTCCATTTCGCCACTTTTGGCTCAGCCATACTGTATGGACAGCTGGGACAAGAAACATCACAATGTACATAGATGACTACGTTCAAGATAGACTAGCTCGGAAGGCTATATATAGCAGTACGGCCACGAAAAGCCGAATAAATTTACTACTACGGCTTCTTCTTCTTCTTCTTCTTCTTCTTCTTCTTCTTCTTCTCCTAGTTATACAGATGCAGCATTAGCCAAGACACAAGGTGCCAAAATATAGATCTCCATGGTACATACCATTCATTGGTGGTAAAATAATCTTCAGTCTTCAGGCAAACATGAACAACAGCATAATGATCGGTCCAACGTTTAGTGAGCTAAACAGTTGTTGGTGGCAGGTTCTACTACGTACTATATTAAGACTGGTGGAATTGGCTCCTCTGTATATAACGCTCCATTTTCATATTAAGCAGCTGCGTCTGAAATTAACTGGCGGAATCCGATGAAGGGAGGTCTTATGGCTTGAAAAGGGATCTATGACCCAAATGTGTACCAGATCTTGCATCAAATGGAACGCATATGAACGAAACTCTACTGATCTAGTTTATCCGGAGCCCCCATTTCTGTTCAACAAAAAATATTGACTACCAAGATTCTAAAGCGACACCATATCCAAGACACGCCCACATAATGTGCATAGGTTCTCGGCTCTTATTGTTTTGGATAGAATGCAAGTTTGTCGATCTCTGCCTAACAAGGTGACTGGCCCGAGTGACTAATGCGCAGATGATGGGTGTAAACCTGCAATGGATTCCGTCCCTTGACTATTTCGGATGTAAAGTCAAAGGGGAAACGCTCTCTGCTGATCTTTATTATCGCCTGTTCGCTTATTTTCCGGGGCATGTGCGAAACAAATGGTATTTTATAGGCCTTCGGCGACGTAGGTGGAATTATCCGCAGTTGTCAGAACTGTTTCAGGCATGATGCTAAATCATAGTGCCGAAGAGACAAGAGCCGATCTCAAGTCCTTCGGTAATTAGAATCGATAGACGTCCGTTGTAAATGAAGGTTAGTTACAATGGATGAACGGGTTATTTAAGCAGTGCGAGATCCCTTAGGATTTTTCTCAGTGTCAATTCACATACATATTTTGAGAAACCACTTTTCATTCTCTCCCGCCTCAATGAAGATCACATCAACCATTCCCGCTGTCCTCTTGGGACTAGCACCGCTGAGTGCAGCCGTATCAGTCTCTGGCGCAGCCGAAGGGTTCGCTTCCGGGGTGACAGGCGGTGGTGATGCAGAAGCACAGATTCCCAGCGATATCGATGAGCTGAAGGAATGGCTTACCGATGATACTCCACGAGTGATTGTTCTTGACAAAGAATATGACTTCACCGAGTCGGAGGGCACGACTAGTGGAACGGTTTGTGCTTCCTGGGGAACTGGAGACGGCTGTCAGAAGATTATCCAGGACGACTGTGGAGATTCTCCTTCTTCGCAAGCAACTTGGTACACCGCTGGAACAACGGGGATAGATGTTGCGTCGGACAAAACGATCCTTGGAGACGGAGACAAGGGCGTTATTAAAGGCAAAGGCCTGAGATTCAGAGACGGCGTGTCGAACATCATCGTCCAAAACATTGAGATTTCCGACTTGAACCCTGAGTATGTCTGGGGTGGCGATGCTATCTATTTCGATGGCTCTGACCTTATCTGGATTGATCATGTCACGGTATGTCCCTCTTGAAGCAGAATGAGAGAGCGTCTTTGCTAATAAGGATCCTAGACGGCTCGCACTGGACGGCAACACTACACCTTCGGATACGAGACCAACACTCGTATCACTCTCTCCAACAACTTCATCAACGGCGAGACTACGTACTCGACCGGCTGCGACGGGTATACCTACTGGGGCTTTGAGATGGTAGGTGAGGCAGACCAGATTACCCTGCAGAACAATTATATCTACATGACCGCTGGCCGTAGCCCAGCCTTGAGTGGAGGTACTCTCTTGCATGCCGTAAACAATGTCTGGGAGAAGAACAACGGCCATGCGCTGGAGGGCGGCGAGGCAGCTGCTAGGGGAATCTTCGAGGGAAATGCTTGGGTCGGTGTGTCCACGATTGTTGGAGACTACGCCGGCCGTCTTTTCAACACACCGGACTCATCGTCCGCTGGCGACTGCGAATCGGCTCTTGGTCGTGCATGCGAAGTCAATGCCGTTTCCGACTCCGGCAGTCTTACTTCTTACACAGATACTTCCTTTTTCTCGGACTTCTCAGGGCTTACTATTGCGCCCGCCACCTCTGCCACCGAGGCTCAGTCGAATGTCCCGAACAACGCAGGCATGGGGAAGCTTTGAGTTTCTTCCCAGGACTTGTCTATTTCTACTGTTTTCTAACTTTCCATCCTCGATTCGTAATGTCGCGCTCTGAATGATGGCCATCTATGCATGCAATCGGCTGTATACGGAGTTCATGTCGGGTTACCTATAAGCTTTATGTTGCAATGTATCGTTTGCCCTAAATTGAACAAAGTTTGTAAGAATAGAAGTTGGCTATCGTTGAACTATCTGTACAGATGAAGAACAGCCTGGACAGATAATGATAATTTTTCAGTAAATTAGTACTAGTAGTAAGTTTTGCGTACCCTTGATCTATAATATATATAAACTTTAACCATATACCATAGAGCAGACTCGAAAAAGGAAAACTACAGCTTTTCGAGAAAATCAAGGTCATTACTTGGATATATAGATATATATATATTGTTTGAATCTGTACATATTTAGCACATTTTCACTAGCAATTCTATCGCTCATTGGCAGTATCGATACAAAACTTGCATGTTGAGTCAATTCATGCCATTGACTGCCGAAAGGCATTAAATTTTAAGCTACCCGTTCCTGAAGAGTCACACTTCCGAGACCGGTCCCGCCCCGCCTATAATCTTCCCCCGCCACTTAAAGGAAGCCCCCCCACCAGTCTTTCTTCGGTTTGCAAGGAACCTCTTCACTTCAGCAATATCACACCAAAATGGCTGCAAGACAATCACCGTTCGATCTCTCGAAATGTGCACGCAAGAATATCTTGCAATTGCAACCCTACCGCTGTGCAAGAGAGTGTGTTTGCTCTCCAGGTCCCCGCAACAACGTCATGGAAACTAATGAGTCAGTGACTACAAAGATGACGGAACGAACGTCCTCCTCGATGCCAACGAAAACGCTTACGGTCCTGGTCTTGCCCTGAACTCGGAAGGCGCTCTGCAAGAATCCACTGTCAATGGAGATTCGACTGGCTCTTCGAAGCCAGACATCGACTTTCTGGGGTTGAACCGCTATCCCGACCCGTAAGTGACTCACTCATACTCTGGTCTCTAATCAGTCCAATCTGACCCGGATTGATGGATTATTAGACACCAAATTGAGTTGAAACAACTTTTCTGCAATCTCCGCAATACCCGTATTCACAGCCAAAAAGACCTGACCCCCGAGAATCTTTTCGTGGGAGTCGGCTCCGACGAAGCCATCGATGCTCTGTTGAGGTGTTTCTGCGTACCTGGAAAGGACAAGATCCTTACTTGCCCTCCTACGTATGGCATGTATGGTGTTAGTGCGCAAGTCAATGACGTGGATATCGTGAAGGTGCCTCTGGATGTCGAGAATGGTTTCCAACTGCAGCCGGACAAGATCCTCGAGACCCTGTCCACGGATGACTCAATCAAGATGGTGTATATCTGCTCGCCAGGTAACCCTACCGCCAACTTGATCCGCAAGTCCGACATTCAGAAGGTGCTGGAGCACCCTACATGGAATGGTGTGGTCGTTGTGGATGAGGCATACATCGACTTTGCGCCCGAAGGCTCTAGTCTCGCCGAGTGGGTCAACGATTGGCCCAACCTAGTGGTTATGCAGACGTTGAGCAAGGCCTTTGGCCTGGCCGGGATTCGGCTGGGAGTTGCGTTCACCAGCCCTGCCATTGCCCTGCTGCTAAACAGCCTGAAGGCCCCTTATAACATCTCGAGCCCAACTAGCGCACTTGCTATGGCCGCTCTGTCGCCTAACAACATGGCTGTCATGAAGAAATATCGGGAACAGATCATTACTCAGCGCGAACGCTTGCTGCAGGAACTGCCCAAGATTCCGGGAGTGGGTCGCTTCCTTGGCGGGCAGGAGTCGAACTTCCTCCTCGTTGAACTCCTAGATAAGCCCACCAGTGAAGGCGGAAAGCCCAGCAACAAGATTGCCTTAGGTGCGTACGAAGCTATGGCGGAAAAACGCGGCGTTGTGGTACGGTTCCGCGGAAAGGAGCTCGGATGCGAAGGTTGCCTGCGGGTTACAGTAGGAACAGAGGCAGAAGTCACTAGGTTCCTGCAGGAATTGCGGGTAGTCCTGGACGGTCTTCTCAGGGGGGTAGATGTTCAGTCGTTGAGAGCATAATCGCATCAGAACTCGAATCCGTCATATCATTTTCTTTCTTTTTTTTTTTTTTTTTTTCTTTTTGTTTTATTACTTTTCGGGATAGATTTTCTTAGCCTTTTACATTATCTTTGCAATATAGAACGGATGGTTTTCTTGATACCAATATCCGCTAGTATGTACTCTGTACCTTCCCTTATCATCATTTTCCGACCGGAGAGACCGGCAAATACGTAAGAGGCGCGAATGGAACCACCACCAGAAGGTTATCTCCCTGGACATGTGTATTCGCTGCTACAAGTAGTATGAAACAGGGGGTCCTGATAAGAAGGCCGGAGGGTAGGTTTGCCACTGATCGTAGCAAGCAACCGCAGATATGTATTATGTATTAATTAGTGGTTTATATATATTTAATTTGCGATTGTATGGCTGGTCTGTGTTGTTGTGGTTTAGGAGGGAAAAGATGTCACAAGACCGCCACGTGGACCAGGCACAGCTGACGTGACTTTTTTCTGTCGTACGGATTATCCTACCGAATGGCAACTTCCATCGAAGAATGGATACTACCCTAACAACCTACAATCCATTTTGGTTGCACGAGTCATGTTCTCTCTCATGTAGGGGCTTGATCGGGGTCGCCTGCGAACTAACCAATGGAAATCCTTCAAAATCCTCCCGACTATCTGATAAGGTAACAGCTTGGATTATCTCCATTGCTCTCTCTCTCTATTCGTCGCTAATAATCCGCAGCAATCGATCATATACGAGCCCACGGTCTCGACAAGGTTCGTCCCTTGAGAGGCGGATGATAACCGGCCCAAGCTCGAATCTCCTCCTCGAGTCCAAGAGTCACAAGCAATGCTTCATTTCGCCTTCACCATCGCCATCGGGCGGAAGCCAATGAACTTACTCCGCAAACAGCTCCTGAGCGACTAAGGTCCCTTGCTCTATCACCTCCCTCTGGCTGGTCCAATACTATTCCGTGCTGACCTGCCCAGCTAATCCGTCCTCGAGTCCTGCTCGTAGAACCAAACGGAGGGCCGATAAATGGCGCTTCCCGACGCCCACTGCGACCGTTCGGTCTTATCTCTTGAATCCATGGTTATCGGTTGGCCGCCATGACCCTTGGCCTCGAGGTGGGTGTAATTTTATCATCATGATTGTTTTTATTATTAAATAGCCGTTCATGGGTTGCTTTTTGGCTGAAGTCTCCCCTTCCCGTTTGCATATGGGATGTTTCCCTCTGTTTAACCATCTCTCTCTGTCTCTCTTCACTTCGTGGCATAACTGTCCTTGAGTTAATATATTTTATCACTTCGACCGAAACGGCGGTGAAATCCTTCCTTTTCTTTTCCCTATAATATTAATTTTATTTTACGTGGAGGTACGTAAGAGCAAGGCTCTATATACTTACCTATCAGTTGAATCTCTCCTCTCCCTCTTTTTTTTTTTCTCACTCGTTTCCCCTATTATCCTCGTTTGTTCTTCTGTCAACGACCACAATCTATACGAAGTCGGGTCTCTCTCCACCCGGAACGCCACCAGATCAACATCACTTTCCTTTCCCACCGTTACCACCCATTTAAACGCCGGTTCCACCCGTTACTCTTTCCCGCGAGATCGTCGCCTTTTATATTCCCCGGTTTTCCTTACGTTATATCTTCATTCCCCACACTGAGCAACACTCTAATCCGGGGAAACGCACGTGCATGCTCAGGGTAGTTCGTCATGAACAATGTGAGTGCAACTAAAGGCACGACGTTGTTGAACTTACTCCAGGGACTTATCCTCGGCGCGTTATTATTTGATAACTTGGGCTGTTCTCACCTGTTTCCCACTGGCCCCTCTGCGGAGGTGGTTCAGCGGCCATGACTGTGTTGGACACTCGTGGTCTATACCCGGAAATTCCCCCGAATGCTCGAACGAAGGCCGACGATAATCCAACGCTCTTGGTGAGCTGGTGGGCCACCGGCTTCTCCCTGGCTATCATTGTGGTTCGAGTTTGTGGTCGCTATGTTCGTATCGAGCGCTTCTTTCGGGAGGATAAGGTGATGATGCTTGCCATTATTCCCCTCTTGATCCGCATGGCTCTTGTACATGTTATCCTGATCTGGGGGACCAATAATACGACGACAGTAGGGTTGACGGCAGAAGAGATTCAGCATCGGGTCGTTGGAAGCAGGTTGGTTCTGGTGTCTCGAATTTGCTATGCTATTTTGTAAGGTTGCTTCTCAGCATTTGTTGAAGATGGAATATGCCGACTGACTGTTTTGACTGCAACAAGTATCTGGACTGCCAAATTTACCGTATGTGAATTTCTCAAACGGGTTTCGGAGATGATATGGCGCCGGTCTCTCCGGATCTTTCTCCAATTTATTTATTATTTCTTGGGATCAACTCTGATTGCCGTGGTACTCGCAACCCTAACCGAATGCCAGCCTTTCAACCATTACTGGCAAGTGGTTCCGGATCCAGGCCCCCAGTGTCGCTCCGGCTATGCGAACCTGATTACAATGGGAGTATGCGACGTGATTACGGATCTTCTGCTTGTGGCCTTTCCTATTCCCCTGATCATGATGACTCACATGTCTGCGAAACGCAAAGCCTCACTCGTTATCCTTTTTGCCTTATCCTTGATCCTCGTCGGCATAACCTGCTACCGCGTACCCTCTGTGATCGGTCATAAAGGGTCCCAGCAATACCGATCTCTTCTGGCGTCTCTAGAGATCCTCGCTGCCACGGCGGTTTCCAATGCCATAGTCATTGGGTCCTTCGTGCGAGACAAAGGCGTGAAGAAAGCCAAGTTCAAAAAGGCAATTGGATCTGCCTCCGTTAGCGAGAGCATGGATCACAGCTCGGTTCGTCGTACAACGATCACGCACCACCACTGGGGCAGTGACTCCGACCTAGCAGGAGATCTGGGCATGCGTTTGCACCCTGACCTGGTTTCTTCCGACCACAAGCTGCCTCGGCCAGCCCCTGTGGTTGCTCCCTGTGAGCCCTTAACAGCCCGTACGGGTACCCTTAATCCAAACTGGTCGTTCAACCGTCATGCCTCTGCTACCGATGACGACCGATCCTCTACCACAGGTAGTCTTGATATCAAAGTGAGTCCACACGAGTATCTTCCAACCAATACAACACCGCGCAAAGCGTCGGGCGACACCGTCCCGAGCTCACCCGGCCGAGTTTCCATGTTCGACGTTGGCGGTCTTCTGGATCCTTCACCAAGGAGCAGCCCCCCTCCGACTTCACATATGCATTACCAAATGCCTCCTGCCGGGCAACCGACCCGTGCACGCAGTGGAAGCACAGCTTTCCTTCAAGACGTTGGCGGTCTACTCTCCACCCGGACCTCAGGGACTGCTCCAAACACTTCACCGAACTTCTCACGACCTGGCGGTCTTCGTAGTAACTCCTATGGCCGCCGACGAGGATCCAGCGTGCATTTTAGTGATACGCCGGAGGCACCGGCTCCACCGTATCGATCCCAATCCGATGTAACTGCGCCTATTCCTGAGGGAAGGGACGATGTCGAACTTCAGGATGTTGGGGGATTATTATCAAAACATTCATGAATAATGACGGTATATACTAAACGATAGTTGGATGTATAAATAAGCTTCCTTTTCTTCTTCTGGGGGTTTCTTTTCACCCTTGTTTTGTTGTCTTTCTTCTTTCTATTGTTCAATATGGGCTGTGTGGTTATGTATACTGGCTTGGAGTCAGGATTGACAATGGCGTTGGTATGGGGTATCTTGGCCTCCACGGATGTTTTTATAATGGGCCATTTGGATTGACCCAATTAAATCTTAATGTGGCCCGTGCTATCCTCTACTTAAGACAGAGGTATGGCTATTTTACGATCACTGAAGATCTCATGACCGTTGCATTTTTCAGTAATCTATCAAGAAAATTGTACAATATAGTCGGGGTTTTTGCGATTAGTAAAAATTCAAAGGAATCAACCAGAACCATGACAGTACACTCCAGCCATGAATCATTCGTTTCGCCCTTACGCCATGCTGCCCATAATGCCTGCAATTGGACTTTCGTTTGATTTTTCTTTTTCGTCCCGTGATTTGCCCTTTCTGGTTTTCTGTCTCTTTTGTTCTCAAGATTTCCATCCACTCGCGTATAACGTCACTTGAAAGGTGAGACAGGGTGTCGGCCATAGTGCAGGAGAAATCGCGCCTCAGGAAGGTGCCCAAGAACCTCTTGGCGAACTCGACATGGTCTTCTGGCGTCTTTGAATGGAAAGAATGCGCGATCAACTCCCTCAAGCAAACAGCCGTCCGTTAATGTAGCATAACCATACAAGCCAAAGTTGTCAAAATCGCGATTAAATAACCCAGCGGTAACTGGCATAACGACCGGCCGTTTCACTCCTGCGAATAATCTTGACGACCTGGCCTCTGCGCAGACCCAAATATCTCGCCACAGGATCCGACACCTGGATACGGGGCAACTGAGACTCCTTCAGACGGTAGCGCTGCAGCAACCGAGACTTCTCCTCAGGGCTCAGCAGGACGTGCTTCGGGACCAGCTCGTGCCGGGTGATGTTGACCAGCAGATCCTGCTCCTGGAAATGCTCGCAGATACGGCCGGGAACACCGCTCAGCAGACGGACGGCGGACGGGGAGATCGGGGTCTGGGTGATGAACACGCCGGTGTGGAAGTTGTTCTCGTCGACGACATGGTTGAAGGCGCGCACTTGCTTGGTACCGACACCGGTGGAGTCGGGGCAGAATTCAACATAGATGGTTCCGCAGTCGGGCTGAGGGTCCGGGTTGGAGTTGGTCTTGAGGGCCGTGTATTTGAGGTTCATGGCCTCCGTGGGGCGAGCTTGGATTTTCATCTTGTTGCGGCTGCACAAAAGTTACGCCGAATTGTTAGCGGCCTTTTCTCTTGGGAGGTTGAAAACGTGCATGTTGTCTGGGGTCGCATACTCTGGGTATCCAAGGGGATCGGAGTATTTCTGTCTGAATTCTTCGAGCGTTATTTGCACTTCCTCTTCGGTGACTTCGTAGCCCTGTCCGAAAATGGCTTGTCAGCATTACATTGTGCAACAAACGTTGTGGCTGTGGTTGATGGTTCCCCCTCTTCAAACAGCACGTACTCGATCTTGAAGCATTTCGAACACCGTCCTCCATGTGCGCCACAGTCTGGTCATCTCGCGGTCGGCATCGACGGAGCCAGAAGAGTAGTCCTCGTCCATGGTGAAAAATGAGGCGCACCTGCGCTGCGACACAAAACTAATGTAAAAAAAAAAATCAAAAAAGGGAGGGGAGTCAGAAAAGAGTTAAATTAGAGAATTCGAGGACCAACTTCTGAGCTCAATGTGAGCCGTGGGATAGGACAACAACAACAAAAAAAAAGGTAGGCTGGAGTTGCAGCGTTGCGAAAAGCGATAGAGGGAGGTTCTCGAAAAATCGGCGGAACAGCGCTAAGCGGCAACGGTTAAGCGCCGCCAACAACTTATTAACCCCAAAGGAAAAGGCCAGACCGAGAAAATGAGCACGAGTTTCTGCCTCATTCCTTTCCTCTTCTCCCCCTGTTCCTCTTTGGTTTCCCCTCATTCCACGCTCTTTTGGGGTCCCTCCTACAGATTGATTTCGGTCAATCTATTTGCATTGTCAAGTGTTCCCCCCGTATTTGCAAATTCCCCGACAAGATGTCCGCTGAAGCCAAATCGGCTCCTGCCACAGAGCAGAAGGTGAAGCCTACCAAGCCCAATGAGGAGGCGTTCAAGGCCGACCTCGCACAGGCTGAGAAGGAACATGCTGCGGTTCAGGAGAAACTGGTATGTGACGGTTTATTATGTTATTTTTGAGTTCTCTGGAAGTTTCAATGACTGTTGTATACAACGCACAAATTATATCTTGCCATTTTGTTACTCGGCTCCCACCAACCTTTGTGGTCCGCCATACGTTTTCTCGCTACTCTTCATGATGCTGTTTCCGCAATCAATTGACGTAACAAGACACTAACTTCATCAAGAACCAAGTCAAGGCCAAGATCGAAACCGCCAAGCCCAACAACAAGGACTCGCCTGCGGCTAAGAGACAGCAGGAGCTCCGTGCTGAGCTCTCCTCCATCCGTCAAAAGCAGTCGGGATTCAAGGCGTCTCGGTCCAGCACCCAGGAGAAGATCAATGCTCTGGACAGCACGCTCAAGGCCCGCATTGCGGAGCAGAACAACTCCAAGACCCGCATGTCGTTCAAGAGCGTCGAGGAGATTGACCGTGAAATTGCGCGCCTCGAGAAGCAGGTTGATTCCGGTACCATGCGCTTGGTCGATGAGAAGAAGGCCCTTGCCGATGTTTCCAGCCTGCGCAAGCAGCGGAAGAACTTCGCCGGCCTGGACGAGGCCCAGAAGGTCATCAACGATATCAAGGCCCAGATCGCCGCCCTCAAGAAGACCCTTGACAACCCTGAGGCCAAGGCTCTGAGCGACAAGTACGCCGAGATCCAGAAGGAGTTGGATGCCATCAAGGCCGAGCAGGACGGCGCTTTCAAGAACCTCAACGCCCTGCGGGACGAGCGCACTAAGCTCCACGGTGAGCAGCAGCAGAAGTGGACTGCTATCCGTGAGATCAAGGACACCTACTACAAGGCCCGCAAGGCCTACAAGGAGTACGAGGATGAGGCCTGGAGAATCCGCCGGGAGAAGCAGAAGGCCCAGCGGGACGCTTTCGAGCGCGAGAAGAAGAAGAAGATTGCCGACAAGAAGCTCGAGGAGGCTTCTCGCCTGGCTTACACTGACGAGATCCTTACCGCTCAGGGTCTTATCCGCCACTTCAACCCCTCCTACGACTTCGCTGCTCTGGGTCTGGATGACAAGAAGGACGAGTCCTCCCAGTTCCGTGCTGAGATTGGCCGTACCATCGATGACTCCGCCATGAAGGGCATGAAGGTCCTGAAGAAGGACGAGGATGACTACTTCGTCGGCACTGGCGGCAAGAAGGGCAAGAAGGGTAAGAAGAGCAACGCCAACGGCAGCGCTGCTCCCGCCGAGAAGTTCAACCTCAACGTTGGTATTATCGAGGATTTCGCCAAGGTCAAGATCGACCCCCCTATGAACCAGACCGATGTCCCCGCCGTTGTCGAGAAGCTGGCCGCTAAGATCACTGAGTGGAAGAAGAACCAGGCTTCGAAGACCGAGGAGGTATGTACCGCTTTACTATAATTCACTCTCGTGTGAGCTACAACGACTAATCCTTCCCATAGAACATCAAGAAGGCCCAAGAGGAAATTGCCCGCTTGGAGGAGGAGGAGACTTCTCAGGCCGACGACCGTGCGACTGACGCCGCCAAGAAGCCCGCTATCATCAACAGCGGTGTGAATGGTAAGGTCTCGGCCGAGGCCGAGCTGAAGCAGGAGAAGGACGCCGCCGCCGATGTGTCCGACGAGCTCCAGAAGGCCTCCCTCGAGGAGACGGCTTAAGTGACGCGCCCCGGATAGACTTATGCAACTTTGCATGTTCTTGCATCAGCGAATTGACGCTTTAGACCCCAAGCGGAGATTTAGCATTTCTATTTCATTTGTTTTTGGTTAGTTCTGTGCATCTTATCGATAACTCTTTACTTTTGCAGATCCTCCCTTTTTCTTTCGCCGCGCGGGAATCTTGCACACCGGTCGGAGGGGGCTTAATTCTCCTTTTGGCTATTATTCCTTTCTTGTAATCCACATTTACTACACTGTTTGATTTCTCGTCTTGTCTTGTTCCATCTTGCTATGGCAGGACTCCTTCTCTCTCCCCTCTTCCTTTCTTCCCCTCTTCCCCTCTCCCCTTCCCTCCCCAAAAGTCTGCAGAGCAGGATGATGAGATTTAGCGTTGATTTCAGAGCTTGTGAGGAAACGATCTGAGCGATTGGGGACGCCGTTGCGGGTTTGGCTATCCATAGGAACCGAATCTACCGTATTCAATTGACTTCTGGTGTCAGCATCCAATGCGATCGTATCTTTTGGCCGCGTCAAGGAGTGCGTAGCAAGTATAAGATTAGACCAATCACGGAGTGTCCAGGCGCATCACCTGCCATAATTAAATCAGTTAAATCGGGACATTATTCAGCTGCCGGCCGAGGTTTCGACGGACCGGCAAGTGGAATGACATGTCAGTGTGGCGGTGCAGGCAAACTGTCAGTCAACGTCAAGGTTGAACAGGTTGAACGGTTGGCCCGGGCTAGATTTGATGTTGCCTAAACGGGACATCCTGTGCCAAGGGTCTTGGTGCTTTCAAATCCAATTTAAATCCAGTCAACTCATTCAATCTCTTTCTTTTTTTTTCTTTCGGCACTTCTTCCTCCGATCCCCTCTTTCTCTTCCTTCCTTCTCCCTCCTCCTCGGTCCCCGCGTTGTCCTCTCGGACCAGATCTCTAGGGCAACCCAGCCACTCGCAATACCGGAGTTAAGCCACCCGCACCCTAAAATCATCTCCCGCCAGACCGCATCGACTCCAAAGGTCTCCTCAACAACACTCTCACCACTCCTCAACCACCTCCTATAACCCGCCAAAATGTCCTACAACAAGCCCGTACGTAACCTTTCCACTCTCCATTCCCACCAAGCCACAGAGCACTAACAAACGCGTAACAGGACGGACCACCTCCCTCCTATCCCGCGCCCGTCCACGACGCAGGGCCCTACTATCCTCCCCAAGGCGGCCCGGGAGCCCAGGGAGACTACTACAACCAAGGCGGATACCCTCCTCAGAACTACGGTCCACCCCCACAGCAGGGCTACTACGGCTCTCCGCCGCCCCAGGGCCAACAACCCATGTACTACCCGCCGCAGCAAGGGTACCCGCAGCCGGGGTACTACGCCGATGACCGCGGCGGTGGTGGATCCTCGGGCGGTGGTATTTGCGCCGGTATCATGGCTGCGCTGGCCTGTTGTTGTTGTTTGGATATTCTGTTTTAGATTGCGCCTTTCGCCCTTCGTTTTTATACGCTATTGCGGTTTTGACCGGGTTCCTTTCGTTTTTGGCGCCGGACAGGAGTTGGTTTCGTTCATGGTGTATGGGTTTGTCTTACTTGCTTGTTCGATATTGAATGGGTGTCTGTCGCATGTGATGTTCGGTGGTTAAGCACATCACTTGTTGGTATTCGCTATCGTTATCGTGATATATTACTTATGCCTATGCTATATTATATCGTGGATCATGGTCATGATCATACATACATAATCATGGCGTTTGACTTAAACCACATCAATCATAACCGAGTCATAAAACACGAAACACAAAAAGAGAAAGAAAAAAAGGGTATCAATCATCAATCCATCCACTCCCCCATCCCTCCCCAATAAGCAACAAACAAGAAACAAGAATAAGAATAGGAATAATAAAAAAAAAAAAAAACCAAACATCAAATCCTAGAACTAAACTCACTCCCCTCCAAATCCCCCCTCCTCCACCCCCCACCACCATTATGCTTCCCACGTCTCGGCGGCCGATCCACACTACTAGCCTCCTCAAATACCTCAATAACATCTCCCTCCGACCGACTCGGCGCACTCGTCACACTCTCCTCCACAATAATATGATCTCCATGTCCATGGCCATGGCTATGGGCACTCGCCGGTCGCTCCTCCTCAACCACAATCCGTCGTCCCCGTCTCCGCCGCATACCACCCGCGCTACTCGCCGACGCCATCTCCGTCTGCGTTTCGCTACCGAAGCGCCGGCCAGAGCTTAATCCGAGCCAGAGAAGGTAGAGGAGGAAGATGAAACCGAAGACGCTACCGAGGATTATTCCGGCTACTGTGCCCGGTGAGGGAGAGGTGTCGAGGCGGCCGTAGGAGGCGGGGATGGAGATTGTATTGTAAGCTGGGCCTAGGGGGATGGGCGTGAGGCGTTTTGTTAGGTGGTTGTCGGCGTTGGTGAGGTCTTGGTCTTGGTCTTGGTCTTGGTCTTGACGGTGACGGTGGTAGTGTTGTAGGAGGGTGGGAATTGGGGGCATTTCGTTGTTCTTTTTGGTTGTGGTGGTTATGAAGTAATGGTCGGGGATTATCTCGGAGATTGCGATAAGATTGATTAATTGTGGAGGTTTTGAATGTGGAGATTCTAGTATGATATGCGCGACATGGGCTTTGTTGTGTCTTGAGATATTTGCGTAATAGGTTATGGAATGGGGAGGTAGGGAAGAATGAAGTAATGTATGACAGAATGGAAAAGAGAGAATTTAATTCGACTTGGAAGGGTTGCGAATGTGATGAGGGTCTGGACCGGAATTATTGGTGGCTGGGAAGAAACGTCCCCATGCAGGAGAGACGGGTTAGGGCTGGGTCCACGTATAACATCTATAGCTTACCGTTCTAGTCGGAGGGTATGGGGTTTCTTCAATTTCATTGTAGGATGGCTGGTAGACTAAATATTAGGTAGGTAACTTTAATGAGAAGGAATTGGTAGATTTAGTTTTTATGATTGCTTAACTATAGGTTCGTTGGATTACGTTTGTATTGGGATTGTGTCTATTGATAAGGTACGCTGCCCTTAGGGCACGGAGTCAATTTAGGGGATGACAAAAGAGAGAGAATGCCTCATAGCATCTTACTTTCAACCCCAGTTTCTTCATCGATAACAGCAAATACATCTCGTACCTGGTTCTCATTCGCTCCTTTATCTTTTACCTTTTCTGTGAGGAACGCCGGCATGTCCACACACCAATATAGCGCTCTCGTTCATAGAGACATTAAAATTTAAGACCCTGTGAGAAGGTGTTGGTATTTGTTCACATGGTTACAGCGGGACTTCTTCGTCTCAGGGATTTTACGATTCTATCACTATTTTCGATCGGAATCTCAAAGACTTAATCGAAGAGTATGGTATACCATTGCAATTATAGCTATATAGGTAGTCTCTAAAGGACTCCCGTCAACAACTCATAGCCACTGCTTCGGGATCAAGATTAGTATGCTCCCTTTCGCTGCTCATACTTGGGCTGCTCAGGCGCCTCAACGTCCCCATATCCAGTCAGCACTGGGGTGGTGTAGGACAGTTCGAAGCTACCCAGCTTAGCACCGTCCGACTCCAATGCCCAAAGACTCAGTGCCAAATAGTTGGTTCCACGGTAGTTCAGGATACCTTCGGGAACAGGGAAGCTAGTCTGTGGCCCAACGTTTCCAGTGAACTTGCCATACTGGTAACCGTTGACATATAGCTGGGCCCGAGCCGCCTGGGTGTTATTACCAAAGTTGAAGTACAGCGGTACGTCCCAACCCTTCGGGAGATCGAGATCGAACTGGGTAGTGTAGAATCCGATACCTGGCTTCGAAAGACCTTCAAGGGGACTACCCGACTCCCAAGAGTCGCTTGGAGGCTGAGGCTGGTGGAAGCCCTGGCGCTCTGCGTACAGTCCACCTTCGTTGAGAGGTCCTCTCACCTTATCCTGGTAGTCTTCTCCTCCGAGGTTACCAGTGAGCTTCCAGGTGATGGCGCTGGCATCTTGTCCGCTCAGCTTATAGTTAAGAATACCACGAGGATTCTTCATGGTTTCCTCGCCGACCGTCCAATTTTCGTCGAGGCCTAGGTTGTCAATAACCACAGTGATAACGTAATTCTTGCCCGACTCCAGCTGCGACAGCTTGTAGGTAGAGTTACCGTCCATAGCATAATCAGCACCAGCCCAAGAGCCCAGATATGTCTCGTTTAGCCATACGGAGCTTCCAAATGCGCTACCACCCTGTGTGCGAATGAACAATTCGGTTTCCTTGCCATTGGCAACGAAGTGTCCCCTGTAGATCAGGTAGCCAGTGTGGAAGCCGTAGTCAGAAGAGTATAGCGATGTTGGTGTGTCAAGAGGACGGTGGGTGTTCTTTGTCTTTGGAAGGTCCGCAGAAACCCAAGCAGAGTCATCATAGGAGGACTTAATTTCGGGAAGTGTGTCCAGATATTTCCAGTCCAAGTCCTTCAAGCTGGGGAGGTTGATTTCTGGGGCCGTATACTTGACCTCACTGCTCCAGATGCCGTTCTTGTCGACTGTGTGGCTAGCCTTTTCTCCATTCACGAACAGGTTCTTAGCGCTTGTCGGAGCACCAATCACTTCGATCGGAGTGGTGGCATTGAAATCGGCAGTAAGATGAAGATCAGCACCATCCAGGTGAGCACCTCGGAGGAGGTAGCCGGCCTTCACAATTATGGATGAGGCGGTTGTCTTCGAAGTGCTAAAACCGGGAGAAGTACCTTCCGTGGGAAGTTCGGGGACCCAGTAGTTATAGGCAGAGTTCCTATCTGTCGATTGATTAGTCGTGTACGTGAGTTTAGCGTGAATTTACTTACCAAGCAGGAACACTCGCAAGTCACCGACTTGAACGATGCGACGAGTAGATGAGACATCCCAGCTGATGATAACAGAGCTACCCTTCCTCTTTGAGACTATTCCAGAGTCTGAACCTTCAATGATGGTCACATTTGACTTGGAGGCAATAGCCAGTTCATGGTGTTCCTTCGGTCCGCCGTATAAAACCAGGACCTTGTTATTGTCAAACTTCTTCCAGGTGAAGACTTCAGCTGTCGAATAAATAATGTTCGTTCCAGACACATTATAATCAACAACATGAATCTTCGAGTCGCGTCCGTTCAAACTTAGAGTCCCCTCCAGCTGGGGAATAGTCAGGTTACCAGCACTGGTAGGAAGTTTAAGCTTGTACGATGTTGACTCTTGGCTGGAATAGTCCGTATGTCTGACCACAAAGAACGAACCTGGACGATCACCAATTAAAGGGGTGACAGTCAGGTCGGAGGTGTCTGTGTAGACACCGGTAGTCAGGTTTCTGGGAGTAGCGGTGAGATAGGATGGCGATACTTTGACAAAGTTGCTGAGAAGCTTTATGTCGCTGTACTTCTCCCGTGTAACGTTTCGAGTTTCAGTTATAGGTGAGCCGTAGTCGTAGGATGTATATCCTCCGGGATGTCCGAGGTTACCCCAGTTTGTTCCACCGAAAATCTATATATGTGAGCCCAAGGTATACTCCAAAGATACGAGTAGGCCATACCATGTACAAGTTGAAGGTAGAAACTCCGAAACTCAAGTCGTTTCTATAGAAAACCCTCGAGAACTCGTGGTTAACGAGAGCATAGCAGTTTTCGAAACCGGGTCCACCCCATGGGTCGAAAGCACCAGCTTGGAACTAGAGAACAGTGAGACACATTCCTAGTCCTCCAGGCTGAGGAGTAACTTACCTCAAGAATTGAGTACGGGGTTGATGGGCTCTGCTCGAGATGGAGCGTGCGGAAATTCTCGGGCAGCTTACCCTCGGGCCATACGGATGGGTTTGCCTATATGCGTCAGAAGTATTCAGCCTCGCTCGCAGAAAAGAACATACACAATCAAAGCCGAGCCTGGGGAAATTGTCAGTTATCGTCAGACGGCAATTCTGTAAAAGAAGAGAGGGCATATGCAGGATAACTTACGGATAGCTATCGTGACCATAAATATCAACAGCGCCCACTCCAGTTCCAGGAGCGTTGTGCCCAGAAGGCGAGGCATCGTTGCTGATGAGAGGTACAACAATGTCAGCGTTCCGAGCCTGGTCCATGACATATTGCATGTAGTCCCCATCAGGGTAAGTGACACCGCAGCAGCCACCGCTGTATTCGTTTTCGGGCTGGTAGAGAATTACTGGCCCTCCATTCGTGATTTGAGCCTTCGCCACGGCGGCAGCGGCATTGGCGATATAGCTAGAGCCAAACGGTAAGCACGTGTCCGCAGTAACTGTCAATGAACCCATACTTATCAGTAGCTTCAAGGAATGGTTTATCAGACGAGCGAAGAGTGCCATTGACTCTCTGCAACCATCCAGGGAAACCGCCACCTGAGGACTCGGCATTGATGTACGGACCGGGACGGGCGATCAGATAGATACCTGCTTCCTTGGCTGCATCAAAGAAGGGTTCCAGAGCAAAAATGCCCTCTGCTCTGTAGTCGCCAGGCTTTCCCTCTAGAAGGGCCCAGTCAATATAGAAGGATACGCAATTGAAACCCAGGGCCTTAATTTTGTGGAAAAGGTCGAGCCAAAGCGAAGGTACTGGCAATCTGTTTCTGTTAGAATCGAACCATAGAAGTACGCGGGGGTAGTGTACCTGAATGGGTGCACTTCTCCGCTGAATAGCATGATCCTCTCTCCATTGATGAACAGAGATTTGTCATCCCATGTAACCTGCAGAGGGTCAGTATGTTTACATAATCCCCAGCGACGGAGATTTGATGACGACATACAATGTCTTGCAACAAGTCTCGTTTCGCCGGATCCGGATGTTCCAGAATCGTGAAGCCATTAAGACGATGCTTGATGGACGCACCCGCTGCTTGTGCTGCCAGCAAGGCAACAGCCCCAACCGAGAGAAGCTTCATGGTGTCGTGCTGCAGAAGAACCCCAGTGAGAGCTTACAGCAGACTCCGCACATTTCGGGGGGCAATTGCACGATTATAAGTACGGTTCGAAGGATAAATAATATAAATAACCGGCTTTCGTTAATTAAAATGTCCGATACCTTGCGTCAATGATGTATAGAGTAGGAAATGGTCCAATAGAGTCCTGGGCCGAAAGTGGAGTCCATCCGATTTCATCTCCCATGAGGTAGAATCGTGGAGCTGTATACAAACAAACTATCCACAATAGCTCCTGCTGGTCAAAGCACCATTAGCGACCAAATCAGAGGAGTGCCAGAACGCCCGAAGGTACTTCCAGCCAGCTGGTGGTTCAAGAATGCTGTGAGACGGGGCCAATGCAACGAAACGTAGAAGGAAAGTATTGGTGAAGATCCCCCACACGGAGCAAAGGACCCCATCGGATGGACGATCACGGGAGTATTTCTCCGCATATCAGAAGGCATTTACCCATTCATAACCAGCTTCACCACCCAGAGATGTACCGTGATGTTTTTATCGATCGCCATCCATACATATATGAACATGCCCGTTTAGGGATGTAGATGGGCATGCGAACAGTCTATCCATGTCGAGTGCCTGAATATCAGATCAGATAGGCATTTAAGCATATGCCAACCCTAACATTCTGGAGATAACTTAAGCCAAGAAAGCATAACTAATGAACTAGTGATTCTATGTCACCATCAGGCCACCGGTGAAGCTACTCTGTACTACTACACAGTATGCACATCATCCAGCGGGACAAGACGATTTATTATCCGAGCAGGTCAATAAGCCTTTTAGTCAAAACAGGCTATTTCGGAGTTCCACATAGCCCCCATTTCGCCGAAGTTTAACCGTTAACCATTAACCAGGACCACGTCAGGAGTCGGGAATCGGTGCGTTTTCTCTCCCGTCCGATGCGAGATGCATGTTATGACATCCTTCGGGGCATGTATGTCCGACCTTGCTTTTCTGAGTCTTTGATGGGAAACCAAACCAAAACAAATATTACCCTTGAGGGATTTATGAAATCTGCTCCTGTCGAGGCACCTAGGCTGACATATCCTTTAATCAACCAAACCAAACCAAACCCTATCGCAGATCTCACCATGCAGACTCAACGTAATCAATGTGAGCGGAAAGAACTTTTGGCGACTGAGTTTTGTGTCTCCGCTGTATCTGAAACTCCAAATCGGACTTTCAGACGTGCAGCGATCAAGTTTATTAGGCCTCTGGCTGTGCGCGCCTTCGAGATTTCAGGCAAGCCAACCTCAACCTGCAAGTTCCGTCGAATCCAGTTCCTCAACTCTATTGCCATGAGAGAATCTATGGCGACATTTACCTCCGCTTGATCGTCTATATCATCCGCTCCTGGCAGGCCCTTCGTGATCAATTGCATAAGTTCCTGGGCAATAGTAGTCTCGGTTTCTTCTTGTAGAAGGATCGAAGGATCTACCACCGCTTTGTTGATCAGTTCTCGTATTTTATTAACACTGGGACCGCTCTCTTGTTTGACAAATGTGGAATCGAGGTTTGCGTAGGATGCGAACCGAGCATCACGACGCCACAGTGTCTGTGCACCAGGATTGGGTAGCGGCTTTGTGGTGCCGAGTCCAACAATCAACGGTGCCGAAAGTCGTGTGTCAGACTTTGTGGAATTGGCTATGTTGGACTCCCCAATGCACTGCTTTAATCCTTTAAGAACTTCGTCCTCGCTCAAAAGCCAGATTCCAAAGGATTTAAACGTCTGCAGGACTTTCGCATCTTGAGCAAGCCGACCAGTCTCGCCTACAGCGCCGAGGGCAATGACGGAGGATGGAAGGCCTAATTGTCGGCGATACTGTGTAAAACCATCAAGGAATGTGTTTGCAGCTGCATAATTGGCCTGGCTCGCATTGCCGCAAACGCCCACTACAGAACTGAATAGAACAAAGAAAATCTAGATCCTCTTGTAAGACTGAATTGTGAAGGTTCCATGTACCTTGAACCTTGGGAGACAACGAAGAATTCCAGTCTTCGTAGCTCATGAGGGGGAATGGGCGATCCTGGTTGAGCACGTTATCAGTTAGTATTCTTCTCCTCAGCGTTTGCATAATATGGGAGCAGTGCCTCACATTCAAAGATATCGACATTTGGAAAACACCTTTCAACGGACTCTTGCATCTGGAAATCGCAGCCTGCACATCTTCGATTCTTGTCACACTCCCTTGAATGCATTGAACATGGCATCCCATGGCGTTCAATTCTTTGATGAATTCTCTGTTCTCTTCACTGGAGTCTGCGGTGCGAGAAAGATAAACTAAATAACGTGCTCCTTGCTCTACCATCCATCTGGAAACTGCACGACCCAAGCCTCCAAGGCCGCCTACTAGGAGATACGATGCACTGGATGAAAACAATACTTCCATCTCGCTAGGTCGCTGGGATAGCTGGCTTGAGTCATCAGGTATCCTTATTAAAATCTTTCCCATGTGTGTACCCCGCTGCATAAATCGGAATGCCTCAATTACTTCGCAGGCTGGAAAAACTGTAGTTGGGCGAATTGGTTTAATTTTGCCTTCTTCATACCACAGAATAAACTGGGAGAGGAGACTGGAGACAAGTTAGCGTAGCCAGCAAAGAGTCCCTTGTCCTGGGAGGCTCGCCTGTTAAAAGACTCTTCGCTCAACTCAAGCAGATCAACGCCGAAAAATGCTCGGTTCTTCACGAATGGTTTCAGGCTCAATGTCCCATTGGCCAAAAGGTCGCGTTTGCCTAGTTCGACCATCCTACCAAAGCTGGCAACACATTCCCATGAGGCATGTAACAGCTCTCCATATAATGAGTTTAGTACAACGTCCACCCCGCGTCCCTCTGTCGCCTTCATGACACACGGGGAAAAGCTCGCACTTCTAGAATCAAAAATTTGATCGGGCGGTATCCCGTAGATTTTAACGAGGTGGTCTTTTTTTGCCTGGCTACCCACTGTTGCGAATATCTACGTTTGTTAGCCAGATGATGATACTGAAGGTCGTGCCCATGATCTACCTTTTCGACACCGACAAGCTGACAAATTTGGATAGCTGCCTGGCCAACTCCACCGCAGGCGGAATGGATCAAAACAGTCTGTCTAACAGTAAGTCAATGGTGAATACCCGTGGGATCGTTGCATACTTGGCCTCTTTCAAGTTGTCCTACGTTAATTAAAGAGTATATCGCTGTCGCAAACACTGATCCCATATTGACTGCATCCTGTGTAGAGAGCCCTTTCGGCAATTTCAGGCAGCGTTGTCGATTCACGATAGTTCGGGTACAAATGGGTCCAAGATCATGTACCAGTATCTCGTCTCCGGGCATTATATTGCCAACATTCGAACCAACACGTCGTACAACGCCACTCCCCTCTTGGCCCATCTCACTTATACTTCCAACAAACCCCATAGCTACCATGATATCCTAAAACAAGTTAGCGTCACAGGCTCCACCAATGTTGCAGGGTTTAGTCCGGCAACCTTAAAGTTCAAGCCAATATAATGAATATCAACTTCGACATCATCTCGCTCTAGACTACCGTAACTAGTATCGACCCATTCCAGTGTATCGAGGAGACCAGGGATTTCCATAGTGAGCTTCTTGGAAGTGTCTGATTGGATTGGGCGCAAATTGTCTGTTACTATGCCCCAGTAGCACTGACTAATGAACACAGTGTGGTTGTGGTAGGCAAACTCATGGCTTGGGCTTTGATTATCTTCATCGGCAGATTCCAAGATCTTTCGCACAATCGGACCCACTGCCTTCGCAGACTCAGTATCAAATAAGTCGATTTCCAGAGTGTAAAAATCGAGCATCAGTTCTTGCCTCAAGGTCCGGGCGAACCCTAGTACTAGGCCAAAGCCCGGGTCTTCACAGTTGAATTGGGTCATCTTTGTCACCCAAAGCAACTTGGACTGATCGATGTCCATCAAATACTTTTGCAAAGCATGGTATCTCTTTTCGGACAGTCTCATGAGAAAGGGATCTTGCTGGTCTAACAAGAACACAACACACGCATGAACACTTGGTGCCTCCTCCAAGCTCCCCCATTCCACAGTGAAATTCTGGCTCGCGAGCGCTGAGTACACCATGCCAGCCCAAAGATCCGGCGAGCCATCAGTCACCAGTATTATCGGCTGTGTGGTGGTCGCAACTGGAAGAGGACGAGTGATCATATCTACGCATATGTGGTAAGGGTCAATATCGCGGCGTATTGCCTTAGTTCCTGTGAAGCCAGCGGATTGTAACTCCTTGTCCCACCTCTCGGGGCTGATGTAAGGCCCATTTATCCTCCCATCATCCTCACCTACCCACCAGCTGGGAAGTGTGCCCTATACAAATTAACACGTTCTACTACTTAGAATTAAGATTTACATCTCTCACCATTATGTAATCGACGGCTAGGGCCACTGCCTAGAATGTGAGTGGATTGTGTTCATATAAAGCTTCTCATGAAGTCATACCTGGATCTAACTCATGGAGTAGCAACCAACCATGTGGAGCCAGCAAGCTCTTCACATTTTTTAGAGTATGTTTTAGAATTGGGGTCGTGTGGAGTGCCTAGACAAGGTAAGGCGGGGCACAATTCGTTATACTCAAAGGAGACAAACATTTGATGCTATGATGAGATCAAAGGATTGAGCCGTAAAGCCCTGCTTGAGAGGATCGCTGCTAATATCGAGAATCCTATACTCCATGTTCGCGTTTTCCCGGAACTTATCCTGGGCTGCTGTCATAAACCTCGGAGAGATATCGGTAAACGTATATTCAGAGTACATAGGCACCCCTGATATGTACAGCGAGCGTAAAGCTTCAGTTGTGGCGCCCCCGGTTCCAGCGCCAATTTCAAGGATTCGCAACCTTGGATTTGAGTGACTGAGAAAAGATATAAAAATGCTCCAGTCGCTGTTTCCCTGGTCAAACTGGTAGATGCGACTAAGTCGGTTGTTTTCTATTAGTAGGTCTAGGGCGGAAATTCTGTTGGCCATGATCTCCAAGCAATTGTCATATATTACTTCCATACAAGTAATAATAATATTATCTGCTTCGGCAGTACTCAGCTTCTTTATGAGGGCCAGACGCTGCTTACTTGGTTGTGTGGCCCATTCTTTAGACTCGGGAAAAAGTGTTCGTTCTCCACTTCGAATAGCAGCATCTTCATATAGTAGCCAGGATTTCCACTTGGACGCATGGGGAGATTGTGGCTTGAAGTGTTTGGTCCTTTCGGCTGTCTCAAGAATATATAAAAGTGAGAGTTGACTTATTCTTCTTGTTAGATCCAGTTGCTCTGGCGAGGTAACTGACGCTGGTAATAGAGCTTCGGGTTTGTAAAAGTCAGGGTCCGGCTTCCATTGAATCTGTGCTAGCAACGGAATCCGCGGAGATATTGAGTAGTTCTGGTTTCCCAGCGCGAAGCAAATGCCGCGTCTCATCTCCAGCACCACTTTATCCCCAAGCATTGCCGTTGCATTACCCACCAAGCTGCTACCAGAATATTGGACCGTCTCGACCGTGGCCTTCATGTGGTTTCCTCCTTGCCCAATGAATATCTGGTCGATGGACGCCGGTATTCCTCCTGCGGTAATATGCCGTGGGAGGCCAGCAGCTCCAGCGACGCTCATTAGCTGAAGGCATTGGTCGATCATGGTCGGGTGAAGACTGTATGGACATCCAAGGGAACCTACTTTGTTATTGACCTTGGCCACAGCTTTGCTGCCCTTAGGGTCAACTGAGATATCTTGTAGACCTCTAAATTGAGTTCCATAAGAGAGGCCTACGCTAGCTAGGGTATCGTACCACTTGCTGGAAGATACACGGCGTGCATATTGCTTTATATCCACGGGAGAAATGTTCGCCAAAGCTCCGGCTCGGACCTGGCCGCTGCAGTTTTTTATCCAATTGCTGCCGTCATACGATGCGATGGTAAATGAAAACCATTCTGAATCCGCCATATCGTTTAGTTTAACTGGCCGTAAGGTTGTAATAACCTCGATTGGCTCAAATTCTTCTATCACCAATGGAACCTTAAATATGGCGTTTCTGACAGTGTAACCAGTGATGCCGTGTGACAGCTGTAAAATAGCTTCACCCGCCATAGCGATATACGCTGCAGCCGGGAAAACCACTTTACCTTGAATATCATGATCCGATAACCAGGAAACATCCTCTAGGCTTATAAAATGTCTCCATGCAGGCTCTAGGCTTGTAGACTCGGTACTCCTCGAACCAAGCAGTTCATGAGGCGGCACCTCATTGAGCCTCCATTCCCGTACCATACGGCTTTCTTTCCAGTATCTCGTACCATGCCGCCATGGGTATGGTAAGACGTCAGTCAGAATATGCCCCGTTCCATTCACCGCATGTAGGTCCACTACGACCTTGTTCATATGGATAGAACCAACTGAAGTCAACAGTTGACGCTTGCAGTTGGTGTCGTTCCGAATCAAAGTTGGTATATATGCAGGGCTTATTTTCAAGTCATGGGCTCGGATAATCTGCTTTATGGGTGCTGACAGTGCGCAATGTGGTCCTATTTCAATCAAAATATGCTTTCCCTGCCTTTTAGCGAAAAGGGAACTTATGGCATCTGAGAAGAGTACAGCAGATTCGAGGTTTCGCCGCCAGTAGGCGGCATCCAAGGTTTGAGGGTCTGTGATCATCTGCGCTCCAGCACTGGAAAACATGGGTAGCATCTTCTGATGGAATTGGAGGTGATTCGATATGGTTTTCTTATATATGGGTCCCACAGCCGCCATGTAATCTGTCGCCATGTAAGAAATATCACCCGCGCCGGCGAAAGAAAAGACTCACGTGAATGATATGCCATGCCTAACTGGAGTTTCCTACAAAACGTATCCGGGTGGTCGTTCCGGATGTGCCTCACCATATGATCTATTTTACTTTCTTCCCCAGATATCGTGACGCTCTGCGGGCTATTTTTGCATGCAATCACAACTCCATCAACAAGGTACGGAGACACCTCTTCACTGCCAAGCCCGATGCTTGCCATTTCACCAGTGCCTTTTTGAGCCTGTGCTAGCTTTCCGCGATAGTATGCAAGAATTATCGCAGACCTAGCCGATATTGCTCCGGCGGCATAAGCCGCTGCTATTTCTCCACTAGAGTGCCCAACTACATAGGTTGGCTTTATGCCCCACGCCGCAAGCAGGTTAACCAACCCAATCTGCACCGCGGTACATAGTGGTTGGCAGAATTCAGCCTCGTTAACGCGCGACGCAGCGACGCAGCTAAGTTCCTCTATAGGTCAACATTAGTGTGATATGCTTATAGCTTAAAGCTGGAGATGACATGTTACCCATCAGGGACCATTGAGGTGGATCTTCAATGGTCATTAGGATATTTCCTAGCTCTAGCATATCCATTCTAAAACCTTGATATGCCTTGATTAATCCTTGTCCCATACCAGGCCACTGAGCTCCCTGGCCAGTGAACACAAACGTTAACTGAGCCGATACGGAGGAATGCGCTGACTGAAAGTCTGATGGTGAGAGGGGAGATGATGGATCATACACAGCAAACGCGCGGTGCGACAAATGTTTTCGCCGTACACCCAAGGTGAATGAAAGGTCTTGATTCTTTTCAGGATGGCGATTCACATAATCTGTTACCTGATTGATGCGAGTCTGTAGAACTTGCTCATGTTGGGCCGAAACAACAAGAAGTTTGATTCCATTTCCGGGGTCAGGAGAACCCTGTACCCGGCTATTTAGGCATGCTTCGTGCGCAGAGTCCAAGATAACGTGGGCATTTGTGCCACCGATGCCAAAGGCATTCACGCTGACCCTTCGTCGACGACCGGCTGGCCAGTCCATAGGCTCTACTGGGACCACCAAGCCATTCTCTTTGAAAGATATTTCTGGGTTGGGCTTTTCAAAATGTACATTCGGCGGAATTGTCCCATGTTCCAGGGATAGAACAGCTTTGATCACGCTTGTGATTCCCGATGCACCTTCTGAATGTCCAAAATTAGGTTTTACCTGAGGGCCAGTCAGCATCTTGAACAATGTTAACATACTATCTACATACTGCTCCAATCACTATCTCGTTTCCCCCAAACACGTTTGCCACTGCTGTTGTCTCGACTTTATCCCCCGCGCGTGTACCCGTTCCATGGCATTCGACAAAGGCAGTTTCTGATAGATCTTTGATATTTGCCCGCCGATAAGCATCCAATATCAGGTGTTCCTGGGCTAGTATTGAGGGAGCTGACATGTTTGATGTTCCTCCATCAGAGTTTGCCGCAGTCGAGCGGATGATTGCTCTGATTGGATCATTTTCCTTGATTGCATCCCCAAGCGGCTTCAGATAAAGAGCATTTATTGCCTCGCCACGTCCATATCCGTCAGATTCAGCATCAAAGGTCCGACATACCCCACTAGTTGACAGCACCATGTAACCGGACATACTTGCTGTCATTGCTGGGCTGAGGATCAGGTTTGTACCTGCAACAATAGCTGATGAACATGCTCCGCTAGCCAACGACTGGCATGCTTCATGGATCCCAACCATTGATGATGAGCACCCTGTCTGGATAGTCATACTATAGATGAGATCAGTCAGGATACTTTTGCGTGGTTAAGCCTTGTATGCTAATACTCACCTTGGGCCGCGTAAATCAAACTTATAGGAAACTGTATTGGCCAAGGCAAAACTTGATGTACCGAGCGCATGCGATCTGTCAATACTGAGTGGATCTCCGTGAGAGAGACCTAACCAGTCTTCCCCGAATACACCAACAAAACATCCTATATCTTTGCCTTCCCAGTTTGTTTCCCCCGCATTTTCTAGACACTCCCATACCACCTCCAAAAGCAGTCTTTGCTGTGGATCCATAGCAGATGCCTCCTGTTCAGTCACTGAGAAAAACGGCGCGTCAAAGCAGGCTGGATCTTCAGGCAGAAAGTATCCATATCTTGTATGCGTGTAACGCTCGCTCTGTGCGTTGTAAAAAGCATTGATCCCATATCTTGTTTTAGGAACCTCGCAGTGTCCATCTCTTTTGTTTATCAAAAACTGCCAGAAGTCCTCGGCCGTCCGAATTCCGCCCGGAAGCCTCATCGCCATACCAACTATTGCAATAGGGGGGAATGCCGCCGGACGTCCATCGGGAATCAACGCGTCCAGTCCATCATGGTGAAGGCTCGTAGGTTGCATTATGTCTTCACAAAAGGACTGATCTCTTGAATGCATCGGGTGCTGAGTCTAGCTACTCGGATCAGCTCTTGTCATATAGGTTATGATTCCCTATAATGCCAAAATCTGTTGCTGCCAGTGCTCGTGTCAGATGCATCCCTGCGATCATTTGGGGAATTGACGGCAGAGTGGGTAATAAGGATACGGAGAATTTTTGAATGAGCTTTGGTGAGGACAGTGGCAGGTAGGACAAAAGATAAAATTGCTCCTCTCAGTGACAGTAAGAGTGGAAACTCACCGTATGCCCACCACACATTCCGTATGCACATACCCAAATGGGCCAGCATTAGATGAATTGGTAAAACTTTCCTTCGTTACAATATATATTGTACTCGCACACTGTCATCTTGATAGTCTAAGCATCTGAAGATTCATATTTCATAGAACCTGTAATTGCCTTCACTGATAAAAGGACAGGTCAAATCTTTGATGAAAGTTTGATTCACTCGGCATGTGACCTTAAGGGTCACGTTCTGGGGCGCCCTTCAAGCTGCAGTCACCAGGAGACTGGTGCCAGCAGCGTCTAAGCAGTGAGTCTTTACCCTGGCCAGGGTGCTTTATGTTTCTTAAACGCCCCTAAGGGGCTTCTCTTAACAGGGCGCCATACGGTGTTCAAACTTGTTGAAAATCTTTTTTTGTAAATTCTGTGCCCCCGGGAACATTCGGTCAATTATCTATGTAAATGAACCCATCGTTGAATTGCGAATTGCTGCACTACCAACCGTCCTGTAGTCGTCTGTGCGCTCCATAGGGCTTTCATTGTATTGGCAATGTATTCAGTGTTGTACATGTACATATACAGACTTCAATGTAAAGGGAACACGGCTGCTCCTTTAGATAGATGACCTCAATGCCCCAGTAGCTCGGCATACCTTCTATCCATATAGGCTTATAACAGAGGCTGTTGGGACTGGCTTAAATTTCAGTCAGGCCTGCCCTAAGAATGAATGCGGTGTTCAAAAGCCAAGTGAACCAGAAGCATTTACTCCAAGGGGTTTTCTACGAGACTGGCTATACATGGAACTCCTGTGGAGACATGTATCTATGTAACCTACTCAAGGTGACAGCCAAAATCAAAGCAAGTATGCGAATAACACTGTCTTTTCGTGGTACAATCAATGCTTTTGCCAAATATATGCACATCCCGATAGATCCCAAGTCATATTACAAACTATACAGTCGTGTTGAACCGATCTTCTTCGTCACCGACTTTCTGCCAGGTCTCACGGCTTTCGGCATGTTCCTGCTCGTCTTGCCCCAGAACCTCGTTTTCATGCTTGACTGCTTCTTCCTCCGCCTCAACGGGGGCTGCAGCCGGAGTGTTATCGGCGTCCGTTGTCTCAACCACCGGAGTCGCCGCAGCGGGTGTGTCGGCGTTTGCGCGCTTCTGGGTGATATTAACAAGCGGGGTATCATCGTTGAAGATACGAAGAAGCATAGCACGACGCTCCTCCTTGGGAAGCATGAGGTTAACGGAATGCAGGGAGCGCCACAGGGGAAGGACCATCCGCTCGCTAGTAGATAGTTAGTTGATTCGCAACATTGTAGACCCAGTCAAACATACCTGAAGCCAGTCTCAGAAGTATCAGGCTCGATGTGCAGGACACTGCAGCCCATCGGGATATCCCTCACGCGCTCACCAATTTCTCCAAGCTCCTTCCAGCCCTCATCGTCGACCTTAGGGAACATCTCCACGAGAAGTCTCCGCAAAGTCTCCTTCCGCCTAAGGGTAACCGCTCTACCGGGTCCCAGCCATGGCTCAAGGACCCTCAATCCATCGGTCTGGATACGCCAAGGGCAAACACCTGGACGCTGCACGTCTTGCTTCACAAACATCTTAACACCACAGTGGACAATCTTCATGCCTTGTCCCTCATTTGCGGTCAAGATATCGCGCGCCAGAGCACTAGTATAATAGATAGTTCTGGCTGGAATGGCCTGTGCGTTACGGACCATGAATCGATCTCTAGGGAACCGGTCTGATCCTTCGTAAAATTCAAAAATGGGTGGGAGCTCCTCATGGTTAGGGTCCAGATACTTGAAAGGTTCTTCAATTGGCTGTCCTGGTTTCCGTTTCTGTGGGGGTGGAGCCTGAGTTGCACTCGTTGCTTGTTGAAGAGGTGCAGGCGTGGAAGTAGCGTCGGATGTATCCATATTATCAGGCTCAATCACGGGAGCCGGCTGGTGGACGGGCCGATCACCCACGACTACTTCAGATCCATCGTCAAGTTTCGTCCTCTTGGAAGGGATTTCATCCTCCAGGCTCTCTGCATCCCTCTTGGCAGGGGACATCTGGTTGGTAGCAGAGTAAGGGGGCTGGTGGGTAGCCTCTGCGACAGTAGCATTCTTCTGAGCCTCCTCTGCAGCATTCTCATTAGGAGTAACCATATCATCCAGCGCATCAATCTTCTCCAAAGGTTGCCCATTGCCATTCTTCTGCTTGAATTCAAGCTCTTCAGTGAGTGCGGCCACGGTTCCCTTGGGAATGACCTTCGAAGAGTCTTCTGGTTTGGCGCGAATCTCCGACAGCTTCTCCAGGACAGTGATGAAGAATCCACCAGTGTCTTGAAGGTGGGGGTAGATACGAATACATCTTTCAAGAGGTAGGTCTGCGTTCTCTCCAGTGGGAGGGAACATGCCTGCAGCGACTCTGCCAAGGCCACTGATACCTTGGCTTGCCCGGTGCTCCTCAATTTCCTCCCAGGTGTTCCACATCCTTGTGTCGCGATCCATAACCTTCCATGACTTTAAGCCGGGAACTCTCTTCAAACCCGGCAACTCGTTGCTGCAATCGACAATACGCACATTGGCGGCACCACCGCAGCGCTCAATGGCGCTAGCAACAACTGCCTCATTCTCCACAGGGTTCATACTGCAAGTTGAATACACAACACGGCCACCGACCTTCAGCATCTGCAAGGCACGCACAAGGATGCGAACTTGCGTAGCATACAGTCCCAAAGCGTTGCCTGGGGTCCATTCCTTCCAAACACCAATATTCTTTCGGGGAGTTCCATCACCGGTACACGGTACATCCGCGAGAATACGGTCGAACTTGAGGTATTTATTCTGGACCTTTCCACTGGGTCCTGGAGGCGAGGGAAGTTTGATGGAGGGGTACATGGTGGCATCATGGTTTGTGACGATCAAGTTCGGGGAGCTGAGTCGCTTCATCTGATGGATAAGCATGTGCGCGCGCTTGTAGTCGGTGTCGTTAGCGATGAGAAGACCGGTGGTTCTACCATCGTCGTTGAGGCCCTCAGGTCCCAAAGGCTCAGGACCAGCGGTTCCTTCCTTCACTTGTTTGGAAACCTGGAGCATCGACTCTTCCTCTCCAGCGTGGATCATCTCCATAAGCTGTGCAGATTTACTACCCGGAGCGGCGCACATGTCCAAGACAGTCATGCCAGGTCTTACATCAAGCAAGAGCGGAGGAATCATGCTAACAACTTCCTGTCGGCTAATACTTCCAACCGCAGTCTCGGCGACGAGGAACTTCTGGAAATTGGCGAACGGAGCGAAACGTCGTACGACCTGCTTAGGGGTCGTCATCGACCACGCGAGCTGGTCAGGGTACCAGGAGACCGGGCGCGGTGGCTCGACGAAGTTGCCCTCATACTTAATTGACGTGATTTCGGGAATATAGAATTCCTTGAGACGCTCCTGGACCGCGAGGGCATGTCTTTAGGTCACATATCAGTATCTTAACCGTTTTGGTAATTCGCGCGTTATGCGCGGAGCGAATCTGCGATAACGTACCCTTGTGACCCTGTAAAGCGAAAACTGTTGGGAAGATCTTTCCGCAGGTACTCCCAGAATTGCTCTTTTTCTTCCTCGGGAATGAACCCCTGCTCGTTATAGAAGCGTTCGAACTTCTCGTTCGTTTTGGGGATATCATTCCAGCTTTGGCGCTGCCCGCCACCACGGCCGCCGCCCTGTCCCTGCATCACATAGTGTAAGTAACAGTAAAATTGAGAATGAAAGATCTCGAGCGATAGATCAATTGGACTGAATTGAGTCTCTCACCTTCTTTCCGCGCTTACCCATGGTGCAGGGAAGAAATAATTTAGAGAGCAAATAAAGTTACAGGGAATTTCTCCGCTGCGGAACGATTGTCGCAAGTGCTTGATTTCGGAAGCTCCAGAAAACATCCCACTCCGGATTATCCTCGGTCCGGGTTAGATAATCGTGCTCTACGCTTCGAGTTAGCCTGGCTGCTGATATCAGAAGCCCTATCTCATGGTCAACCAGACTATGTACAGGTATTCAACAACGCAATATTGAGTATGAATTCGCTACATAAGTTTTTCAGGTCGGTCCCTCAATCAGCCAACAAATATTCGTATCACTCTTCTTAGTCCCCCTCAAAAATGTGCGTGGTTTGCCATTCTTTATGCATAGTTTGATAAGACATTCAAATGGGTGTAATTTTAAAGAGAAAATCAATTATCTTAAAAACCAAATATTACAATAAATGCCTTGTTGCTCAGTCCTCACAGTCCCGATCTTAGTTTACAAACATAAGTGAAACGTCCAGGTCTCCATCCAAAACGAACAATGCAAACAACCTTACTGAAGCCAGTCAACAAGACTTATTCAGCTTTGCACAACTTCCCAGTATCCAAGTCATATTGCCACATATCACTTCTCACGCCAGAGAGGACAAACAGGCTTTCACTAGGGTCGTATTTAGCCTTAATCTTTGCCAGAAGGTCATAGTTTGAGCCATAGAAATCCTCCTTGAAGTTGCTCGTGAATGGGTTCGCCTCGTTCATATAGGCACCCGAGTTAGGCGACCACTCTCTCCACATCTTTTCCTTAACCTCGTTAAAGTGAGCCGCGCTTTTCAGCGCCTTCTTTGGCGATCCCGCAGCAGTAGGGTCAACCGTAGCACCATTGGAAATGAAATGCAGATAGGCGGAGCGCCAGGCTGGAAGCAATGCGCCCCATTCTCCCTCCTGCGTATTGTGCACCCCGGGGCCGCCTTGTAGACCAATTGTCGCATACGTACCGGCGGTTTCATTTTGAGAGCGCATCGCTATCTTGAGATAGGCACGTCTTTTGTGCCTAGGCGTGTCAAGTAGCTCGGCCCGTCCTAGCAAACGGCTAGACACTACGCTCTGCCCGCCGGCCGCGTCACTCCCAGAAATGGCGCTGAAGAAAGACGAGTAATTACTATGGGAGGAAGCACTGAACGAGATGGAGAGACTGTTGTTTCCACCAGCCGCATGAGAGATGTTTGACAGAATAGAATTGACAAGTGCCTCCATGGCCGAAGGTGTGGAGTTGAACGACCAAAAAACCTGCTGGACAACAGCACCAGTCGTGGGTTCTGAAAGTGATGCAAAGTTCATGGCACTTTGACCTGTCGCTAGCATACAAGCTCCGGCCAAGCCGGCATCCATCAGGTCTGGAAGAGCAGAGAGATGGGTCACAGCTGCATCCCAGGACAATTCTGCACTTCGGTTGCTACTATCCTTAGGCGCAATCAAAAGATTGCCTATCGTCACACTGCTAGGCGCCGGGTGATGCCTGATAACGTACTCTGTGACGACCCCATACAGGCCAGGACCTCCCCCACGAAGGGCCCAGAACAGGTCCTGGTTTTCGGAGTCGTTGGCTATCAGAATCTTACCTTCAGTCGTGACAACCCTCATCTGGAGAACATGGCTAGATGCGAGGCCATAGGTGCGGGAGAGGGGGCCATGACCACCGCCCTGAATGTAGCCGCCCAGTCCAACACTAGGATCCTGGCCAGTGGTAACCACTCTTCCGTGCTCGAGGGCTTTGTCGAGTACATTTCCCCATTGCTGACCACTGCCCACAATGAATACGTCCTCAGAGGTGTTTTTGCTAGGGTGTAACCAGGACCGATTGCGCTCGAGCTTGCGCAAGTTATGAGTCCAGATAGATAGGGCAAATGCACCGCTGGATCTGAAAGAGCATGTCAGCAAAGCCCATGATAAAACACTAATATACATACCTTCCGTTTAGATCATGACCTGTTCCCTTGACTACAATCCGAATGTTCCGCTTCGAGGCCCAGTGCATTGCCGTGGCGATCTGCTCTTCGGTGGTCGCATTCACGATGTACTCAGGCAGACCTCCAGTCGTACAGCCTCTTCCTTCGACGTAGCCCGGAGCGTTCGGGGGCAAGCAAGAATTGTTCGCATAGATTGGGTAATCGATTGATTCGGGAAATTTAGAGAGCCACATTCCGTTGGTCCAGTTCGATTGAACGTTGCCGCAAGAGACGGGTGATCCAAACGGATTACCCGGCCAGCATGACGAGGCGACGGGCACAGTGTGGAGGAGCCTACCATCAATGGAGGCGTTAAGAGATACCCAGTCTGAATTGGAAGGCCATGTTGAGTCCAATGGGGTCACTTTGCAAGTCACTGATGCAAGTGCTGGCGCCGCCAGGACCAGCGCCGAAACGATGGCTGGGAGCATGATGAGTCTAAGAGACGTTGTTCGAGTCGAATTATGAACACATATTGGCGGCGCAAGGAAACTATATATATACCTGGCTGGCCTCTATGATAGATGATTACGAATCTCTGTTAAGGGGTACCAAGGACGTTAGTGGGCCGGTGGATGTGGTCGTATATCCTTCCATCTCGGAACTCAATTATCCAGTGTAAGAATATAACAAATAAAGGCCGGTATAGGTAACTGATAGGCATCTTCGTTCGTTTCACCGATGATCTCATGGCACCCACCTCAGATAGTAGGCATAGGACAATATACGAATACGGCAGAAGAACTCAAATAGGAAAGGCTGTGGAGAGACCCACCCAGTTGGATTCTGGGGTAGACTTCTATTTTAATTCATCATTCCTACATGGTATGAAAGTGTGCAACATTTTCATGCTTTATGGGTGTCAATGGACACGATATATTACCCCAGTCCGGTCAACGTCTGCAGAAAGCAATGAGCCAGCGCTAAATCTATACACAAGCAACGAATTGAACTCAATATCCGCGCTATAACCGATAATACTTGACCCACGGTCTGTAGTATCAAGTGGGTGGAGGTAATCCGAAAATCTGAAATTCTCATGCCTAAAGAGGGATTTTTTCGTGTTGTCAGTCTCATATGGGTCCACCAGTGGGTCAAAAGGCTATTACGATGTAACGGGATGCCGATCGACGTTGCCTAATTTGAAGATGCATTTGCTGAATCTGCAGGATACCAAAGTTATCTATTGGCTCAACGCAAGCTCAGGTTTAATTGGGCAGCGATACAAAGGCTTGCCGAGCCTACTACCGTGACCATATGGTGGTCCACGACTGTTAGTCAACTGAAGAAAAGGGGTATGTTGTAGCTTGGTAGGTGAATGGAGAAATCTAAACACTACCTAATAGATTGTATAGTTTCTTATGAATTATCATATGTACATTACTAGCCACAATTCCAGATACTACCGCCCTCTTCAGGCTATCTCCCTGGTAGACAGCAACTCATCATACAACCAGCACAACACCGGTGCTTCTATCTGCACGCCACCCTCCGCCCTAGTGATCCATTCCGCTTCTGTCCATCTTGCTTCCTCAATCCTCTTTGCAGGTTGTTTCCGTACGGTACTCATCAGAGAGCGATAGATGCCCTGATTTGGATACGCGATAAGACCAACTGTTGCCGCCCCGGTCTTAACTGTCAAGCTGACTAGACCTTTGGTCAATCCCTTAGCCACTCCAAGAGCGCCCTGCTTCTTCTTTCCCTGATATGTGTGCACGAAGATATCGGTGACACCCTCGTACAAGCCGTGAGAGAAGGTCGACCACGCCACACCCGCACCACTCTTCCAGTCCCTCACCGGGCCATGCACACGTACCTTTTCGCCATACAGTCGGGGCACTGCCCGCATGCCTTCGACGGCTGCAAGAGGTAGATCTACCAGGGCGCCGCGAGAGGACCGGCCGAGAAAGATTCCTAAGCTGGTAGCTGATGCAATAGCCATCTGCCGCGCGTAGTCTGGGTCATCAGAACTAAGTTCAGTGTCCAAGATGTGCGAATGCGTCCGTGTTATTAATGTTGGCTCTGTCGTGGATAGTGTCTCAGATGCAGATAGCGGGGGGTGTGGAACGGTGGCAGGGTCGGAGGCGTCGCGATTGCGGTCAGATTTTCGGAGACGCTTGTATTCCTTATATGGATCGATAAATATCCCTGCTGTGGCATCGGCCATGCCGGTGAGGGTAGATAGCGAGGCTGATGAAATGGCCGTAAAGGGGTCCCATCGACGAACATCAATGGTAAATGGCTTTGTTTGGTATCTGGTTTTTTCCGTCATGAATGAGTTAGCCACAACGAAGTCTTCCTATGTTCGAGCCTGGACTTGTATGCTCAGGACCTGACTCACAGTTTAAGATGTTTTCCCTGGATCCGTCCCTGGCGCTTCAGGGCCCACGCAGCCACTTTGGACAGCTTGACTGTTCGTTTCCCTGTCTGAAAATACCAGACTGCGGGTTCGCTCGGTATGAGATCACACTGCATCTTACGCCGCGGGAGATGCGAGTGGAACGAGTCAACTGCCGCACGAACACCGCACTCCTGACGCATCCTGTCTGCTATATCCCGCGCCACAGCAGCAGCCTGCGGGGTTAAGCAATAGGTGATAGCGTCAGCCAGCTTCCGTGCGGTGAGGTTCTTGTGGGGAATTGGCTCCGGACCGGCTCCCACAGCGGCAATCATATTACCCCAAAATGGTTGGCTGTAGCGCGAAGCTGGTTAGCATCAAAAGACCTGAGAGCTTCCACAGACAGAGAAACACAATACTTACTCTCCAAAGAAGGGGACGATGACAGTCGGTTTTCCATTCCGCAGGCCGCAGGCTGTTGTTCCTGCACCGCCGTGATGAACAACAGCGGCAACATGCTGGAAGAGCCACTCGTGCGGACAGTCGCCAATGTAGTGAACATTGGGAGTCTCTCGGCGTTCTAAATTGCTCCAACCACAGGATATTATGGCCCGTACTCCGGTCTCTTGAATAGCATCAAGGAGGCTGGACAATGTCTTTTCTACATCCTCGAGGACGATACTACCGAAGCCGATATAGACAGGTGGCGGACCAGCACGCAGGAAGGCATCAAGTTCCGCTGGAGGTTCGTAGGCCGGTGGATCACGAAAGAAGAACCCACAGACGTCTGCAAAGTTAGCCAATATTACGTCCTGGTGGGGGTATCATCTTCACCTATATGAGATGCCCAGTCCTTGGGCTTCGGGATCAATGCGGGAGACCAGCAGTATGTGAAGGGCACGTTGAGCGCTTCTACGAGGTTTGGTCCCTCTGTGGTGGGGACGGGATCTAGGCCCAGTACATTTCTGCGCCAGACATTAATCAAATCCCCTAGACTAAGATCTATCAGCCGAGAGTCGTCTCCACTAGCGAAGAAAAAAAGAAACCATAAAGTAAAAGCAACGCGAAAGTGGAAAATGAGAAAAAGAAGACAAACCCTTGCCACGTCAACCACTCCACAAAATGATAAGAAACCAAATTCCCCAGCGACGGGTCGTTACCCGAATACTTTAAGTTCGCGAGCGGGTGATGAAAGGCCCTAGTGCTCGTCCAGGGCATCGTGAACATGAGATGGACGGGAATGCCAAGCGCCTGCGCACAGTGGATATGGGCAAAACTCGGCGGGTTTGCAATTATGGCATCCGCCACGAATGGGGTCTTATCATATGGGTCCGGTTCTACACACGACCGCCAGCAGCCGTCTAAAATCTCCGCCATCGAGGCCCGCTTCCGCTGGATATCGCCTGCCCGCAGGCTTTTTATGCTTGGAATGAGTCCAGGGTTGCGCACCATATAGGACATCAGCTCGACCGGATCGCCTCCAATGGGATAGAATTCAAGGCCGGCGGTCCTAACGAATTGCTCGAATTTGGCATGCGTGGCCAGCCGCACACGGTGGCCGTACTTCTGCAATTCCTTGCCCAAGGCGACAAAGGGTTGGACATCACCACGGCTACCTACAACTTGGATCACGACGTTGAGATGCAGATCCCAGGCAGGACATGGCACGGATGGAGCCGCTTCTCCCTCTGTCTGAGGCGCCTCGGCGGCTTGGTTTCCCATAAGCCATTCCAAATTGCGACTGAACCGCGATCCGATATGAACATCTACACGACCATCATTCGTCGGCGATAGCTCTGGGAAAGAATCGTTGGATAGTGGAAAGACCACAGGATGAGTCGCTGAATTGTTCCTTGTCGGATCGCCCCCTGAGGACGAGATAGACTCGTACGGTGGAGGGAGCTCCCAGCTGCCATCTTCAGCGGCGAAACATCTCATGTCAGCCATGATGAATGACTAGGAAGAGTGCCGAAGCAGTTGTGCCAGTCTTCGCAGATCTAACTTGTTCTAATTTTAAACTGCATTTAAGGTACCGTTGTGAAGGATAAGAGTAAAAACGGGTCGAGAGAAAAACTTTAATTATAAAGAGGAGGAACGAGAAAAAAGAACAGGAGAAAGCACGATCCACCCATGATTGAGAGCCATGGACAAAACAGCAGACTATCTGATGTAGTTGGCCACACCTCCGAGTCAGAGAAAGTTATTTCCTTAAAATGGAATGTCCTTCGGAGTGGATACTTTTGATACATACGAACACGATGGAAATTCCTAACACGGTTAGCTCCCGCTGCGCAAGGGTGGCGGAAATCATACGAATACGTGAGAATCACCTATTCAGGAAGCCAACCCTAAAATACTGGTAGTAGACCGTTCCCCAAATGGGAACCTACCATGGAAGAGCGCAAAAAATATTCTGTAAGTGGAACTGCAACCACTCCCAGAAGGAAATGATATGCATCTCAAGCACGCTCAGCGGTCCACATTTCCAACTTTATAGTCTTCGCCTCAGTAGTACAGTCTTAGCCCTTTAGACCCTACCTACTAGCCTCTCCACGCATCTACTATAAAGCGCACTAAGTCCCCTAGACATAACTGACTGGGTCCCTACTTCATTCCTGATCCCATAGGACACAGCTAGTGACTTTAGTTTCTATACTTTCTCTATCCCCAAAAATGACAAAAGCCACAACCCCAATGATCGAACAATACTGGCACAAAGGAGGCCTCTGCGGCGTCATCTCCCGCGCCGCCCTCCGCACCCTCCAATTCGTCTTTGCCATCGTGATTGCCGGTCTCTACGGCGTCGACCTAGCCCACGCAACAAAGATTAACGCCCGCGCCCCTTCGCAATGGGTGTACGCCGAATTCGTCGCTGCAGTCACTGCACTCACCTGCATCGTGCATTGCTTCATCACCGTGATTCACGTTGCATGGTCAGCCTGGGATTTTGTGATCTTCGTGTTCTGGCTAGCCCAGGTAGGCACGTTCGGAACGATATATCTCTCGAGCAACGTACCGGATGAGTATGAAAAAGCGACGTCGTCGATACCCCGCATGCGTGCCGCTATCTGGATTAGTCTGGTCAGTATGGTGTTGTGGTTCGCGACAACTATCTTGGGCATTGCGTGGTGTTGCCGGACACGCAAGGTTACTCGGCGGACGGACCAGGTTGATTCTGCTAAAGAGCGAAGCCCGCAGAGTGATAGTGACGTGGAGAGTGGTTCAAACTGCGGCGAGACGAAACAAATGATTGCGATTCCTGATGCTATGGTTGGCGAGAAAAACGTCAAGGAGAAGAATGACAGCAAAATAACATCCGAGACGAATCAGTTGGACTCTGATATCTCTCCTCCACCTTACTCTTAATTGTTTCATTCGGTATCGACTTTTTCTTCGTCGTTCTTCGACTTATTGCTTCTGTTGGTGCCACATTTTCCGCTTCCTATATCTGTTCCTGGTTGGTAGAAATGTGCTAGGCGATTACTACTGCAGGGTAGCTGGATTATACGAGGAGCCTTCCACTCTGGGGTTCATCTCACATTTATCACGTCCTTCCCCTGCAGTTCTCACCTGGGGCTCTGATTAAATGCATTCATTCTATCTTTGCATGATATTGGACTGTCTAATGCATCGTTGTCGAGCTACACGAGCTTAGGACCCATCGGACTTGGTTTGCGGTATATCAGACTACAATATGCAATGGGTACTAAAGAGCTCGGGCGACATTAAATGCTGGGACGATAACAGCAGTACACATCAATTATGACACAACGGAAAACCCCTTCCACTATTTTATGACAGCGAAGAACAGGGCACATCGCTCCTGGAATCAGCTAATGACTTATTCAACGAATCTCATACATGCCTAGAGAAAGGTTTGCAATTGTACTAGAATATACAAAATAAAATCTTCACTTAGCGTTCTTCAAATACAAATATACACGTCAAGATCTAAGATAAATCTGTCAAAAATCATTCATCTCATTAGCAAAAGCCGAGAGACATTTCCTCAACCATCGTAAAGTCGTAAAGAAAAATTCATGATTTAAACCCTCTCAATGTGTTCATCAACACCTTGATGTTTCTCTAAGCCCTCATCGGCCACCACGCTCGTACGTCTCAGGACCCCAGTATCCGCGACAATACTGGCGCCATGTCCATGCATCTTCCGCTCCTTTTGGAGCTCCAAAGAAAGCTTCACGGCGCTCTTGTCCGGCTGTGTGAAGAGGTAGTCAATCACCTCGAGACTCAACTTGGCGGTTTCGGGGTAGCAGAAGTAAACAAGGGGCACAAATGCAAAGTTGGTACACATGAAGATGAGGTATGCCTTCCACTGGAGTCGGTTGATAATCACGGGTGTGATCATGACGACGAAGAAGTTCTGTTACTTATTAGTATCTTCCTTCTCTTTCAGTAGGCTAGGTGGAACCCAGATGAACTTACCCAGATCCAATTTGAAGAAATTCCCACCGCGGTTCCCTTAGCTCTAGCATGCAGTGGCAAGATTTCCGGTACATAAACCCATGGAATGCAGTTGACTGATGCTCCGAAGATAAGCATGAAGAGGAAGAAGAAGGCAACCGATGCCGATGACGTAGCGTGATCATTTTCCTTGCCCTTGAAGCTAAGAAGGATTGAAACCATCATCATGCAGATTCCGAGGCCGAAGGATCCCCACATCATGGGTGTTCTGCGGCCTACTCGATCGACGAAGAAGGTAGGGAAGAAGCTACCAACGACAAACATGATCTGGGCGCATCCTCCGATAATCATTGAAAGGTTCTTGCTAAGGCCAACATTGGTGTTGAGGACCGTCGGGATAAAGTATCTACAACTGTTAGTCGGGATCTAAACGGGGGAACTTAGAGCGTACACTAGAAGGTTGATACCACCGAGCTGGTTCATGAATTGCATTCCATAGCCGAGGAGACTGTATCCTTTGTTAGATTGGTGCTGGGGTGAGATTGAAGAATATACATACACTCTGTGGCCAGTACAAACTTCGTCGCGCTTGAGGATATTTCTACTGTCGGTGAGCTTCTAATTTTGAGGAAGCAGGGTTGAAGCAGGGGAAATCACCTCCACTTGTACTCTCCATGTTTGGTCTCAATAGCAAGCGCCTCGAGGATCTCAGCCTGCTCGGCGAGAATCTTCGCATCGTCTTTTGGTCGACCGTACACATCACTCAGAATCTGCAACGCTTCGTCATCACGTCCTTCTTTGTAGCAATACCTCGGAGACTCGGGGAGGCCGAAAACAAGTATAATGACGACCTTGAAGCTGTTAGAATACTTGTATCGCAGTTGACGCAAGAAATACTAACGAATCCAAAAATCATCTGACACGCGATCGGTAATCTCCAAGCGATTTGCCCTCCGACAAAGCTCATTCCATAGTCGAAAAAGTAACTATAAATCGTGAGCATAGCTCGTACAGCGTGGTGGAAAATGGTAATACCTGACGACAATGCCCACACCCACCAGTAGAGGCTCGCTGCAGACAAGTTTACCACGCTTGGATGCCTCACAAAGCTCTGCTTGATACATTGGCACAGTAGAGGTTTCAATCCCAGTGCCGATACCCGTCACGAAGCGACCAACCATCAAGTGCGGAACGGAGAAGGCAGATGTTTGCAAGATGGCACCGATCTGGAGGCGAGGTTTACAAGTCAGCAATTGACCTATCACCATCTAATCTCCCCGAGAACTTACAATCACCCAAATCATCGCAAGCCACATTGCTTTCCTCCGTCCGAGCCAATCGCCTACTAGGAAGTTCACAATGCAACCGGCAAAGCATCCTAGGTTGTATATGGAAACAATGATCCCCATCAAGCTGTCTCCTGGGTTACCCATGGTGTCGAGAAAGTCTTCGTTCTCGACAATTCCGGAGAAAACACCTTGGTCGTATCCTGCGAGGGTCAGCAATTCCATCCATAAAGCTTCGTCTGCGATAGAGTCGGTTACCGAAGAGAATGAACGCCATTCCACAAGCCGCCCAAATGGCAGCTTGGAGGGTGAACCCCGTGCCAAACAGATTGACCTGCACCATTGTGCCTCGCAATATCGCGTGGGTCTAATATGGGGATAGTCTGAGATAGAAAAATCTGGGGAAGTGGACCAGATGGAGACATGGCGACGCACAGCCCGGGGTAGATAAGATTTATACATGATCACAATGCATGTGCCAAACATGGCGGAAAGTCATGTATACGAGTCATCATGTCACCTGTAAGTGTAACTTGACCAGTCGGCAAAAAACTACCCCGGATGCAGAAGAGCCGACCAGCCCAAAGAGGCAATCCGAGCCACCCGTTACCCCAGAAAGTGGCCCTACCCCGCAAGAATCTAACCTCAAAACGGGGGATCTTCGCTCTCAAAATTGCCTCTGCTCGCCTTTTTAGACGTCATCACCTTCGCCAATCCCCCAACACGGACTTTTTCCCCAGCTTTTCAGATCGGTGTGGAGCCCATTGGTGGAAAGAATCAAGGCTATCGAAGGTAACGTCGCCATCGTACCATACAATCCACGGAAAAGGCTCGTCTATCTAGCCGAATCCAAGAAATCAGATAAAGAAAGCATCGATCTTGGCGCCGTCTTGACTGCCGATTAAAGGGAAGTAAGGCAAAAGGGCAAGTTGTCTTTAGCCGAGTGGCCCTTAGTTGAATGATAGGCGGTCTTCGGCTCAGGAACATTTTACCCAATCAATTCTTCTTCCCGAAGATCCCAACGCCAATCCCAAAGCCTACCTCAATTACTATCGGGGTCTTGGCCCGTCTTTGTGCAATACCAGACAAAACAAAAAAAGAGGTCCCCTTATTGTGAGAGACAACGATCAAATTGAGCAATGTTTTCCGCTGAGCCGCCGCTGAAGCGCCGGCGAGTCTCGAGCACCACCTCGAAACATCCACAGCCCGCGGAGGAAGAACCGTCACCGGGTGCAAATGAGATAACTCACCCAAATCCAATTGATTATCAGGAGTCTCAACCACTCCCTCCGCAGAGCTACAATGGCATCAGTCACAGTTCTCCCGCATCGGGAGGGCCATTTCAGTCTCCAGGAAGTTGGTATCAGGATGGCTTCTCTCAAGATCCAGGTTTCCTCGCGTCCCAGGAAGAACTACGATGTATCCTTTTCTCGTTAGCTTATTCTGCTGCTCCAACGCGAGCACCAAGCCCCGATGCCGGGATATTAGATAGGCTCGGTGACAGAGGGACGGATCCACTAAGCATTGACATGATGTCCCAATCTCACCGGGAAAGGCAGCGGGAAGAGTCTCACCGGTCGCCTTTTTCAAATAGCAAACGTATCAAATATCTGAAGAACTACGTGACCGAGGTGGCTCCATGGGTAAGTGCACCCTATGCATCATATTTGGTCTATTTCCTTTGTTTATTGACACATGGTAGCTGGACATGTTCGACTCGCAATGCACGTTCCGTCAGCAGCTTCCGGCACTAGCGCGGACATTTCCCGCTCTGTCTTACGCCATTCTCGCCTTCTCGGCACGGCATATGGAACGTAAAGAGGGTGTTCAGGACTTGTTCGATAGCCTTGAGCTATATCAGGAAGCAATAAGACTCCTAAGCCCGGTACTACAGGTGCGCGATCCGAAGATCGTAGCCGCATGTGTGCTGCTTTGCTGCTTGGAGATGATGTCCGCCCGAGCGCAGGATTGGCGCCGTCATCTCGAGGGTTGTGCTGCTTTATTTGATGCCTTCGAGATTCACGGATTTAGCAACGGGTTACTTCAAGCTGTGTTCTGGTGCTATGCGAGGATGGGTAAGATTTGCTCTCCCTTATCTCAAAAGTACCTGAGGTTTTTATTATGTACAAGTCTAATCGTATACTCAGATCTTTGTGGCGCACTCATCTCGGATGGTACCCAAACTACGCTTCTGCATCCTTCCAAATGGCTTCCCCCGGGCTACCAAGAAGAGGATGCATATCAATTGTTCCAGGATGCGAAATCGCCTGACATGCATGCCAATTATGCTGTGTATCTTTGTATGAGAGCAACTCAGCTCGTCTCAGATCGCACCAAATTTGTGGAGTTGCATGAACAGAACGGCTGTAACCTGGAAACATTCTGCTTGCGTTGGGTTCGGTTATGGGACGACCTACAACGATGGTTTTCGGAACGGCCGAGCGAATTACTGCCAGTCCAGACGGTCAACCGTAAACCCTTCCCACATATTTTGTTTGTTCAGTGGGCTGCCATTTCTTCAAACCAGCTTTACCATACGGCATGCCTCCTGTTACTCAAAATGATGCCGAAGGGGGTCAGCTTGCCACGATCACCCAGTTTGTCCATGTTGTGGCATGCGCGACGAATCTGTGGTATCTCTCTAGCAAACCCGCATCAGGGGTGCCTCAATAACGCCTTGCAGCCTCTGTGGATTGCAGGGCGCTTATTTAGCCATGCGTCAGAGCATAAGGAGATCACAAAGCTGATCCGAGATATTGAAGCTGAAACAGGATGGGGGACGTGTTGGCGGATTCGAGATCTGGATATTGCTTGGGGCTATAGTACCCGCCGGCGCACATCAAGCGATCATGATCAACAGTTCTCCACTTCCCGTGAACCGCCGCGCGTCTAATCATAAATGTATGCTCTAGCCAGACACTTTTCACATACCGTCGAGAAACGACCATTCCTCTCGGAGTTGGCTCAGATATTCGCCGGTATCCCAACCGGTAATTCCACGAATGCGATTAAAGCCTTGCAAGATCTCCTGTTGTTGCGATTCGTGCGTCATGTGCTTCGCTGCAAGAAGGAGAGAGGCAAGCAAGCACGGGTCCCAGCTTTCACGAGTGTCATTATTCAGCGCGATACCGCAAATACGGTATGCGTGCCACAAAGGAGATAGGACTGGAGACTGCGGATGATTTAGCAGTGCAGTTCGTGGCTTACATTGGAGCAACAACAGCATTGCAGTATGGTATATCTGGTTACTAAAAGTTCCAGATCCGTTTGCGAATAGAAGCAAGGGGAATTCGCTCCCTTGGTTGAGCACTTGGTCTCTCGCGTCTATCTCCACCATTGGCTCAAATTCCAGTGGGCGCAAATGGTGCCATTGCTCAAGCTCCCCAAAAGCTTGCAACCAACTTTCCATCACCTCATGCGAAGTCGCAAGAGGTTGTGGTATAGCTTCTTGATGACATAAGGCCAAAGCTTTCCCACATAACCACAAAACAGCATTTGTATAAAGACTGACCCTTTCACATACATCCTCGGTACGAGACAACAATGTTAAGCTGGGGATCGGGAGCATCGGGAGCGGGGTTCGAAGGGGGATGTCGTTAGCGAGCGCCACTCCTAAGTCTGATAGGCATCATGTTAGCTAGTGTAAATATCAATATGGCAGAAAGGATAGCGTCAAACATACCTATACGTAAAAACATCCAGTAAGCGGTCGACTCCATGTCCTTACTGTAGGCATGCTGAACCAAGTGATTTACAAAGGGGACATCTCTATTCACCCAGTCGACCCAAGCTTTTGGAATATCTGTGACTAGACCTCGAATTTCTTCGAGAAGGCATAGCAGTATAAGCTCCGTGAAGTCAGGATGATCGTGGTCCAGTTGGTCCAATGGGTTGCCCTTTCGAAGGGTCGGCTGCTCAAGACCTGCTCTGTTCCTGTGACCCCGTTGATTGATGCACGTTTGTGAAAGTGCTAATATCGCAGAGAGAAGTTTTTCGGATCTCGTTGCCATCTGAATTACATTAATTCCAAATGGGTGTCTCAAATCGCAAATGTCAAGCTATATTTGTCAAAGAGGAGCAGTTAGAAAAGCTTATATTTGAAATTGGCAAACAAGAATGTCCTTACCCAAGTAGCAACATGGTAGCGGTAATGGCGGAGAAGTTCCAGCTTGCGAGCTTCCGATTCAATGCCGGTACTCGTAGTTAAAGAGGTAGACAGTTCAGTAATACTCGTATGTCTGGGATCGTCCAAAAGCCCGGTAGGTACTGTTGGCAGGGCAATCTCCTTTACCTCCGAGGGCTGGGGATTCATCAGCGACGATAATGCGACATTAGGGCTGAGCAGCGACAAATTGTTCGACTCCGGTACAACACCGTTCGGTCCAGCCGTTGCTCCTAGAGCTAGCAGGCCTTGAACAGCATCATCCTTGTCCTGGTGAGGAGTCCCATCTGGCGATATGTTCAGGTCTCCACCCCAGTGTGGTAAATCCAAAGTATCACGATGAATACTACCCCCATCACCATAATGCTCATTCAAGTCGATTCGGTTATCCTTTCCATCACTATCTTTTCCATCATCGGCGAGGATTACTGCACTATCTCTACGATCACTCTGAGGATGTGTCACTGGAATGCTGGCAACGGGGGATGGCGAATCCTCCACGGAAGCATCCGTGGTACAGCCCAGTGGATCTTCCTGAACAAACTAGAGTCAAGAATTAGTATGCATATACAGCGGATAGTTACTCCACTTGGAGAAATGCAGTTCAATCTTAGAAAGCAAAAGACACTACCCACTTTGATCTTGTCATAATTTACTTCAGGCTTGGGCGTGCGCAGTTCACTTGCGGTGACCGTAAAAGTGTTCTTCTGCAAGAAGCTAACCTGCAGTCCATATTGACAATCTAGGTTCTTGTCGATACAGTTTTGGCAGCGCGGTTTTCCTTCGTCGCCTGAAATTTGAGGCGGTTTCAATTAGTGCCGCGCTACACAGACGATCTATTCTCCGAAGGATAATATTACTCACATTTCCGGCGTCGCTTTCGACACCGTAAACACCCGGTCCTGCATCTCGTAAACTTAGGAGCGGTTTTGGTTGGAGAGCCGTCGTCGTCCATCGTCAGGAGCGTTGAAAAGCAAGAGTCAAGATAATCACATTTTCGCAAGGACGGGGCGCCTTGGGACCTGGCAACGATCTAAATACGGAAAGCGCAAGCGTCGAAGGAAATTCTGGGGGAACTTTCCCGACCGGATTTCCCCACATTATCGGTTCCTGCGGTGGTTCCAACTGCCGTCCCGGGTTCCCAATCTAATTCTTCTCTCCTTCCATTGACCTCATATACCTCATGCGATATCACCCTTCGATTTCCGTGTCATAGTGTTTCCAGTATAGATCCTGCACCATTTACTAAACTTGAAACATGTGGCAGCGAACACATTGACTTCACAGAAGCTTATAAGGATCTCTATCACGTTGGAAAGAGCCAATGAATAGCTTTATCCCGTCGGTACACAACCTGTTGGCTAGGTTCTTTGGTCAATATATAGGGAGCTCGACGAGCAGCATACAATGTTTCTGATACCTATATACTGACCATCTCATCCATCCATCATTACATATCACTGGCTACACCAGATGATGAGAACGCATGGCAAAGCGATAGGTAAGGTTTAACAGCCAGCGATAATCGCCATCTCACCCAGAGGTCTTGTTGCAACTGGCACTCGACATAGAGGGCACATGCAAAGTCAACAAGCAATCAATTGTCCCTAGGTACAGCATCTATATGATCCTCAAAGCAACTTTTCGCTACCATGCATATCCTAGTCTCCACTGTTTTCCCTGCAACTGCCAGCCGAACCGAACCATTCTACAATACAATACCTTCCCTAATCTATATTTATCGCCTGGTACACCAAAAGACGAAGTGAAGTCAGTGGAGATACTTCTATATCAAGAAGGCTATCTACTATGCCTGAGTCATTTTCGACCTGTGAGACACTAGCGATATGGATTTAAGAGAGCTCTATATATACGTCATGCCGGGCTGTGCGACAGAGAACTGCGATTTTCTGCTATTCCAATCCCTGGTCGATTGCCCCATGCGGTGATGTCCCACATGTGCTGTTTCGGAGAAGGCAAAGGTTGAGCCAACGTAAGACTGACACTGTCACTCCCTCCAAATAGGTTGCCACTCAATATCATCGACGTTCTGTAATTAATAGAGATCCCGGCAATTTTTCGCATTGGAGGGAATTACTACTAGTGCAAGACTTATTTCGACCGGCACGATTTCAATTTCTTAGACAATGAACCCCTTCTGGAACTTAAAGGTTCAGCCCAAGTGCTTCCTTGGAATCCTCGGCATTTTAGGGTTGCCCCGAACGTTCGACGCCAGTGTTCGTATTGATATATCAATATCTACTACTCCAATGAAGAGCAATGAATAAGATGATATTTGGTGAATGCCTACAATGATCTAAGACGCCGCCATCTTACTCTTGAATATCCCGTCCAACTGAAGGCAGCATGACGACACTCATTCTCGCCGTCGAGCAGCGCACTTTTGGTTTACCGATTAGCTCCAGTCCAATAACACAGAACATGTAGATCCTTGCTACTGATCTGCATACTAGGTATTGAGACTTCGCGTGGCAGGCAATAAATAATTCAGACTGCATTGTCGGCTTCTCTATCATCCTGACTACTTATTTCTTAGTGAAACCACCTTGTAAGTCAAGCCAGAAACTTTGCGTCTAGGAATCATTGACCGTCCGTTGCTTTACTCGAGGGTGAATCGAAGTATCCCTTTAAAGCGAACGGCGGTTGCACCCCGGAGAATATCACATATCGAGTACGATTACGAGTAATGCTGCTCAGCACCAGGACGGCAGCGATATATGGATGACAGCTTGATGAAAGGGAGAATGTGGCCCATTTAGAAGGACATACCAACCACTATTCAGTTCAACTAGGTATCAGTAACACAGGCTATATAGATTCAAATGCGCAACTCAATATATATCCTTTCAACGAAGCTTGTGCTCTGCGGGACCAACGAACTTTCCTGTCTTCAGCAATGGAGTAGTTCGCTCAAGACACCCATTCCGAATACCCGGCATTCATCCAGCGGTTTCGTTCGGTATCTTTCAGTATCTCTCAAGTGAAAGAAGCCCAAATAGAATAATCAGGGGCAACACACTTTAAATTGATTAATGTTTCTTAAGATTGCCAAGCGAGTACCCACCCGGCAGGCGCTAGCACTCTCCTTTTAAACCTACAAGCTGCCAGGCACGAAATGGCCCCTACATAGAGGTTCAAAACATGGAGGGGAAAAGAAGAGTGAGAATACTGTTTCAAAGGGAGGAAACAGCTCTTCAAATATTAAACAAGCTTGGTCTACTGCAAGGAGAACAACAGAGGTCTTTGAGGTCCTTAATTTTTAAATAATATGGCCCGTTGAACGGCCCACAATCTTATCTAAGAGTGTGTTATTCTTAGCGACAGGTTGCATTCTATTAGTGATGTAAACTCGTCTACATAGCTGTCTATGCCACGATTCAGCCCTCATATAATCCAAGCCAAGCTAATAGGGAAAGTGAAAAAAAATATATATAAATAAATAAATAATACATAAATATAAGACAAGGGTGAAAGAAATGAAAGGGAAAAAAAAAAAAAATCGAACTGTTCGTAAAACACGAGCCAACAACCGAAATTCACAGAACTAGTAACCCTATATCAACTGATCGACCCGGTGAGGCTCGTATTTCAACTTTACCAGGGGGGCTAAACAACAATAAATGTCATCGATGGGCCCAAGCTGAACCTCTCAGAACGTTAACTAAACCCCAAGACACGAGGATTAGCGTTCCTCTATCGCATTCCAAGCAAGACCCTATGTCAATCTTCATTATATCGCTCCGCAGGTTTTCGTCTTGGCTCTTTCACCTTCAACCGTGTCTCCCTCGATTCTTTCACGGTTTCATGTACTTTTTTCCTAAGCGATTATTATATAAAAGTGTGCCTTAATGGAAATGAGACGGTTCTCAACCCGTCCAAAACCATGTCGATCATACGTCTCTGCCTATTTGCCTAGAGAAGGTCCACAATAATAATAGGGCTCTATTAACTTCAACCTTTTTAAGACTTGTAAAATGGGTACATCAAGGGCCGGTGTCCGTGCTGAATTTTTTTTTCTAGCTAAACGGGAAACGAGCTGCAGAGTATATAAAGTCTCTAAGTAATTTCTAGTTTCTAATAAATACATAGCTCCATTCATTCATTCTTTCATTCATCCTCTTGACACTCGTTTCTGTATACTTCCACCCAACGATTTATACCAATCACCAACCCCCCCTCTCCTCTTCCCAAAACCAACTACAATTCCAACCACATAAAAGCCAAACAGAAAAACCAAAAAAATGGGTGCCCCAGAATCCGAATCTCCCGCCGTCCAGCAGCAAAATGAATGGTCCAACGGCTTCTGGGACTGCTGCTCTCCCGCAGGAACCTGTACGCTTCCCTCTCTTAGATCCCCAGATGCTGTCCCCCTTCCTACTACTTCTATGTACACCATGAAAGCTAACATATACCGAACCCAGGCTTCTGGGGCTGCTGTCTCCCCTGCTGTCTCTTCGGCAAAACACAATCTCGACTCGAAGACCCCCAACTTAAAGAATATAGCTATATGAACGGCAATGTACGTGCATATATACATCCATCCATCCATACATATACACCTCCACCCCCAAACCACAAAACTAACCAAAAACAGTGCTGTCTCTACTACCTAACAGCCCAAGTAGGTTTCCACTGGGTTCTTCTCATGATCCGCCGCGGACAGATCCGGGAACGCTTCGGCATCGAAGGCTCCGGCGTTAGCGATTGCTGCTCGTCCTATTGGTGTCCGTGCTGTGTGATCATGCAGCATGAGAAAGAGATCGAGGCGCAGAGTGAACGTCCCCAGACGGGGTATCAGGCTCCGACGGGTATGGCTTATGCTCCTCAATGATTTCTAGGACTTTTTTCTGTATCCTGGGAGGAACTGGGGCTTTTGGTTTCTTGGTTTTTTTTTTTTTTTTTTTTTTTTTTTTTTTTTTTTTTTTTTTTTTTTTTTTTTTTTTTTTGATATTTCTATGGTGAATAATGAGATTAGGGATCGATTGATGTATTATGGGATTTCAATCTAGTCTCCGTCCGTTTACTACTATTAAGTACATACATGGTAGAGATGTTGGACGGTGTTCCGTAATGGGTTACTTAGTACTATTAACATGCATTAGCAAGCATGCTACTTTCTATACCCATCGGCTAGCCGCAGGTTTTTCCAAGATTCTCTACGTCAATACATGGCCATAGAAGAAAGGAACCAGGTAACTCGTGAACAAAAGAAATACAGTTTTAAGTATATCAGTGACAGTTGTGTACTGTACAAAGCACGCTACCTCAGCGACTACCACCTCTTCTATCTATTAATCACCAAATCAAACGGAACAATTGCCATAACTCTGAGACGCGGAAATCCTGCTAACCTAAAATTTACAGGCTGTTACGGGTGGTGTCCGCACGGATACGGTTGTAGTCGAGGAGACCCTCAACGCTGCCGAAGGCGCTGACAGCGACGTCCTGATCCCAGATGCGGCGGTTGGCAAAATCCATGACATCCTTCTCGCTGATCTGGCCGATTGTACGCTCAATGTCCTCGGGGGAGAGGCGGCGGCCAGTGGTGATGATCTGGCGACCAATGTCTTCGGCGACGGCAGTGGTGCCGTCAAGGGAGAGGAGGATGGAAGCCTTGAGCTGAGCCTTGGCACGCTCAACCTCGGCGGAAGTGACGTTGAAGCACAGGCGAGACCACTCACGCATGGCGAAGTGAGTGAGGTCATCGAGGGCAGTCAGGTTCTCAGAGACGAGGTAGATACCCCAGAGACTAAAAGGTCATCGTTAGCGATACAATCAAACAGTCAGATCGGAAACTCTTCAGGGACCAAGACTTACCCAGTGTCGCTGTAGCTGGTGGAGAAGCTCATGAAGCTGTTGGCAAGGCCGTGGTGCTCAACGAGGGAGCTGAGCTTGCTACCGAGGTAGGGAGAGTTGCCCATGGCACGGTCCCAGTTGCCAACAATGGCCTGGGCGACGAGGGCAGTGAAGTAGTCATCGTCCTTCCAGCTGACACCCTCAACGGCGAGGGCAATGTGAGCAGTAGGGATGGTGTCATCACGGAGTCTCACTTCGGATCCAATGAACTCGGGGGTGCGCTTCTGCTCAGCGGTGAGAGCGAGAGCAGCAGAGGTAGGGGGCTTGCTGGGGAGGCTGCCGAAGTGCTCCTCGGCGAGGCGGACGAGCTGCTCGTGAGGGATACCACCGGCACCAACAAGGACCATGCGGTCAGCAGTGTAGTTGGTCTTGATGTAGTCAACCAGGTTGTCGCGGGAGATGGTCTGGATGTTCTCCTTGGGGCCGAGGATGGTGCGACCAAGGGGCTGGTTCTGGTAAGCGGTGGCGTGAAGGTGGTCGAAAACAACCTCCTCGAACTGCTTGTCAACCTCCTCCTGTTCACGGAGGATCACGTCCCTCTCACGCTCAATAGCACCGGGCTCGAGCTTGGAGTTCTGCAGGATGTCGGCGAGGATATCAACGGCCTTGGGAACATCGTTGTTAAAGGACTTGGCGTAGTAAACGGTGTTTTCTCTCTGAGTGCCTGGTTAGTTTCCGAGCCAATGCTTAGTTCTATCATAATCCCGGGTCGTACCGATGTGTAGGCGTTCAGGTGAGCGCCCATGTTCTCGATCTCAAGCTCCAATTGGTGCTGGCTGCGCTTGTTGGTGCCCTGGAAAACTGTCAGAAACGTCTCCACTGCTTAGAATTGAACGAGGTAAATACCTTGAAAGCAAGGTGCTCAAGGAAGTGCGCGGTTCCGTTGGTCTTGTCAGTCTCTGCCCTGCTGCCGGCATCGATCCACACGCCAACAGTCGAGGTCTGGGCCCATGGGGAGTACTCAGTAGCGATCTGAGACCAGTTAGTGATCTTGCGAAACGATTGAGCATACTTGTTTTCCGTACCGTGAAGCCGTTAGAGAGGGTGGTCGACTGGGTGGTGGATGGAAGGGTAACCGGGGAAGAGAAGCCTCGCTTGACGGGCTGGATGGACTTCAGAGCAGCCCGGCTCCGGAGAGCCTGGTTGAAATTGAATGCTAGGCGCCGGGAGGCCATTGTGACAGGAATTAAGGTGGATGTGGAGGGAAGGGGAGGGATGGAGCAAAGGTGCAACGGCTGTAAAGACGGTCAGCCCTGGAGATGAGAGGTTGAAGTTCGGGAGTCAAATTGTTCGCCAGCCCGTCAGCCAATCACATGACCCGCTTTTCCAAACCACTGTTTTCGATCCCGACTGTTCCCTAACGCTTGATTCGGCCATTGAACCGCGACAAGCGATGTTTCAATATGAAGTTCGTCTCTGTCACGAACACTTTTTACAGTGATTTTAATCGCATACAAGACATCCTCATGGCCCTTCTTGTTTTGTGTTCAAGAAAAAAGAGAAACATTCACATTCCCACTCATACTAAATTTACAAAAACATTCACACAGCAGCCTCACGCAAACCGACTCGCATATTGCCTGATATTCTCAATCATAGGAACATCCTCCGAAAATCCCAATTTGATCGCACGATCCGTCTTGAAGTTAGGCGTCCACGTTTGCACAATCTTGTCAATAGCGGCATCGTACTTCTCTTCCACCAAAGCCCTTCGTTCCTTACCACCAATCTCCTCCAGCGCATCCAGCATTTCCTGAATACTAACCTTCAACCCGGGGAGATTGACCGACCTCGACTCTCCAAAGGCCTCCTTGGGAATATCCTTCGCATGCAAGAGATTCTTCACCACCGTATAAGGCGAACAGATCCACATCTCCGTCTCCTTACTGACTGGCAGAATCGCCTTCTTCCCGTTAAATGGCTCCCGGATAATGTCGCTTGCGAAGCTGCTCGCAGCCTGCGTGGGCTGGCCAGCTCGAACAGTGACCGTTGGGAGGCGCACTGCTCTACCATCCAGGAACCCCCTCCTCGAGTAATCGTTCAACAATGTCTCGATGATGAGTTTCTGCGATCCGTATGAGGACGACGGCACAGGAGGGAAGTTTGTTTCGTCGATGACGAACCCAGCAGGCGCAAGACCGTAAACCGCCAAGCTGGATGTAAAGACCACTTTCACTCCAGGCATAACGGCCCGAAGCCGGTCCAGGATATATCGGGTGGCATCAAGGTTCACCCGCATGCCCAGCTCGAAGTTAGCCTCGGAGCCGCTGGACATGATTCCGTGTAGTAGGTAGACAGTGTCGAAACGGTGAGATTCAGTGAACAGCTCGTCAACCACCTTCGGCGAGGTGAGATCCGCCTGTACACATTTCACTCGTGACGTACTTTGAGCAGCGGCAGCAGCGGGAACGGCTGGCGTGACAACGTCTGTGAGTGTTACCGTAATATCGGGGGAGCTCGAAAGGAGGGCGGAAGCCAATTCCTGGCCCACGTAGCCGTTTGCCCCGGTAATGAGAATCGACATGATGGTCTATCAAGACGGTCTCTTGTGCCAGTGGTTTAAAGAGAAAACGAGACGTAAGCACAGGATGCAACTCGCGGGGTATATACAGTATCTCACGAGACTGCCTAAAAACAATCGCACGAGAATATTACCGTGACTTAAATAGCAATTATCCCAGTTGTCAAGATTTATACTGCGGGGTCAGAGGGAGATTATCCCCGCTCTCGGTCTTTTGCAAGCCCCCATCATCATTTTGGTGTCAGTTACGAAAGGTTGCACTACGCAGCAATTCCGAAGTGGACAAACGTCCAGCGGTTGTTAGTCGGAGAGTAATCCGATTACCGACCCGCTGAAGTGTCGAAAACGTTATAGAAGCAGGACCGGACCAACGGCGAAAGTCCGAGAAACCACAAAGTCAACCCCCATGTGCCGCTGGAAGATTCTCACACCTTCCCATGACCGTAGCACGGCCAACCCGGGTTACTGTCTAGGATATGGAAGCATGAAATGTAGGTAATTAGCAATCATATAGTTCTCTATTCCTTTCCCAGACATCCAGCCAGATCCCATACTGAACACAATAGAGTAGTCGGAATCGGAAACATGAATATTTTCTGACTCAAAAAGTACATTCAGAAGAAACCTCGAGATAGCACAAAGAGAAACATTTCAGCATATCACAGAACACTTGACGCCAGAAAAAAAAAAGCATAAATGATTAAGACATGAAAAGAGACCAGACCCCCATTTTTCTTTTATGCAGAACGCTTGTAGATACCAGCAACGATACAGTGATCACGTTCGAAAGGCTCCAGAGTCAACTGCTCCTTGGGCTTGATCCTCTCCTCTCTCATCTTCTGGACTTCGCGGGTGAAAACAACCTCCGGCTTGGCGGTACTGTCGATACAGTTGGCCTTGACGGAGACGATGACACCACCACCCTCCTTGAGGAACATGTGAGCGTTCAGACCAACAATACGGGCCTGGTCGGGCTGGGCAACATCGGCGAAGATAACGTCAACCATAGGCACCAGCATACGGTAACGAAGGGGGTGACGGGCGTCGTCGACAATGGGGACGACGTTGGTACGGTGGGTGGCCATGCCGATCAGATCACGACCGGAACGGTGAGAGAACTCGACGGCGTAGACGTTACCAGTAGGTCCAACAATATCAGCAACGTGACTGACGGAGGTACCGCTGGCGGAACCAAGGTACAGAACCTTAGAACCAGGCTTCATGTAGATATCATCAAGACCACCCAAAACACCAGCGGCAAGCTTGGAACGGAAAGGGTTCCAGACACGGTACTCGGTCTTGGTGACGGTACCGTCCTCGGTAGGAGTTTCAACAGCAATGCGCTTCTCGCCGTAGACAGCCTCTCCGGGAGTCAGGTTCTTGGTGACGAGCAAATCTTCCTTACCGCCACGAGCGACGAAGATACCAGCATGACGGTGAGGTTCCTAAAAATGACTGGAGTCAGCTGCTGATATCGTTGTAACATGGCGAATCATGAAGCACTTACAATGACGACCTTGGCACCACCCTTAGCACCACCCCTAGCACCGCCGCGAGCGCCACCACGGCCACCGCGACCACCACGTCCAGGAGGGCCGCCACGTCCACCACGACCTCCACCGCGAGGTCCACCACGGCCACGAGGGGCACTTCCGAGTCCGCCTGTAGATCATCGTAAAGAGATCATATTAGCCACACCATTCTCCTCAAAAGGCACAGCAGTTCGAGCAACTGTCGCAAATATCGCCCTCCGTGGCGAAAGAGATCTGACATTGGTTTAAGGAACAGATTTCGAGGCCAGACGGAGGGCGACAATGCTGAGCTTCAAGGTGTCTGCTTGCTGTCCGAGATGGAACTGATCGTGAACAAACCTCTGCCACCACCACGGCCACCGCCGAATCCACCACGTCCACCACGTCCACCGGGGGGTCCACCACGTCCGCGAGGAGCACCGAAGCCCATTGTGTTATATGAATCGAATAGGATTGACTTTAAAGAAAGGTTGAAAAGGTCTCGAATGGGGTTGCTGTAGTAGCAACAAGAGCAAAAGAAATTTTTTTTTCCGGATGGAAGGAATTAAGCCCGCTCGATATGGGCGAAGTTGTAAATCGCAAGTGTCACTGGACCTTTCGAAGCAGCTGGTGCAGAATTCTCGCACTTGCACTTGCTTTCAGTAATCGGTCGAGGCCGTGCTGCTCGTCGTTGTTGCGGTCGAGATTTTTCTTGAGTGACCGTCGGAACTTTGAAAATCAGAATGCGCTAGTCCGCATGTGGACTAGACCCCGGCCTCAACTGTCGTGGGAACTTAAGTCACGTGAAGTGGATAGATAGCGAGATCACCTGATTCGTGCAAGCCCTGCGCCAATTGGATCGTAAGACGAGATATTGGAGACATTGACGGTGATGGTCACTCCAGGCATGTTCAGAATTTGATCATACTAATTCCAGAAAACCCATACGTATATTTCTGACTTTATAATTCCGCGACTAGGTCATGGCAAATCATACAGCATTCCAACCCTCAATTATGTACATCATCGAGTCCCAGTGATCACCGTTATTTTCCATAAAAGTAGTAATTTGCAGCATATTGAACAGTAAACTCCGACGGCATGTCCTTACATGTCTTCGGCGGTGATCCCGCAGCAGTATTAACCCGGTATACACCGGAATAGTCCCCTACCGTGCCACTCGTAGTTGAGAGATAGAGCCATGCAACGGCCCCATCGTTCCCTTGGATAGCATTCGACGGCGCATCAACCTGCGCCTCTTTCTTTGTTCGTGCAATACCATACTGGTGTGTTTCCGTGGTGTCGAGGTTAAACACGGGTGTTGAGCCGTCAAAGTAGTGGTGGCCCATGAGATCAAGGTTTGCCGGTGGAAGCCGATCTGATTCACCGGTTGGCAAGGGGATCCTGTATGCAATATTTGGTAGCATGTTAAGCATATCCGAGAACCTTCCTGCGATGCAAGTAGCATTGTAGAGGTTTGCAACAGCGCCAATAGCTACAGGTGTCGAGTTTGAAGATGGTGTCGCACAGGTATAGTTCTGTCCGATGTTAGCTTCGGTGTGGTGGCCTGCGGGGCAATGTTGAATCTCATCTACCTGTGTGCCGCGCCCAAGTGCGACGTATAAAAACTTCTGGTCTGAGGGAGAGGGTAACCCGGACGCTTGTGTCGGCAGTTCAATGCCAGAAGTATCGCACGTGGCAGAGTTGAGTATGTCCTTGGAGTGCTCAATATGCTTGCTCACTCTCCCCAGGTACTCCGATAGGTCGTTTGAGAACGTGTATGCATTGTCGAAGAATGCCGGTGCCGCAAACGAGTATGCTGTTAGACAGGCAATGAAAACAAATGATGAACGCATTCCGGATGCTTTAGCCAGCCAGCGGCCACAATAGAATTAATGTATAGGGGTGAGATAAAATTGTGTGGATGGTAGTTAAACAGGATTCGAAGGGATAGGACAGGCTATTCAAGGGCCAGTTGGTAGGCAGTAGGGTAGATCGAGGAGTCTCTTCGTGACTATCAAAGTCGTTCGAGGAGAAGAGGGGGGGAAGGGGGAAACAGAAAAGACCAGCCCTAGACAATCGACATTCACGTTGAGTGGAGAGGGTATCAAGACAGATGCTACGAGGAATTGAGGATCAGGCAAAGTCGAAGGCGCTCATATATAATGTTATGCTCATGTTTGTTCTCGGTGTAACCATATGCACAAGTCATACAGGCAACTATCCAGTATTCGAAACTCGAAGTGTAGTATCTATAAACATCATCGAGTGAGATCAGCGCAGAAGCCGCCAACAAAAAGTATATTAGATGGAGCTTCTTGATTGGTGCTTCGAATGCGCTGAGCGCAATCCTCCAACTCGACCAGGGTCACTAGTTTGACGTTATACTATGTAAAGGACAGGGAGTGGGCGGGCGGCTATTGCTGCAGCATACCGGTCCTCGTTCGAGCATCATTGGCGTATCTAACGATTGAAACCGGATCTAACACCATCTGTCGGAGCGCTACATGTGGCAGGAAATCCGATGAGCTGATTCGTGAGGCTTTCTGCAGGTAAATCTCCGAATAATCTTAGATTCTAATTATATCGGTCGGTGGGCAAGCCGGGCGCTTAAATGACTGCCGATGTTGGTTAGTGTGCAGAACGCACAACTGGGATATGGCGGGGCTTTTCTCCATCAGCCGGCCCTTTCCCTGTAAGAACGGCAATTGCTATCGTTCCAAGTTGGCTTCTTGCTATTTTTAGGGTGGACTTAACCATAGGTCTTACTTGCCCCTATCCAATGCTGTTTGAACTTTGCTCAGTGGACACCCGGTCCTTGCCGCAACTTTCCCCGCGCCCTAATGATCAAGAAGTTCCCATACAACAACCGTGTCAAGTCCTGTGTCGCTCTTCCGAAAAGCTTAACGTATTAATATTTCTAAATATAAAAACATTACTTGCGGTAGTGTGGTCACAGGTTATTAACGACTGCTGGTGAGTGTAAAATGCACCTAGTAGTGTTGCTTTGCTGGTTCTTAGTGTCCGTGGATTTCCATGACCAGAATAGCGTGATTCGAAAATTTATTCCAGTAGCCGTAGCTCACACCTCTGTCTAACGGCCTCCTTGCTTGCAGGACAGTAATTGGAGGAAATACGCGTAAAGTGGGTTATCTCGTCTATATACTAGCCCTATATCGTCATGCACCGGGCGAAAGATATAAACGCTATATGATAGCAACACCGCGACATAGCAAAAGTTATGCTTGCATAATCCATGGCCACTATCACTCTTGAAGAAAAGACTGGAATCCGTCAGCAATAGATTCTACATGTAAATGTCATGCTTGACCAGGCGGAGTGATAGGCAATAGGTGTGTTAAGAGATAAGGATACTGGTGGGAATATTATTGAATAGTATGTAACATAATGTTGATTGCCTCTTCAACAACCAACACCCGGGTGGTCTTATGGGTAAGCCTCTCTCATCCTGGTTGCCAAAAAATCCCTCAGCTAACTCAGAAATTAGTATGATTCTCGCTTAGGGTTCACCCTCAGCATACATGCGAGACCTCCCTCTTCGTGGTTTGGGCCGCTTCCGTTTCGTCTTTTTCATTCCATTTACCGCCCCTACCCTGGTACGTATTTATTATTCCTATTAATACCAAGAGCTCGCTCTCTATAACTAGTTGTCTGATGAAGTGGGCAGTATATCGAGTCAATATTAGAGATCGAGGGAGCTTTTATCTTGTAGTCTCTGTTTGGTAGTGTCGTTGTCTTGTTATAATTTAGACTTTCAAAGTTCTGTCCTATTTGTTCCTTACTTGGTATGGTTGAAATTATCATTGCGCTCTTTTGTGCATTTTAAGTATGACATGATTGGAAATGTAAAACAAGGAGACAATGAGAAGGGAAACCTTTTTATCTGAGTATGTGCTTGTCGATGTGTCTAATTTGTGCATGGATAGGAAAATGAACGTGAGATAACGAGATAGAGGTGATGCAGCTTGGCAGAGCATATTACAGAAATTAAAGAAGATTTGGGCATGTAACTATGAATGAGTCCGGGGGGCAAAATGAACATATCAGAAAGAAGAAAAGAAACTCGAGAAACATTGAAAATTAGCAGAGACAGTAGCGCGAGGAAGTCATGTCATGAGATGCTGGTATTGTGACATCCATTTCAGAAACCCGAACGTTGAATAGAAGCCGAATTACTGGTTACCAGCTAGGAGATAAGCAATAAGGAAAGTGCAGATAGGCATCCATGACTGTTTCCGTAATTCAATTGCAGAAATCCTAGAGAAGCAAGTCAAGGCGGAACGCGATACTGATCGTAGGACTACACCTCTGATATCTGTAAAACGATCTCTCCAAACTCATACCGGATATGATATCGAGTTCTCCGGTCTTGATAATTCTCCTGGCGGACCGATAAGAAACCTTTAGTTGCAAGTGTGAGTATATGCATCAAACCCTCTGTGGCTACAGAAGGAGAGGTTTCAGCCGGTGGCAGAAGTGCTGAAAAGCCGATTGCTTTGCTACCATGGTAAGCGGACGGTGAGTTGATGAAACCGTCTTCATCCATTTCCCCAGTTTGTTCCACGGGCATCGCCTCGAGCTTTTTTGTTAGAAACCCAAGGAAGTTCAGGCTTTCTTGGTCCAGGCTGGACTTCGATAGGCGACCTTGAAGAGTCACCTGACGACTGTACGTGCTTGCGTTGGCGTCGTCTCCAGTATGGCCATGGGCAGCACCGAATAGATCAGTCTGTAGAAACTGGCTCAGGTCAAAGTCACTCAAGACGTCCACGTCATCATTTCCGGGTAGCGTCAAGTTGTCGAAGGCCTCTGCGTCGAAGGGGAAACCTCTACTGGCTAGGGGACTTGCGCTAGTTAGACGGTTGCGTGATCGTCCGCGTCCAGCAGGGTGGGATGCAGTGAGGTCCCTGCCTCGTGAAGCCGAAGGGTCGCTCACATTTGCTACTCCACGGAGGCCACTAGCAGCAGACGATCCATGCTGGGAGCTCTGGACAGAGGCTGTGATATTCCATGGCATCTGAGATGAGAAGGAGTTGTCATCACGAAAAATAGATGGGGCGTGGCGACCAATTTCAACCTGTACAACGTTTGTTAGTAATATTCAACCGAACCATATGTGCAAGGGTACTGGCATACATCTTGCCAAATGTCATCGTTATCGACCACCCCACCTCGACCAACTTGTTCCTCGTTTTCTTCTCTGGCACGGACACGGCGCACGCCAGAGTCTGCTTCACTGTCATCACTAGGAAGGCGACTCCGCTTGAGCCCTTTGTGTCTTGCACTTGGGTCGAGGGCAGCATAGAGCTCCTCTCCTGAGAACTGCTGCAAAGGATGTGGTACACGGGATGCACCCAAGCCAAGACCAACTGAGCCAATTCCTTGACCGAAAACCCAGAAGATGGCATTCTTTTTTGCTTGCGTTGGGAGCTTGTTCTGCCGTTTCTGCTTCGAAACTATAGCCATGTTCTGCACGTAATCGCTGTTCATATTACCCAGCTCTGTGTTTCTCAAGGCAGTTCGATCATCCAATATTTGTAGTCTAGAGGCACGTCGTTTTTGGGGCACAGTCGCTGCGGCCTCATCTAGAATAAGCTTAAGCTCGTCGGTTGATTCAGACTCACTGCGCCGTCTTTTAGTAGCTCGACTGGCATGAATGAGCCTTTCATCCTGATGCTTGGTGATGATATCTATCCCTTCGTCGATTGGCATCGGCTAAGTAGAGAAGGTCAGAAAGTGCTCATCTCCGGGCCTAACAGACTTTACCTGATAGTCAAACGCGGCGTCATTCAATCCAATATTTGCCGCTTCATCTAGAAGTGGTGCTTCACTGACGTGTCGACTCGTTTTTCCCTTCACAGTTTCGCGCTGTGCCTCCCCAAGCTCGATGAGATTGCCATCCTCGTCAAATTCAAAGTCAGGCTGAAGAAGGATACCACCTTCCTCAGCAAAGGTTGTAGCTGCGAGGCCTCCCAGATCGACACTTCTTTGGACAGAGCTAGGTACATTGGTTTCGCAATCAATTCCACCACCATCCTTTAATATCATATCATCGTATGAGAAACTAAACCGTAGGCTAGGGCTCCGTGAGAGAGCAGACTGACTAAGGTCTGGAGTCTTCGGCCATAGAAGGTCGGACTGCTGACTTGCAGTAGTATCAAAGGGCAGACTAAGTTTAGAAAGATCCATACCCATCCCTGGAAGATCGCACTCTGGCAAAAAGGACGAGTCGTAAGGTATGATAAGTTGATCGGGCCTAAGATATCATCACATTAGCGTATGTTTCGAGATAATTTCTGCACACCATTTCCCTAGATAACGTACCTAGCCTTTCCAGCAGTTGGATCTAGCCCACCCCCGGGGAGGACTTTAAAAAGTGTTCGCATTTTATCGTGCATTGCTTGGACATCCGTAAGAGCATAACCACACTGTTGGCTGTACACCCGTGAAACTCCATAGCTATAAGAACTGTTAGTTACTAATCCAATTTCTAGATGTTGGCTAGGAACCGTACAGCAAATTGCCCTGGAGTCTCAGCGCCATTGGCGCCTCCGGGTCCATAATAACATGACAAGCTCTCGGAACGTCGACGTCCAGTATAGCTTTTCTATTGAGCTTTTTGCTAATCGACTTTGACCCCAAGGTTGCGACCAGCCTGTAAGCAAATCGGTGTCAGCCAACAACAATATGAACCTTGTTTAATCAATACGCTATGCGTATAGCTAATGTATGATAGTATGAGCAGCTTTTGGCAGGGAAGTTTGTATACCATATCGTGGCGACCCCATGGTCGGGTGACGTGAGCACTAGGACAAAGTGACATGTCAGTAAGACCTCGATACTTCTGCCAATAGACACTGAAGACCTCAGGGCTATGTGGTAAATGCAAGCTACCCAGCGGGGTGAATCACCAAAAGACGCTACTTACTTTCATGACTGTAAAACATTTTGAATTCCCACTATCCTGTAAAACAAGTCGTAACATAAGTGCCTAGTCTAAAGCTTCTTCTCAGACTCCACTTGGGCCATCGCAATATCACGCGTTTATGGCAGGACAACGTGCCGAACGAGACCGATATGTGCTATCCGAGTCGTGGAGAGATGTGATATTCGGAGAGTGTGCTTTATATCCGATGCTTCTTCAGCATAATAATGTCCGATGATACCCAGCCTGTACTATAAGATAACAATGCTCTCGACTACTTGAGTCCGATTGGATTTCAGATCCATCACTCACCAAGCCAAGATGTCGTTGTCTTACATCAATATTTGTAATGACACTCGCAGTATGAGAGGATATGTTAGATTGTAAACGTTGAGGTTATTAGTTTTCAATGTGGTCAGGAATAATTGGTAAGGTAGTGGAGAGAGGATGATACATTTCAAGCATGAACTTAGGGAACTATACAGGTCCTGAGAATGACATCGCCCGTAATGGATCCTGAGGCTGCCTACTTCCCCAGACCACATGACCACCAAAGTGTTCATGACTACTAGATACTAGACAGAGCTTGATAGAAAGTATAACAATTACGAAGCTAAACTATACAACTCAACACTTTAAATAAGAATGAAAGATCAGTACTATACATACCAGCATCCTCGAAAACGATTTACAGACCACACCATTATATCCGTATCAGAAGCTCCGAAGAGAAAGAAAAAAAGCGACCAGAGATACAGATACATGAGCCAATACACCGAAGGATTATGGGACGAATTGCTTTTGATCCTCCCTCTATTCTTTGCTTTCCATAAGCGCCGATCTCCTTTGCAGGCACGATACAGTATTCCTCCTCCATGCAAGCGAGAGAACAAGGGAAACGGAGACATCTATGAGTGGGAAACCAAATATTCAAGAAAACATGATTAAGTTGACTATGGAAATTGAGGCAAGAGACCCTTTGCGGAGTATCACCGACCCATAGCAACCGATGAGAGACACCCGGGGTATGAGACACGCGAGAAAGATGACACCATTGTTCAATTCAAGAAACGAAAATCCCCGTCCACGAAATAGTTCATATACCTGCACTTCCGCTATATTGAGGCTATAGGGATGAGCATACTTAAGGTTGCTTACTCCAGAGGAATACCCTGGTACTCGCCATACCCGAGGGCGAGGTTCATGTTTTCTGCCAATAGTTAGCACGGTACAAATTAATGATGGCAGACAAATAACAAAACTTACGGAGGCACTGGGTGGCTGCGCCCTTCAGCAGGTTGTCAATGGTAGCACACACCACTGCGCGCTTGCCACTAGAGTGAACAGCGAATCCACCAACTTCAACACCATGGCGACCAGCGATGTTCTTCACCACCGGGGGCTCGCCGATGATCTTGACAAGTTTCTCGCCAGCATAACGTTCCTGGTAGATGTTGCGAATATCACGGGAGGACATTTCCTCCTTGAGAGGGATGCTGATGCTTTGCTAGAGGGAGTTAGTTCTGCTACTGAATAACAGTCGAAGACAACAGAGGAATAGGAAGGGTGATAAGTGAACATACATGAATACCCTGGAACCAAACAGCGACATGAGGGATGAATGCAATGCTGGTGCCAAGCTGGGAGCTGATCTCCTTCTCATGAATGTGATCAGTCAAGCTGTAAGGGATGATGTTGTTGGTAAGGTTCTCCACATCGTTCTTAGGGCTTGGCTTGGTACCAGCGCCCGAGTATCCGGAAACACCGAAAACGGTAGGTTGTCCACCGAGGTGAGGGACGAGGGGAGCAATAGCAACCTGGGCCGCTGTCGCGTAGCAACCAGGGTTGGCAATTCTGGACGCCTGGGCGATTTTGGAGCGGGAGACCAACTCAGGCAGACCGTAGGTCCAGTTGCTATCGAACCGATAGTCGGCACTCAGATCAACGATAACATTACCCTTGTCTGAGCCTTGGTCGACAGCGTCGACAAAAGGCTTGCAGACACCGTTAGGCAGAGCCATAACCCAGCAGTCAACATCGCCATTCGCAGACATGCGCTTGACATCCTCGGGGCTAAGGTTCTCGTAGATGATCTCCCTCTTATCATAACCTTGCAACTTCTTGCCAGCCAGCTCGCGAGAAGAAACGTGACGCAGATCCATGTGGGGGTGGGCATTGAGCAGATTAATCAGGGCCTGACCAGTGTAGCCACGAGCTCCAATGAGAGCAACCTTGGACGGCTGGGTGTTAGACATGTTCTTCTCGCCAAGGGGTGGGTTGGGGTTAGTCGTGGAGTAAGCCCGAGCCGAGTTCCTGCTGAAAACCGAAGGCCGTCCAAACCGAGAAGACCGCAGAGCATTGGTGGTGGTGGAGAACGCACGCTTCTGCTCAGCGGAAGCACCACTGGCCCCAAAGCCCTTGCCAATGTTAGTGGCGGCCTCGGCAGCGCGGTGCAACCTCGACTCGAGGTTGATATCACCGAACATCTGGCGGCCATGTTGGTTGAACTCCTGGACCAACTGCTTGACCTCTTCGCCGCTTTCGATGCCGTACCAGAAGAGAACCTCTCCCTCGCGGCTCAGGCTGCCATCGGCCTTGTCGAAGAACCAGGTCAGGTTCTCGTCGTCCTCCTTAACAGTCCACACAAGCTTGGGGAAGTCCTTCTTGATTGAGGCAAAAACATTGTCAGCCACGTTAGTCAACCATCCCGATTTGGTAATGGTGAAAGTGGCCAAGTGAGCCAAGGGAGAAGAAGCATCCTGCTGGGGAGGCAAGACAACGGCCAAGGCCTCCATGGGCTCATCGAAGTACACCTTGAAATCACGCTCCTTCAATCCTTCAACGTAGCGCTCCACGGTAGCACGGGCATCCAAACCTTCCCGGTCGCGGATCAAAACATCCTTGAGCTTGTCCAGGTCCTCAAACTCCGAGATAGAGGTCTTGGTGTGCACCTTGTTGCCCCTGCGGATCAAGGTACCCGCACCAGAGTCCGTGAAAAGCTCCTTCTGCAGATCGGCCGGGTGGATGATGGCAACACTCGAGGTGCGAGGAAGATCACTGAGAAGCTCCTTCATCTCCTTAATCTTCAGACGGGTGCCGTGACGCACCCACCACTGGGTCATCAAGTGGTCGTACTCCTCATCGAGATTGATCACCGAAATCTTCTCGCCCGTGTCACCGTTGAAGAGCCCACCCTTCTCAGCAAGGTAGACAATCTTGAGCGGCTGGAGTGCACGCGCCAACTCACCGGCAGCCACATCGGCGTTGACATTCAGAACCTGGCCATCAGGGGTCTCGGCCATGGAGGTCAGGATAGGGAGACAGCCAGATTCGATAGCAGACTCGATTGGCTTCTTGTTGACACCATTGATCTTACCGACCAGATTATATTTCTCCTTGTCGAGGTAGTCGGCCGAGAAGACACCTGCAGTGAGAGGGCGGGCTCTCACTCCCATACGTTCCAATTCTTCGGTCAGCTTCAGATTCTCCTCCAAGAAGAGCTTCCTAGCAAGAGCCAGGGTCTTGCCATCAGTCACGCGGATTCCATCCTCGAACTGTGGCTCCACACCGGCGTCTTCCAACATGCGATTGAGCTGAGGCCCTGCACCGTGGACGACAATCGGATAGAGTCCGACATGGTTCAGGAAAGCGAGAGCGGAGGAAAGCGTCTGGAGGTGTTCGGTGATAATGGCACCGCCGACCTTGATGACAGCGAACTGCTGGGAGGAAACCGACGTAAAGTGAGAGAGGTACTGCTGAACCTCACGCTTCGAGCCGATATTGCTCAGCAGCTGGACGACTGTGGAGCGGGTCGACGAAAGCTGGGGGTCAGCGGCGCGGGAATAGTGACGACCCTGCAGCAACGGGACGGCGGAAGCCTTCAGGGAGTTACGAGCGCCTAGTCTCGCGGACGAAATGGCGTGCGGTGCGGAGAAGGCTCGGAGGGGCTTGCTGGTTGAAGCTCTCCGCACGGCGGTGCGAAGGGAGAACATCTTGCCAACCAGCATGCGGCAGCTTCAAGGCCTATGTCTGGGGAGTCTGGGAGGGAAAGGGGAGCGAGAAGGTCAGTGTTTCAAGAGGACAAAAGACAAGGCTGGCGTTATGAGTAATAAGTAGTGAGGGAAAAAGAAAGTAAAAAGTGGAGGTACTGCGGGCTCTCAGGAATTTGCCGCACCCCAAGTTCCAAGAAATGAATGTATGGGATTATCGTCGGCCATCCGCGCTCGGAGTGGCTTTTTTGCTTCTTTGGGTCCTTACATTTTCGGGGGCGGTCACTCACTAGCGTATTTTATTTAAGCCTTCGTCACAACCTGGTATTTCCCTCAAATCGCGAGATTTTCCTTTCCCTAAAAAATGGACGGGGAAACACCAGTACTGAACCTGAGGGGTTTGCAATGACCACTAAAAGAAACGATAGTAATCAATGAGCAGAAGCCGTTGAGAGGAGAGGGAGCGTAAGCAGGGGAGGAAAGAGAAAATTGATCGATCGGCAAGTCAATACTAGCACTCCCGGTACCTGAATTGGCTTGCGACTTTCGGAGCCGATGATTATTATGTGAGCGGCGTGACTCAGAGAAACGAAAATGGCAATGAATCAGAGAAAGATTCTATCTCACTCTTTTTTTTGGGCCCCAACGGTCTCCATCCCACGTAATGAAAAATGATGATATTGCAGGATCCCGTGGATCTCTCCTCAATTAGTTAGCACCAGTCGATTTTATTAGGATTATCAGATCTCGCCTCGGTGTTTTACAGCTCGGTTCTTCATGTCCCACAGCGAATAAAAGTCGCTCCTTCCTCCCAGAATGGAGCTCTATTCAGATACCATCATCAGGTGTCATTCCGTAGTGCACTGGGTCCTTCGTTATCTGATCGTTTACCTAATATATCAAAACAGCCTAAGCAGCCCGATCCACTCCTCCCAAGTCAATAGGTCAATGACCCTGCAAGTTTTGCTCCGAAGACCCAGCATCGAACTAGTAGTAATAAACCTTGCACCCACGGATGTATATACCCTAAACACCACTAGCAACCTATGGCAAATATATTTGTCTTTACTTCATGACTTGTGCTGCAATAACTGAGACACATGGGCTGTTACGACGTAATGAATCCATGGGTATGAGACGAAATACACAGAGGGTTATTCATTAAAGGCTAGGGAACGACACAAAGGAAAGGTTCACATAAGAAAAAACAAAAGGAAAAAAAAAAAAAAAGGCAAAAATCGCGCTCGCATACTTGAGCACGAGAAAACAGCAGTATCATTTACATCTTCACCGTCGACGTATCATAGGGCGTGGCCTCGTCCGATATTCAATCGGCTCATAGCGTCAATGGCGTATAGAGACAAGAGTTTAGTCGTGAGAACATGGCGGACGCCCGAGAAAAACAGGAGGTATTAGTGGCTGAAATCGAAGCTTCACCGTCTCAAATACAGATAAACCAGCTGAAAAAAACATCCATTCCCAAGACAAACGTGACCGTCACTGCGTTCATTAATGCTTGGCAGTGACAACTAAACATACAGATGTTAGCGCATTCAGTCGTATTTTCCGTGCAGCAAATACACCGCGTGAGGATGAAAGGTAGGCCTTACCGGCAGGCACAATAATAACCACAAGCAAGAGGATGACACAAATCACCAAGCATACGCGCATCTTCATGTCTTTCCACCACATTTGCTTCCGCACACGGTTCGCACCCCGGCGGAAACCCTGAGCCGATACGGCCAGGTTATCGGTCTTATCTTGTAGGGAGTCTAGACGTTCACCACGCTCGGAAACCTTGAAAATATTTGACCGCATCGTATCCACAGTCTCCTGGATTTTCTGTTACAGCGGGAAATTAAAGTTAGCATGAGTTTCTATAATGTTCCATTCCGGTGAAATAAACGCAACACCGAATATCATGGGTGAATGCTGGATGCAATAATTTCAAATGCAAGTCCCGGGAAAGAGACTTAGGCATAGACAGCCACCAACATCTCATACCACTAGAGAGAAGGATTGCGCGACGGATATGGCAGGGACAGCTAATCAACATACCTTGTCGATTTCCCTTGTCCTGGGATCGCCATTCTGCGCGGCACTGGCCCCAGCCGGGGCGTTGGCAGTAGAGCCAGAAGGAATATAGGGATCGTAAGGTTGTTCAGACATGGTTATTTGATGCGGTGAATGCGAAGCGTTCAGAACTGAGGTCGGGGAACCTGGTGGATCACCAGATGCCTAGCGGGAGAAAGGCGGAGTCTGCTGGATTCTCCTTTCACGGGGTTGCGAGAGACGAGGGAAGATAAAAACCGTAAGTATATGCGAACGGGCGTGCGATGAGAGCCTCAGATGAACAGCTCGGATTCCTGGAGGTTGGGTGGATGATGGGCGTAAGGAGAGGGTGGAAAACGTTACTGGCGTGAAGCTGACAGGGTGTGATGAATTGCCGCCCGCCTTTGGAATTACGGTTGTTTCGGTTCTGTCGGGGAAACCGTCACGTGATTGTGGTCTTTCAATAGTTATTGGGAAAGAAACGTCTAGGCAGCTATTTTTATTAGACACCAATGGCAGCACAAAGAACTGCGAATATAAATAGAGAAACCTAAGAGTCCCGTCAATAAAATTCTTTATTGGGGAGTATCGTTACTTATGTGCGGTCAGAAAAGCTGGGAACCACCCTTTATTAGCAAGAGAGATTTCCATTAGGCACTATTAGGTCACTGACACCAATTGCCAAATCACCATCAATAATAGTACTATAAATATGTGTTGGCGTGGCTCAATCCTAAATATGCCGTGGCAAAGAGGCTGTGCTTTTCATCCAACTGCCACAGCCTCACGTGGTCATCCACCAATACTTATGCAGGTTCTGGGAATGAAAACAAGAGAGGGAGAATGTGATGTTATTCAGAAGGCTAATATTCTGTGGATATTCCTACATGAAGGCATTTAACACATAATGCAAAGTATTCTTACCAAGACAGGGAGAGGACTTTTCCGTGAATAGTAGCATCATATGTGTCAATATTCGAATAGAGGAGCTATATACAACTAAACTCTAACAATCATGGAGCCGTGAACTTAAATACAAATAGGGCTATATCCTGGCATCACACTCTATCCGAATAGAATGAATCTCAGTAAAGAAGATTCAAAGTTTCGCACTTCTCAGCTTCTCAAACGCCTCAACAGCTTTCAAACTATCCCTTTGCGCCCGGTCCTTCTTATCCTCCAACTGTTCCCTCCAAGCCAGATTGGCAGCATGTCCATCCAAGATATCCAGCGAATGACGGTACATTTCCTCTTTCATGGTCCCATAAATACCAGTGGCCGCTTTTTTCTGTAGTCCACGCTCCCGGATAAGCGTCAAAACCTCTTCTAGCCCGCCCACACCATCTACAAGACCGGCCTTGACAGACTCGGGACCTCCGAACCGCTTTGCTTCGAGGATGAGGTCCCGGAAAGAAGAGGGTGTCAACTTCTCTCGGAATATGCTCATCATGGGCGATTGGAGCGGGACTCCAAATTCCAACTCGTTGATGCAGAGAAGACCCTTGGAAGGGTTCTGGATCCGATAGTCGTGATACATGGCCAGCATGAGGCCGCCAGCAAAAGCATGTCCGTTCAAGAGGCAGATAGTAGGCATAGGATATCTGTTGCGATTAGCATACCATTCAGTCATGGGGGAGACAACGAGTGCACGTAGAGCCATGACTAACGTCAGGAATCGGCGGAACAGTTTCCACAACCACTGATCCAAGAAGCCCTCTGTGCTGAGGGCAAGCTCGAGATCTAGTCCATTACTATAGAACTTTGGAATGCCACTGGTGGTAATCACCACGCCTTTGGGGTATCTGTGCTCGATAATGTCCAATGCAAGTATAAAGGCATCTATGAATGTCGGGGTAAGTCTGTTGTCCTTCGGAGATGTAAAGGTGAGTAGGTAAATATTCTTCTCCTTCTCCGAGGCTGTGGGGTTGGAGCAGACGAAGCTTCCGCCGGTGGACGAAATTGGAACGGTAAAAAGGGTCGTCATGGTTGTGGTATATCACTGGGTATGTACTTGAAACAGATTGGCTGTTGAAGAAGGTATGTACTACATTTATTTCTTCTTGAAGCTCTTTTCGCTCAAAGAATAACCGGAGTCTTCCAAAGCCTCGGAAGCATGGTAATCAATCCGCGATAGTTTATCACATGCTAAGAGGTTTTTATTTGCTATTATGATAGGGTTTGTATAACACTTTTCTTAGCCAAAATTCATCAATTGCGGGGATAGCTCAGTTGGGAGAGCGTTAGACTGAAGTTTACTTCGATCAGAATAACCTAATAGGTTATCTAAAGGTCGCCGGTTCAATCCCGGCTCACCGCAATCTTTTTTGCAACCATTTTTTTAATACACTTACGCAGAGGAAGTTGTATAAGAAAAGTCTACATTGGCCTTGAATAAACGCATGAAGGGAAGATAAATTAGACAAAAGTTCTATACTACAAGTAGCTAATACATAGAGAGTCAACATTCCTAAAATCCAGTTACTCTCTTGTCAAGACATTCTTGGCTCCGGACCATCTAAAACTCTTGTATTTATTCCGGGATGCGTTTAGCACAAACATCAATAAAATAACCTATTTCAGATATACCCTTGGAGGTTCTTGCGTGAAACCGTGGAGCTCCTTTTTTCAGAACTCTCTCACACTGACAAAACCGAAATTTGTTTCTACCTCGAGGAGACTTTTAGGGGCAGGATTACTCGAGGATCCGTGCTGTTGTCAGGGATAAACCGAATGAAGACCTTAGTGGCAGCGTTCTTTGTGCTGAGATGGAAGAAGAGGGACTGATGGACAGCTCCCCGTATATTATTTTCCAGGGCATTTGCTACTACGCGGATATGCTTTAGAATAAAGAATAGCAGGATTACTGTGGCTATAGCGGCAGTATTTGCCGAAGAACATATATACTCACAGGCGAGTGATGTCGGCGGGGGGGAAAGCAGTGGAAAGACATAGCCAATTTTGGTAATTCAAGCCGAGCTATATTCGAGTTTTCTAATTCTAGAGGTTCTTGGTGCCGTATCCACAGTGGGAGAAAGCATGACAAGGACGAAGCCTTAGTGTGAGGGGGGAATTGAAGACTGGGATCGTCAATTGGCTGGTCCATCGGACTATGCTACGTACTCAGCACAACAATCTTGTTCGCAGGTAACAGTGAGGGACGAGACAATGGCTGCTGCCAGCTTTGAATGGGTCCCAGGAATGGTTGGATCACTTCTCTGTCCTAGCACATCTAGGGCCGGGAAGGCCACACTAACATCTATCATTGATAAACACATCCGGGCAGGATTTCTCAATGATAACGGCATCGCTATTAGAATAGATATGTTGCTCCTGCCGGCCACAGGGGGAATAAAGCCCCGAGAATAAATTATAGATCTACTCTCGAGCCTCCTAGGGAAGTTAGTATAGTAACGACCAGTTGTCTTCCGATATTAAGGATTTGTATATACAGTACATAAGCAGAGACGCCAGACCATCATTTGATGATGTTTGGAGATGTTTCACCCAACCATTAAATTGTTCCCAGTGTGGTTTTCAGAATCGACACTTTGGGTGAATACCTTGCCCCAGGCAGAGAAGGTCAAAGGAAACTGCTCATCTCTATTGGGTCACATGCATGTATTCAAGGAGGGGAAGCTGGGGGCTTTTGTATATGTAGAGGGTTGGCTTCGATGGATGCTATTATTCTGTAGAAGTAATTACCTGCAGGGCTGACTTGATGTAGCATACCGATAATAGGCTGAGACTTGTACTGATGAGACATATATATATTTGACTTTTACCAGGACGGTGAAATAGGTCCTTCCATGAGTGTAGCCAAATTCAATCAATGGCATCTAGCCTATAGATAGCCAAGCCAGTCAGTAGTTACTAGGGCGTCCCCACAAGCTACGTATGCTAAATCTGGTAGCCATAGATATGATAATTAATGGTCTATACCTGTCGATGGGCAGACATTACACTTTGCATTATATTGTCAAAATTCAATTGTTTCCTCCATCAATTGCGGGGATAGCTCAGTTGGGAGAGCGTTAGACTGAAGTTTACTTCGATCAGAATAACCTATTAGGTTATCTAAAGGTCGCCGGTTCAATCCCGGCTCACCGCAATAATTTTTTCTGCATCGATCTATACATCCACACCCGACTTTTCCCATAACTTTTGCTTTCGAAGATCTCTTCTAGCCGATAGTTAAAACATTACATCTTTTTCTACCTACGAATGAGGCTCTTGATATTATTGGCTAGTAGTTCTTCATATCATTTCGAATAGTGATACCCTACATCCACTTGATCTCCCAAGCTGTTTCGTAGTCTAACCATGCAACATCATACCACTCGACACACCTAGTCGCATCATTCACGCGTATCACTTAACCGACAGCTTACGGCTCACCGCAAATGACTAAAGACTATCTTAAGAAACATATGCCCAAAAACTTGTCCGAAGACAAATCCCCAATTTGAAGGCCCTACGAAATGGGATACGCTCTAGCAAAGGGTCCATTAATCCGATCTGGTTATTGAGGCCGACATTACGCTAGTACTATAGTAGAAATTAAGCCCTTAAAAACCGAAGGCTGAAGTAGATCTCGGAGATACTTGACATCAGATGCACCATTCGAGCGATCTCTATGTCCGACTACATGACATTGTCAGAAATGATAGTACCTTATTGCCTGGTTAGTTTATGAATTGTGTTCTGGGTACAATTATTGTCACTATCCTGCTGCGGAGGCTGAATTGGAAGACAATACAATGCTGGAATTCTGGTTTATAACTACCAATTGCGTTTCTCGGTCCATGTGTCCTGTGAGGCACAGGGTATGGACTTCATCTATAGGTTTTCGCCCGTAGCTTGCGGGACTCATCTGGATATTTCGTCATTACTGCTATAGCTCGCATACGTAAGACGTAGTATACTTTAGGTGATATCGTCCGAGGCTGAGTATGTTAATGTAAGTTTGTAAACTCCGAAGTATGAGTGTCTGGAGATATAAATACATGGCTTTCCCTGAGAGAACAAGGACAATTTGCCTAATATCCTCACGGGCATTAGAATATATTTACCAACTCCGATTCAGGCACCAAAAGCAATCCAAAATGTCCAAGGAAGAAGTGAGTTCATTGCTTCATACATTCCCATAATTTTTTTGACGCTCATAGATACTAGACCATTGAAGCCAAGGCCAGGGCTCTCCATGAGCACATCTTCTCAAAGCCAGAGGATAGATACGCCGGCAAGCCCTGGGATCTCGTGAATGCCATCAATGAGTTCGCGGACGAAAGCCGCATGATGACTTTCAAAAATGCCAAGATTGAAGCTTCGAGGCAGCAAATAGCAAAGATTCAACCAACCCCAAAGACCTTTATTGAATTCGGTGGATATGTTGGTGCCTCAGCCATCGCCTGGGGCGTCATCTTGCGTGAACTCAACAATGCAGATAACGCAGTTGACGTCAATGTATACACATTTGAGCTGAGCCCGGTCAACGCTGGTGTTGCACGGGAGCTCATTCGGCTAGCAGGCTTGGAGGGCACCGTGCATGTTCTCGAAGGACCAGCTGCAGACTCACTGAGAAGACTGTTCGAAGAGGGGAAGGTAGAGAAGGGAGGCGTGGATGTAGCCTTTTTCGACCACTGGGAGCAGTTCTATCTCCCGGATCTGCAGCTTTGCGAGGATCTAGGCTTGTTCAGGAAGGGCTCCAAAGTCATTGCTGATAACACAGATTTCCCCGGTGCTCCTGCCTACCTTGAGTATGTGAAATCTGGTGGAAGGCAAGGTGGGTCTTATCACTATGAGACTGAGTCATTTGAGACTACCTCGAATCGTGGTCCCGTGAGTTACCCTATCTATACCTGAATATTTGTGTGGCTGTTATTGATACTGATTGTTTTCCAGAGCATTGTCGAGGTTAGCAGTGTTGTTGGTGTTCAGTGATTGGTTTCGTTGTTTGTCTTTATTGGTCTCTAGCGATGGCCTGTGACAAGTAGGTTCTGCTAGGTAAATACACATTTGGAAAGTTCTATCTTGGATATAATACCCTCTTCGTAGGCGATATAAAGCTTACAGGCATGCCTTGGTGATGATGAGATATTGCAGCTAGGTCCAATGTTTCTATCAGCAGCTATGGTTATACAGATACCATACACATCTGATATGGAGGTAGTATCCGCAGTAGAGCAACGTGAAATCAGCAACTCCTTGGATTATACAATGTAGCATAGCTCTCACATAGTTACCTTCTCACGCTTGTGTAGGTCGACACTGTCCTCTTAGGCCTAGGCCCTGACGAGCGATAGTGCCACTGGGTATTTATGTGTAGAGACGAGATGGGCTTGGCAACATATCGAAGTCCCCACCTGGTAATCTAGGGATTAAAGCCTACCACGAGTATACGAAAGTGATAGGCACGCAGCCCGCACCATTAATCATACATGTGTAGCTCAGAACACTTGGTGAGAAGCTTAATTGACCAGCAAAAAATCCTCCAAGGAGCAGCAGTAGGTAGCATCAGCCCTTGTTCAATGCCTCATGTTAAAAGCATGAGGAATGTTTACAACAAAAAAAACATTATTGCGGTGAGCCGGGATTGAACCGGCGACCTTTAGATAACCTATTAGGTTATTCTGATCGAAGTAAACTTCAGTCTAACGCTCTCCCAACTGAGCTATCCCCGCAATTGTTGAAAGTTTGCCCCAAATAATGCTTTATAAATCAACTTTATATCCCAGTCAAAACAGAACAGAGGAAGCACCACCGCATCATCCTATCCGCCCATACATTTCGGAGTGATCAGATAAACCATAATGATGCCATGAACACCTCAAAAACCTAATTTCACCACCACCAATTCCGCGAGGCGCCCGGTTTGCTCAGGCGATGTCGCACAGACAATAGCAACCCATCGATGAAATAAGATATACTTGTCCACTTAATCCCCACTCACTATGTCCGTTAAGCTCCCTCGATCAACACAAAACGAACGGGAAATCTCACAACTGATCCAGGGCCGTCTTCTCACTCATCATCATCAATAAAGCCGGTGGTCTAGTCTATCAGCGTGAATTCCAGCCCGGCCTGCGCAAGCTTTCCACAAATGATTATCTCGTCCTAGCTGGTACATTTCACGGGTATGTGTGTTAGATCGAATTCATCCCGCCGAAGGAGATAATCCTCCGATCACTCAACCATGTTACAACGGGACCGCTGACTATATGTTGTGGGTAGTGTTCATGCCATTACTCGCACGATAACCCCCAAGCTCCCCCTTTCTACGGCCCCGACGACAGCAACTACCCCGACTTCCTCCAATATACCCTCAACCCCTGGCACACCCACTCCGCCTACTCCGGCGTCAGCGTTCACGTTTCCCAACCCGGGGATTCCAGCGACGGGTCTCGAAAGCCTTGAGACGGATAAGTTCCGATTGACATGTTTCCAGACGTTGACGGGGACGAAGTTCCTTCTATTCACGGATCCGATGATGGGGAATATCGATGTTGTTATGAAGAAGGTGTACGAGTTGTATGCGGATTATGTGATGAAGAACCCTTTCTATCAACTCGAGATGCCGGTCAGATGTGAGGCGTTCGATCGACATCTTGCGGGGTGGTTGAGGGGGAGGACCTGATCGTTCCCTTCATTTCTTCTCTTGATTGAGTTGGGAGCAATAGACTGCTGGAAGGTCGATTTGTGGTGACATTAATGACGCATTTGATGACAATTGTCCTTGTTGTAATTACATATTTTCTTTTTTTGCCTTTGTTGGTCATGAAACATACGATAGACTTCAATCACATCCTTCCAAAAGCGTATCAACTAGGATCGCTTTCTAGAATACAGGAAAATACGAAAGCACATTGATAAAACGCCGGGTATGCATCAAATTCGTCCTCAGAAAGTTATTTGACTTTCCTTCTCTACGCGGTGTCCATCTTGTCACCGTCCTCCTTCTTATCTTTGCTCCCGCTCGATTCACCTGATTGTCCTTCCTCAGGAATGTTATCCAGGTTGGCTTTGCGTTCTTGCTCCTCCCGCTCCCGCTTTTCCTTCTCTTGCCGGTTCTTCTCTTCTTCCAGGGATAAGCGTAGGGCGAACGCCAATTCGGGATCATTCTCAGCTGCATCTTCGAATCCAAATTCGCCGGTTTCACCACCTGCACCTGCGTCGCCTGCTCCAGCACCATCGCCGCCTAGAATGGGAGTCATTTGAAGCTCCTCGCTCAACAGATTCGGACCAGGAGGGATGATGGCCAGGTGTGAGCCGTCGCCGCCTTTGACGTTCTCGACGAACGCCTCCAGCTTCTTAGTTTGATCGGATTCGAGGTCTCCGAAGGCAATAACATCGATAGATACATTGTTCTTCTTCATCTTCTTAGCCAGCTTAACCAATGACTTCTCATCTTCTTCGATCGGAGAGCACGAGAACACGATGATGCGTTGGCGTTGGGACTTCTCGGAACGATGTTTCAAAGCGAGCTGTAGCAAAGCGTATGGTTAGTAGCCTTATCGCCAGAAATGCCGGAGTAAGAAACCATAGGGTCAAGACATACACCGGCCACTTGTATACTGGAGCTAAGGTGGGCAGTGCCGTGGATCTTAGTGCGGTGCAGACCGGCCAGGATAGCACCAAAGTCGGAGGTGAATGTCGACAGAACCTCAGGGCCCTTTCCACCCATGCTCATAAGTCCGACGGCTGACTGGGGATGTACGCGCATCTTGGCGGTGTGAATAACGCTGACGGCGTCGATCTGTGCTTGCCATCTTGTCGAGCTAGGAGCTGTTAGCACTAAAACAACGGGTTAACCGGAGAAAGGTCCTTACGTATAGTCTCCATTTCTACTGCTTTCGCTATTATCCACGCTATAGATGAGTTAGTTGGGGTGTATGGCGCTAGAGCGTTGAACGGGAGATGACGAACATGATCATGGTTGCTTCGAGCGACATCTTGGCGGCGGTCTATCGGAATTAGATAGATTTATAATAGAAGGAAATGGAAAAGAGAGAATAATATAGAATTAATAAAGCTCTCCTCGATCCCGAAGAGTTCTGCGGGGCGGTAGAAGATGGGGGGGGGGGGAAGATGATGATGGAGGTGATGGGGGAGGAGAGTTGGAGCTGTGCTCGAGAACGAATGTCACACTTGCCCGCCCCCATCGGGACTAACCACAAATTAAGTCAGCGGTTGTTTATCCCCCATTAAAACAAGCGCATACTTCAGTGCTTTCCTTCCACTCCCACCTCAACACACGCCCGCCACCTCTTCGCTCTCCGACAACTCCACCCAACTTAGATTACTGAATTTATTCACCACAGCTAGCGACTTCCTCTTCTAGACCCTCAAACTTTCAGAACTGAACCAACTCCGCCATAATGGCTTCCCTTACATCCAAACGGAAGTCTCGCGACGACGCGTACCCCGTCGATGAAGCTAGAACGCCGACTGGCAGTCCTCCTAAGAAGAGGGCCCGAGTAACCCGAAACCAGAAACAAGCACTTATGGATAACCTGCAGCTAGAGAGTATGTTCCCAATGCGTACTGTTCCCTGATTGTCGACATTAACCATAGCATAGTCACCGAGCGGGCTCGTAAACTTCGCGCACAATATGCGCTTCAAGCAAATGATCTCCGGGCTCGGATGGAAAGACGCATTAATCGGATCCCCATTGCCCTCAGGAAGGTAAATATGGGTGAGCTGTTGGAAAAGTACAATGCTGCCCTCCGGGCGCAGCAAGAGAATACCTCCCCGAGGAAGTTCATGAGCCCGATCAAAGGGTCACGAAATTTTGCAGCTATCTCGGTTAATCCTGCAATGCGGAAGGCTTCTGCTGCAAGCCCGAGCCCTCGCAGGACGAAGAAACAGAGGTACGCTGAAATCGCGATTATCCGGACGAAATCCTTACTAACCCGATACTATAGTCGCGATGGTGTCTACTCCGATAAAGAAAATGCCCCTGCGTCAGGAGAACAACTGGATGTACTCAAGAACCCGAAGAGACGCGCCAAGCCCGGCGCTGCTGCCGGCACTTCGCGGGTGGTCTCTCAAGAAGTCAGGGGGGCAGACTTCAGAATTCTTTCTCCCAAATCATCAAACTCTAGGACATATCCACAATCACCGCTTCGCGCATCCCCCGAGAAACCTCAGAATTCATCTTACCTCTCGCGGCCAATGTCATCACTAAAGCCTTCTAGTCCGCTCAAGGCCGCTCCAGCTAGCCTGGCCGGATCACTGGAAAGCGCGCGTCTTCGTACTACGAAAGGCACATCATCTGCAGCAACAGCAAGCAGACCTGCTTCGCAAGCATCCAAGAGACCAGCAAGTCGGGCCACTACGGCATCTAAGACGACGACACGGTCGCCCTTGCCACGGCCCGCTACCCGTCAGCTTGAACGCAGAGGTAGTGTCTCATCCTCCACGTCATCTGGCACAACCGTCACCAAGCCGACGCGGACAGGTGCAAACGCAAGGAAAGTGACAGCCGCCTCAACCGCTAGCTCTACAGCTAAGAAGGCCGTCGCAAATAGCCAAGCAAGCTCTGCAACTGCCAAACGTAACGCCGCGTCGGCTACCAGGAAGGCAGCCGTTCCCGCAGGAGGTGAAGCTCCGACAACGGGACGGAGGGTTCTGCGCAAACGGGCTTAAATGCTCTTTATCTCCTCTTCCAGGAAGGGACCTGCCATTTATAGTCTTGACCTGCACCGAAATCTGCTATGAGGGCTTAATTATGGAAGCATCGTGAACTTTGATGTTTTGGAGTTGGAGCGGGTCTATTGGCGTTTTCTATTTTGCCTTGTGTATTGGGGCTGGAGTCGGTTGGGTTCGTAGTAGGTTCTGTTGGTTTATTTGCACGGTTAAAATAGGTTGAACTCCTTGCATTGATGAGTTCATTTGATTAAGGGTTATATCATTGGAGTTTGGTATTATCATCCTTCGGCTAGTTGGACGCGATTTTAGTGAATTGAACTTTGTTAGCACCTGAAACAGCAATAATGTGCACTGGTATTAGAAATGGTCTTTCTAGACGAAACTCTACACAAGGACTGCTAAATCGGATTTACGAATATCCAGGATCAAGAATGAAGGTAGAAGTTAGAAAGATTCCCGTCATCTCACAGCTGTATGTATCTAAACATCTCATGAAATTATGGATGTAATTGGACGCAACACAGACAATTCGGGATATCAGCTCAAAGTAGGCTGAATAGGTAAAATGCAAATGAGCAGGTCAAAGGTAGAAAAGAAAACTCAACACAGGTATCTCTGCAGCCATTTTAAATTGGCTGGAAAACGAAACAAACCAAACAATATTCTCACAATACTGTTGATGAGAAAAGAAACGGAACACCAGAGTAGAACGGATCAGAATTGAAAGAAGAAAACAGTCGAAAGGTCGAGCACATATTCACGCTAGGTTTCAGCTGGAATGCAATGAGATCAGGGATAGGGACGCTCCGGTACCAGAAATGTGTATAGTAAGCAATGATAGACAGGACACCGGACAACCAATAGGTTCCCCAGGGATAGCAAGACGCATAGAGGCAAGAGTCAGGCCCACCACTATAATGATGATATTGCACTTTTAGGCATTGAATAGGCAAGAGAGGGTAAAGGCAAGGGCATCTAGCGGACGTAAAGCCAGCCAATGTGGGGGGCTGTTTGGCTTGTGTCCTGAGAATTGTTGCGATGCGAGACAAGAAGGATATAAGTGAAAGAAAAAGAACTCCATCCAACCCTGTCAAAAATTAAAGAACGCTGAACGGCCCAATGATACACCAACAGTATTCAGAGCACCAAGAAGTAGGGAAAACGAGGATTGATCGATATACGTCCTTGAAGCAAGTGACAGTAGCATAATATCAACCGGCAACTCCCATCGGCCCTGCTCCCGGCCGAGCTCTATAAGGCAGCTGTTGAGGTTGGGCATCTGGTTGTACCGGATTCTGCTGACTGCCATTGCTGATGCTGCGCTCACGGTTATCGCTTGTTGCTGCCGGCACCAACTCCGCATGTGGGATACCACTAGCTGAATGAGCATGACCAGGAGGGCCCTGCACATGGCGTACAGAGCCTTGCAACTGTGTCGCTGCATCTTGAGATGGATCCGTCTCGATACGTGCAGACGTCGGGGTGTTTGCTCCGCGATTTTGATTCGTAATAGTGAAGGTTTCGCCACCATTGGCGGGTCTCTGGGAAAAGCTGCCGCGCGCGATATCCCCGTAACGCTTCAAGATCTCTTTTGTGGTGACTTCGGAATTCTCTTTGAAAAAATTGGTGTCCGTGAGAACCGATTGCAAATCCTCAGGAATCTGGAATATTCAAAATTAATATATCTGTATCTGTAACACACCTGGGACGTGCTGTAAACAACTTACCTCGCACATGGTATCATTGTATGCGATAAGCGCATTAATAGCCTCAATTGCTAGGAAGCTCTCATCAACGGTGCCGTTTTTGGCATTCGGATACAGAATGTTAGGGGCCATCACCGTGGCAAGATTGTGGATGTCCATTTTGCTGCCCGATTCCTCATCGACGTGCGAAAAAGATGACGTCCAATTCAGGAAGGCAAACAGGACTTCCATGGTATCTCGGTGAGCTTTGGGAAGCAGGCAACAGGCAAGGTGAAGAACCCGCTTTTGCTTTTCTGGATCTGACAACTCTGTAATATATGTAAGAATATGATCCATTGTGCAGTGAGAATCGCAAGAGGAAAAAACTTACTTTGCGACACTACAAATAGGCGATGGAGCTTGAACGTTAAGAGTGGGTCAGGCATCTCGCGTAGGAATTTCTTCAAGAGGGCTGCGATTTGCACTGGGTTTTCCTTTGCCAAATCCACCTGTTCGTACTTATTGTCGATCAGGTCAGACAGCTCTTTGAGCCTTCTGATGTTGCCATTTTTTCGGAAAACACCTTCCACAGACATATCCATTTGCCTCATGGCGGACACAGCATCGTCAACCAGAGCAGGGACGCGAAGCGCACCTGGTCCGACACCATGACTAGACTCTGTACCCTCTTTTTCAACAAGAAAATCTAGGTTGACGCCGAAAACACCTTTCTTCTTCCCGCCTTTCTTGGCTTCCTTATTGAAGGCACGACCGAATATATTCCAGATCGTTGGCTTACGGGACTCAATAAATGAAAGGAGCTCCTCTAAAGTGAAATAGCCGTCCAACAAAGGCTCCATAGACAGTACTGCAACGTGGCGTACGATGAAATACTCCAACGCAGACAGTTCTGAGAAGTACTTCTTGGCCCTTCCACCTTGTCCCATGAGATGCCGCTCCAAACCAGCACCGGACACACCGCGTTGATGGCCATAGTTGTATCTCGGAAGAGGTTCGGTGGTTCCGACAAGCCCGGCCCCTGCATGCTTGTATGCGTTGGGGCGTTGCTCTTTAGCTTGCTCGGCAGCAACGATCCTTGGAATGTCATCCAAAGTGAGAGCGTCCTGGTTACCAAATGTCAGCTCAGTAACCGTCTCGCCGTTTGCGTCTTTTTCTTCTACAATTTGGAAACCGTGACCACGAGGATCTGTGCCTTCACCGCCTGATGAACCTGGCCTTACGCTTCGTCCTTCTGGCCCATCAATGATTCGTGACGCCCGTGCTTTTTTGTAAGTCGTTGACAGAGTGCGCTCGTTTCGGATCGACCTTAGACGTCGCATTTCACCAACAGTTTGTTCAAGGGAGGATTCTTCAGTACCCTCTTTGCTCGCGTGCGAGTATGACTTCGATCTAGTCGTTGACCTACGCAAATCACCTCCAGGAGTAGATTGGCCGTCACTCCCATCATGCGACTTTAGGTTGGCGTCGTCTGAAATGAATTAGTATTCTAAGCTGCGAAGAGCAATTCTCGATTAATAACTTACCTGATGCTGGAATAGTACCTCCAGCTCGCAGAACAGTGAGGAGTCGTGCAAGAGCAACCTGCAGCAAGAAGATAAACTGCTGGAGTTTGGTTACTCGTGTGAACCCTCCTTGTGTATCATGCGCGAAGCCATTTTCAGATGCGCAACTATTACAGAAAGCGCGCTTATCCTTAGGGTTCCACAAGGCATCCTGAGGAATAGCAGTTAAATCTTTCTGGCAGGTTGTACAAGTCAAGTGAGGTGGCTTTATATGCCACCTGTTATCTCCAAGCTTGATACATTCGTCATCGATGGGTTCTTTGCACGCAGCACAGCAGTCGGAGAGTTGATCAGCAAGGACTTCGACATTAGCCATTAAGTCTGCAGTAGTCACTTCTTCTTCAAGAGGCCGAAGTGCCTCAAGATCCCCAAGATGGTCTAAAAACTGATGCAGACCTTCAGGCGTTTCCTTTTCCCTCTCTAACTTGAGAGCACCCTGCAAGCCAATACGGATAAGGAGCTTCAAATAATGGGCAAGGCCTGTCACTAAAGATAAAAGCTCCTGAGTGACACCGAGTTTTCGAACGCCGGTCTCCTGAGTCTTTGATAACAATGCGAAGAAAGCGACGATCTTCTTGCACAGGAGTTTTGCTTCACGACCATAGGCAAGGTCTACTCAACGAATTTAGTTCCACGATCCCGTTAATTGACACTCACTGTAAAATAAGACTCACCTTTCATGCCTTGAGCCTTGATGTTTGCTGCAAGTTGGTCGATCGCGGAGAAAAGAACATCGACATGTGCAATGAACTTTTTTGCAACAAGAACTCCATCCACATAAGTGCCATTACTGACATGCAGAAGCATATCTGAGATGCAGGCGGCCGATGATTCCTCGAAACTTGAGAGAATGCTCCATATTTTGTACACCTTTTCTTCCATCACATCCTCTTCCTCCCGGACTCGGTTGCGTTGCTCGTCAGTAGCATCGGCTTCTACCTCAGGATATTCTAGTGGCTGGCCAGTTGGGGCTAAACGAACATTCCAAAACTTGTGAATCATATAGCACTCAGGGTGCCAGTGCTGATTTTGTCCATTACGGAAAATCTCCACGAACTGTTTGAGGATTGATGTGTGGCAACCGTGACACCGTTGTGCGAATTGAGTCGAGTAATGGAAGTGACAGTAAACCTTGCCTTCATGCTCATAATAAGAGTCCTGCGCACCAAAGACTGTCGGACAAACGGAGCAAGTAAAATGCTCAATGTGATATTTTCGATCCAAGGCCGTTATATATGAGCCTCGCAGGGCACCACCGCATTCATGACAGAGGAGGTCCAATCGCCGAAAATAGTCTGTTTCACATAGAGGGTACTGTCCACTCCCATCTTCCGCATCAACAGGAAAGAACTTGGAAGCCACGATTTGACCACAATCCTACGCCGTAATAGTTTAGTTATTGAAACAGAATGCATGCAAGAGTAGCGGTGGAAACTCACTTCACATTTGAAGCACTCCAGATGGTAGGTCGAAAGCAATGCCCGCACAAACTGACCTGTGAGGGGTTCACCACACTTTTTACAAATTCTTGACGAGCCACCTGGTGACTTCGTAACTGGTCGGCCGTTAGGGCGTGTTCGATCACGCGGAGTTGATCGGTCCCAATAACCGGCTGCATCGCGCGGAGTTGACGGGTCCCTTGGGCTGGAATTGTTTGAATCGTATCTTCGACCCATACGGCCATCGGGGTTTTGGGCTCCATCCACAGGACTGTTCCCGGATGCATTCCAACCCCCAGTTATTGCACGCGGCGAGTCGAATGGAATACTGTTATCCGCCGGTGATGTAGGGGTTTGCATCTGGTTACCTCCACCATAACCACTGGTATTCAACGTGGGGCGGACAGCCCCGTTGCCCGGCACGAGGCTATCCGGCAAAGGAACGTCGCCGGGAGGCATATCCGTATGAAACTACGCCGTTCTGCGTTTTTTTTTTGCAACCAAATTGCAAGTAACTTCGGATAGTGGGAATCTCAATGCTTAAATGGGTCGCGTTTGTGGTTGCCGCCGAGATCAGGGAGAATTGATTTGTCGAGACAGGGGAGCGGAGCGGGAATAAACAGAGTTATTCGGGAGGTTGCAGAAATGAGTAGTTAAGGACAAGTCATGAAGTGATTATCGCATCTTTGATGGGAGTAATGGCTTAGGTCAGAAAACAGTGTGATTTCCTTTGCGCGGGGCACCTTAAAAGGTATTTGGGGCCCTTCCATAACAACTCACCTCACGCCATGTAGATGAAACTTGCGGGGAACTTCTAGTAGGGACTCGAGGAATAGGAATGGGAGCGCGTGATCGATCTAATAAATATATCCCTGCACAATACCACCGGTCTTTGCAGCAGCTTATTTGAAATCGAGACGTTTAAAGGCGCAGGCGCCCGTGCCGAGGGCAGCGGGATTAAAAAGGTTGAAGCTCAAAGTGAGACCAACAAGCGGCGGAGTAGTAGACAGGCCGGAATCACAACCATTCCTGGTTTGCTGCAAACACCAGAGGATCGATAGTCCAAGCCCTGGAAAACTCAGAGCACGGAGGGGAGAGCGATATCGTGAACCACAGAGTCCAGTACAGCAAAACAAAAGAGTGATAAGGAGAGAGTTATAGGAGGTTAGGAGATCGCGTGTTTGGCAAAGTGGGTGTCTGTCCTGCTGGCAGTTGGTCGCTGTGCCTGCCCCCCTATGCTTCATGTTGCTGGTTACCCGCTAGGGTCTGTCACGTGAAATACACTCACCGCCTGGACTACCGCCTGTAGTTTGTGTATCAATTAGTACTGTACAAGGTATCTATGACAGAAATGGGACCACAGTGCCTGATTATTATGTAATAATACAAAAAGAGAATCTTGGCTGGGAATAGTACTAGTAATTGGATAGAATCACCTAAGTATGAACAGCTGTGACAAAAAGGGTAGAATAGTGAAGTAAAAATGAACTAACCCTATATTCATAGATACTGTAGGGTTTTGAATAGTGTAGTGGATGTACAGGAAATTCTATGGAGCTTAAAAAAACTATAAAAAGAAATAAAAGAATTATCCCTCCATGAAAATTAACAGAATAGAAGAACTCTTCATCAGAACATTGAAGAGTATGAAGGAAGCATGGTTACTGATACATCAACCTTTTTTGACCCCTTATTGTATTCGCTTTTGCGGGGCAGCATGCGGGTTACCTGTTTTGGTATTTCTGAAACTACTAGTCATGACCCCATACATTGACGGTCTAAGTATGTTGCCAAGTGGAGTTGCTGTCAACTTGGGACCCTTGATATTGTCTGCAGGTAGAGCCACCTTCTTGGTTGGTATGAGAATATTTATTCAGGACCATGTAGATTGTGTGTTCAATTGTGAATCATGTCAAATCATATAATTTGTTCCGCACCAGGATAATATTCTGTCTTGCTTTCACTTTGTTTATTTTGTTTTGTTTTAATTTTTGCTTTTTGGGGAGCATTCTTCAAAAGATGTCATACTGTATGCAGAGCTAGTCTTGTTTAGGAATGTTGGAATGAATGCCCGCCCTCAAAGCCTCAGGGGTCCAAGTAGTAACCGAGTCTTTAAATAGAAATTAGGTGTTGTACTCTACATTCTTAGAACGGATATAATAGAGCTAGAAAGCTACCTAATGCCTACACTAGAAGAGTACTAGAGGATTCAACGGAGTCAGCGGCGTCGCCTAGCAATTAAGGGGAAATATCCCGCGCTATCAGGGGATTTCGGTTGTTTGGCCCATCAACAATTGATCTACCCACGCAAAGAAGGCGGTGAGATGGATATCTGTGCGGAGCTTGGATTACAGTACGGAGTACAATACAGCCAGTCCTCCATGGTGTGAAACAGAAATACCTACCGGCAACTTCTGTATGGTTGGTTGTATGTATATCCAGAGTTTAGGAGTACCCACTCCAGACACTGTCCGCAAAAGAAAGAAAAGTACTCTGTGCCTTGCCTTGCCTTTCTTTTCCGTTTGTAACAAGGGCTATTCTCTTGCAACAAAGTTCGAGATACTTGGTATGTTTTATGTATAGATTAATATATTGACAGCTTTTACTGACAGGCTTTTGCAGTATGTACGTTTACTGAACATTACATTTATACGGTACATTGACCGACATTCTCTTGTAGATAGATAGCAATAAAGGAATAGTAATCTAGACACAATCTCAAAAAACTCCTTCAAGGGGGTTAGAGTCTTGGATGCTGGAGATGCTCACTATGTTAGCCTCTGCGCTATCATACACCATCACTGTGAATGTTGTATGTACAGCTTGTTTGTACCTGCCATCAATTGGTAACTTTTATATAAATCTTTGACGGACAATAGATGCCAGACACACAGCCAAGATACTATCTTAGAAAGCCTGGAAAAAAAAAGGAACTTCTATTTCCAAGTCACGGACCTGATAGCTGTTCACACAGTCTCCCGTCCACACTGACAAGGCAGTCACCTGTCGTTCCCCGCGCTGCCCTGGGCTGGACCATCAATGATCATTATAATATCATACATACGCCGGTCTTCCTCCGTCATTTGCTTACAAACTAAGCGCTCTGCCCATTTTCATATCTGTTAACCAACACCACTGATGAGAGCTCGACTGCTTACTATTTCTATGACAGGATGTCCGATCAAGCGATTCTCCGTATTACAAGGGTACAAACTGACTTTTTCATTATATCCACAAATATCCTGTAAAACCCTTTTGAACTGATGAGACACCTCTTCCGATGGGGTACTAGGAAATCAAGCAGATACAACAAGGCGCAGACTTGTGTAAGACTTCCTTCGTACAGTCCTGGGAAGAATATTATTGTTACATTAAGCTTACATTCATTTGTTCGGCTCGGATTCTAAGCGCTGGCTGTGGCTTACGATGATTCTGACATCCGAAATGTCCACGCTCTCATTCTTGGACCGCCAGAGACTCCTTACCAGTTCGGTTTCTTCGAGGTTCGTATTCGTTGCCCTCGATATCACAATAGAAAACGCTACCACCTTAGTCCCACTGACCTGTGAGGAACTGCCTTAGTTTGCGATCAAATTTGGAAAGGGTAAGGAATCCGTCCCGTGAGAGAAACATTACAGGACATGCTTAAAGTACTCACTATGGCGGGCTCCAGACTATCCCGCAAAGCCTCCTAGTGTCCGAGCTTTAACTACAAATAAAGGACGTTGCCGGTTCAACCCTAATATCTATGCTTCAGGCAAAGTTTGCTTGTGAGTTCAAAATCTGAAAGGCTAAGTATGCTCATATACTGACGGAATCCAGGTCAATTCTGGGGTAATTCGTTTCAAAAGCCCACAAAGTAGCTATAGCTGACTGGTTTGGTGTAGCACTTGGCACGGGGAACCTGGAGAGGAGTGGTCATCTGCACAAGGCCTGGAGTCTATCTTGATCTCCATTCAGAGTCTGCTGTCTAACAACCCATATGAGAATGAACCAGGGTACGATAAGACCCACACAGCAGAGGATAACGAATCAAAGGTATCTTACGTAGAGAAGGTGATGACTTACTCCTGGATTTGCCCAAGGATATGCTAACAGAACTTTCTTTGTATGCCAAGATTCGCCATGAGAACCTCCGAATTGCAGTCATTGAGCCTTTGGAGTCATCACTGGGAATCCTGCCATATGGAAGTACAAGCACGATTGCAGACCGAGCATCTGAGGGCGATGGCGATGACGAAGATGATCAAACGCTGAGCCAAAATGACAAACCTCTTGTTGATCGATTCGCAGACCTTCGCAAAAGACGATTCTTATGGTATTTCAATTCCTACATCCAAACGATTGAGGCCGCGGACTCGGATATCTCTCGAACGCGCAAATTCCAGAGAATGCCTTTCGAAAGCCAGGGCAATACTATGGATGGCCACTTCGATTACCCTGAATTAAGGCGGCGGGTAGTTCTACTCAGGGAAAAAATCATTTGTGAGACGCACAACTGGTTGTCTGAGGGACTTGGTGTCAAGAAACAAGAGCTGAGTATCGCATCAAATCTGCAGCGCCAGTATGAACAGATTGTTGAGGATCTCAAGCGTCAGAAAAACTTCGCCGTTGATCTTGAGCTTGTTGACACAAATCCTTTCCTTTGGGCATTTACCTACTTTGGTAGGCCAATGAGCCATTTGGACGGTGGTATCTTCAGGTTTAAGATCTACATCAGCCCAATTTTTCCAGAAGAACAGCCTCGTGTCTTTGTGGAGACGCCCGTATTCCATATTCGCGTATCCCGAGAAGGAGTCCTATGCTATTCCCCACGTAAAACAGATGAAATGCGTTATCATATCGAAGCGATTGTGGCGGCACTCGAAGAAGAATCCCCGCCATATGATCCACGGACTACAGTTAACCCTGAGGCAACTAAGCTTTTCTGGGGCAGTCCGGAAGATCGCAAGAGATATAACAGGGCATTGCGCCGATCTGTTGAGAAAAGCGCCGAGTGAGTTTCTAGCTAAGCTAAAACCATCACGTTCTCAAGACCTAATGTCATAAATATAGGGAAACATACGCATGAAGACTCCCCCTTTACTGCCGATGCTTACCTACTTTTCACCTGAGCATCAAATGCTTCATTAGCCCCGGTGATGGTCCCGGATAATCTCAGATGATTTAACATTTTAACAGATTATTGTCGGTCTGCGTCCGTCTTATTCTGTTTCTTGATTGTATATCCAGGGTCATGACCGTAAGATTTCGCATAATAATGGAGCGTATATCACTCGGTATTAAGCGCAATGGCATCTAAGATGGTTTACTTTCCTGGTTGGGGCTAGCTTCCAGGCCAAATTCAAGATAATGCTATGTTATGAATTGTTGCCACCGATGTAGACTTCAAGCAGGTGGTTTAAATAAGAAGTAAGGGACAATAGCTGTGTGAGTGTCGCTATTAGGTGAAATGAGCCAAGGTCAGGTGCGCGAGGATGAACAACCTGAAGTAATAGACTTCTTCTTGAGAAACACAAGGACAGTTCAGTGGTCGAAGGCGATGTGGCTTCTCGAGTGGGGGCCCGGACATTTTAGCTCAGCCCCAGACATTTTCTCCGTAGAGCGGAGCGGAATCCAGTTAAATTATCATCCCCCCCCGAACTTAAGATCAACACTCCGTCTTCGCCCTTTCAGTTTCTATCGCTTATCTCCACCCATCCACCGCTTCCAGTCGCTCAAGTTAACCACCAACTCGCCAGAATGTCTAACAAGCGTCCCACTATGCAATTGGGCACTGTTTTGGTGGTCGGTGGTTGTGGTTTCGTGGGCTGGCACATTGTCAATCAATTGCTCAATTTCCCTTCGGAAACCGATGCCAGTGTCGCTCTCCCGAAGCCAGAAGAAGATCCTCGGTTCAATTACCCTCAACTGGCCGGCCGGTATCCGGTATGCATGGCGAAGGTTGCGGTAGTCGACTTGCGAACCTCCAACAATCGGTTGCCTGGTGCTGAGTATTACGATGGCGATATCACGTCGGCAGAATCCATGTTGGAGGTCTTTCGCAAAGTTAAGCCAGATGTTGTTATCCACACTGCTACGCCAAACGTCCTGGAAGGGAACAAGCCGTTGTTGCGCAAGGTGAATGTGGACGGAACAAAGACATTGCTGGAGGTCGCGGGCGGCGCTCGCGGAGATTGGGGTGGAAAGTGCAAAGCTTTCGTGTACACAAGCTCGAGCTCAGTGGTGCACGACACACAAAGCGATTTGATCAATGTGGACGAGGAGTGGCCATACATTAGAGGGGATAGGCAGTTGGAGTACTACTCAGAGACAAAGGTAGGTGATGCCGACTCCGTTTCTGCCTAGTCAACATTTGCTCACGAGAGTTGGCAGGCGGACGCAGAAGAACTCGTTTTGAAGTACAACAGAACCTCACCCTCTGGTATGGTGACCTGTGCTGTTCGCCCAGCCGGTATTTATGGAGAGAAGGACACCACGTTTACCTACAAGATTCTGGAGCACTCATCCAAGGCCTCGCCAGCCGTTCTTCGAATGCAGTTGGGCGAGAACAATAATTTGTTCGACTTCACTTACGTCGGAAATATTGCGTATGCCCACTTACTCGCCGCCTTCCACTTGCTTGCTACCAAGACCCGTATTGAGTCCAAACAAAGCGAACCGTTAGACCATGAGCGGGTTGATGGAGAGGCTTTCAACATTACTAATGATTCCCCGGTCTATTTCTGGGATATGACGCGTGCTGCCTGGGCACTGACGGGCAAGGTAGTCGAGCCCCATCAAGTCTGGGAACTCCCTGAGGCACTCCTCGGCCCTATCGGCGGCATCGCGGAGACAGTGATGGGTATATGCGGCAAGACGCCACGGCTGACCAGGCGGACAGTCCGGTATTCATGCATGACTCGCTACTATTCATGTGACAAGGCCAAGTCGCGACTAGGCTACACTCCCATCGTTTCAGTAGAGGAGGGTCTGGCCCGTGCAGTTGGATATGTGGTAGAACGGGAGCGACAGGAGGGTCAGAAGAAGGGACAGTAATTGAGGAATAGTGCAATTGAAAATGTGTGGAGGATGCGCACGGTGACTTGATGTAATATAGGTAATTCTGGAACTATCATCTGATTTCTTTCTATCAAGCATATACCTTAATGAACATGGATATAGGTGGTCCTTTCCATGAATATATTCTACATTTGAATATTGAGCTTTGCACAAATTAGTCGCACCAATGATAGCGAACGGAGGGTACACCAGGGTTCGTGGACATACTAAGATTACTACTTGGTATCCTATTGGCTTTGGTAGTTTCAATCATGCTTGTCTCTACTAGGCTCTACAGGACGAACTATGCTAATGATTATAGGGACAGAAAGAACTGCATAGCTATATGTATATATTTACCACATGGGTAGGTGGTATATGACGCTTGAGTGCTATGAAAATGACAATGTGTTTGTCTGCTCTATTCCTAGAGGACACCTAACACCTGTCTATCAAAGGCTGATACGCTACTCTCTTTTCTTCCAAGGATCTCTGAGTTTCACCGCATGTCATCAATTGACTCGACTACATCGCACCTGACCATGATCTTTTAAATCAGTCTTTTCTCGTCGTCCGTTCCCTTCCCTTCCTCATTTCCTCTACTTTTGCAAGTTATATACAAGAAACACAGATTCACTAGACAACAACGGAGTATTGACTGACCTATACGCACTGAGAGCAATACCATGGAATATTCTGCAGCATCCAACCCAAATCCTCCCTACATATTTCGTCGAATACTTCTTTTGCTGTTCTGGCTAATTGGACTGCCAGCGACGATTGCAGACAAACAGTTATGCGGCAGCAAGGAAGGTATTCCTGGAGTTGACGCCTCCTTTGACTATGTTGTGGTGGGTGGTGGTAACGCTGGTATGACCCTGGCGGCACGCCTGGCTGAACAAAGCTTCAGTGTTGCTTTGGTTGAAGCTGGAGGATTCTACGAAATCAAATATCCCCCAGCGCAAGTTCCTGGGGCTGTCGCCATTGGCACTGGAACCGATCCAATGGCCATTCGAACACCTATTGACTGGGGGTTTCTGGTAAGCACCGGGCCAGGAGCAAATTCACGGACTATTCACTACGAAAAAGCCAGATGCCTTGGGGGAGCGTATGTTCCACTAACGAACCTCTGGTTGTAAATTGGCTGACTTAGTTTATCACTATCTAGAACGGCAAGCAATTTTATGCTATACCAGAGGTCTGTGGATTTTCATCGCGTCCGAGAGGAAGAGCTCAAGATTAACTGGTCCTAGACCGACTATAGGATCGATGAAACTATGGGCTGATCTCGTCGAAGATGAAAGTTACACTTTCGACAACGTCTTCCCTTTGTTCCAGAAGACGATTAACTTCACCGCACCCGATGAGGAGCTCCGTCCTGCAAACGCCACCGTGAGCTATCGAGAGGATGCTTTCGCGAAACATGGCCTACCTATTGACGTGACTTATCCGCATGCTGCCTCTCCCTTTTCCAGCTGGCTCCAACTTGGGTTGGAATCGGTGGGGATTGGAGTGACCTCCGAGTTCAACAGCGGGTCTTTGTTAGGCTCCTTTTATTGTCCATTCACTTTACGACCCGCCGATCAGATCCGAAGCAGCTCGGAATCGGCATTCTTCAGGTCACCCCCGTCTTCGAGTTATTTACGAACATTGACGTTATACAAGAACACAATGGGCAAAAAGATACTGTTTGATCAAAAGCGAGCAACAGGGGTTGAGGTTGCCACTGCGGGCTCCAAGTATATTCTCAGCGCGATCCACGAGGTCATCATCTCATCAGGTGCCTTCCAGAGTCCTCAGCTACTCATGGTTTCTGGAATCGGCCCCCCCGATGTCCTCCGAGAGCATAAAATCGAAGTTATTGTAGATCTACCAGGAGTCGGTCAAAATCTGTGGGACCACGTTTTCTCCGGACCGACGTACCCAGTGGCTGTGGAGACATTCAACAAGCTGGCTGTGGACCTACAATATCTTATAAGTCAGATAAGGGAGTTTAAATTATCTCATACTGGAGTGCTGACCAATCATGGATTCGACTACATCGCTTTCGAAAAGCTTCCAGCTAGCTCGCGGGCCGGATTCACTGAACGTACGGATAACGACCTATCTTGGTTTCCAGAAGACTGGCCAGAGGTTGAGGTAAGTTTCCGATTTACCTCTGCACTTTCCAAGATCAGAGGATGCTAATAATCTGGATCTGATATAACAGTATATCGCCGCACCACTTTTCGTTGGCAATTTCTCCGATCCCATTACTATGCAACCGCAAGATAGGAGGCAATATGCGAGCATATTGCCTACACTCGTGGCCCCGACGTCACGCGGAAACGTTTCTATAATATCAGCTAATACGGACGACCTTCCAGTGATTTACACTAACTGGCTTACTACAGAAACAGACCAACAAGTTCTAATTGCAGCATTTAAGCGAGTCCGTGACATATTCCGTAGTGAAGCAATGGCACCCGTCATTGCCGGAGAGGAATACTTCCCAGGAAAAGAGTATCAAACGGATAGTGAGATCCTTGAGGTCATCCGGGATACAGCCATGGCTGCGTGGCACGCGTCCGGCACATGCAAGATGGGGACTCATTCTGATCGCATGGCGGTTCTTGATAGTCGAGCGAGGGTGCTTGGAGTTGAGAGATTGAGGGTGGTCGATGCCAGTGCATTTCCATTTCTTCCTCCTGGCCATCCTCAATCGGTTGTTTGTATGTTCTGTGCCGCCCTTGTCTGCTTGTGGAAACCGCTAATTGTAGAAATGCAGACATGCTTGCGGAAAAGATAGCCTCGGATATTATAGTCTTTCGAGAAGGAGATTAGGATGATAAGGGCTAGATTTGCGATACGGGACAGCAGGTGCGCGTAACTCTTGGGACTGAGTGAAGGAGGCTTGACGCCGTAAATGGATGTGGCTCAATTGAATGAGCTTACCAGTTGCTCTCCGATGCTCTCTTTC